TTATCCACAATACTGCTGTCAGTATGTTGTGGGACAGGGCCGTTATTATAGATCCATGGACAGGGCACGTAGCACACAGTCTCCTTCGGCTTTCTCCTCACGCATTCTCCGGCGCTGTTCCAATATTTAAAACAACGTGTTTCGCCTGTGTCTAATGAGCTGCTGTTGATGTTGAAGGTGGTTTTGCTCTAAAAGGAGCAAACATAGGCAGAGCAGACATGCTGCACATACGAGCCCTCAATGTTTTCCTCCGGTTCCGCGTCTATCCTCCGTGAGCTCTCGCTGTCCAATAGGAGCGCCGATCGTCACACGATCAACGCCACAATGGCACCTGTTTGAACTCGTTATCTGTATAAAAGACACCTGTCCACAGCCTCAAACAGTCAGACTCCAAACTCCACTATGGCCAAGACCAAAGAGCTGTCGAAGGACACCAGGAAAATAATTGTAGACCTGCACCAGACTGGGAAGAGTGAATCTACAATAGGCAACCAGCTTGGTGTGAACAAATCAACTGTGGGAGCAATTATCAGAAAATGGAAGACATACAAGACCACTGATAATTCCTCAATCTGGGGCTCCACGCGAGATCTCATCCCCCGGGATCAAAATGATCATGAGAACGGTGATCAAAAATCCCAGAACCACACGGGGGGACCTGGTGAATGACCTGCAGAGAGCTGGGACCAAAGTAACAAAGGTTACCATCAGTAACACACTATGACGACAGGGAATCAAATCCTGCAGTGCCAGACGTGTCCCCCTGCTGAAGCCAGTGCATGTCCAGGCCCGTCTGAAGTTTGCCAGAGAGCACATGGATGATACAGCAGAGGATTGGGAGAATGTCATGTGGTCAGATGAAACCAAAGTAGAACTGTTTGGTATAAACTCAACTCGTCGTGTTTGGATGCTGAGTTGCATCCCAAGAACACCATACCTACTGTGAAGCATGGGGGTGGAAACGTCATGCTTTGGGGCTGTTTTTCTGCTAAGGGGACAGGACGACTGATCCGTGTTAAGGAAAGAATGAATGGGGCCATGTATCGTGAGATTTTGAGCCAAAACCTCCTTCCATCAGTGAGAGCTTTGAAGATGAAACGTGGCTGGGTCTTCCAGCATGACAATGATCCCAAACACACCGCCCGGGCAACGAAGGAGTGGCTCCGTAAGAAGCATTTGAAAGTCCTGGAGTGGCCTAGCCAGTCTCCAGACCTGTGGAGGGAGTTGAAAGTCCGTGTTTCTCGGCAACAGACCCAAAACATCACTGCTCTCGAGAAGATCTGCATGGAGGAATGGGCCAAAATACCAGCAACTGTGTGTGCAAACCTGGTAAAGACCTATAGTAATCGTTTGACCTGTTATTGCCAACAAAGGTTATATTACAATGTATCGAGTTGAATTTTTGTTATTGACCAAATACTTATTTTCCACCATAATTTACAAATAAATTCTTTAAAAGTCCTACATTGTGCATTTTTTTCACATTCTGTCTCTCACAGTTGAAGTATATCTATAAATTACAGACCTTATTTTAAGTGGGAGAACTTGCAAAATTGGTGGCTGACTAAATACTGTATTATGTCATATTTATATTATTGTATTGAAGTTTGGGGAAACTTTGCAAAAGAAGGCTATTAGGATTGTATCAAATGTTCACTATAGACATCATTCACACCCATTATTTTTAGACTTGGGACAACTTAAACTACAAGATTCAATTTAAGACTGCTCAAATAATGTTCAGGGCATCGCAAAAATCTCTCCCACCGAGTTTGCAAACACTGTTCCATGATAGGGATGCTCACCATCAGTATCAACAAAGAGGAAAACAACTATATTTACCTAAATTTAGGACTACTTTAAAATCAATGTGTGTGTGGTTACTCTGTGGAACTGTCTACTGATGAAATTAAGAGTTGTCTTGTCTTATACCATTGGTGGTAGTTACTGTATTGTTGTTACTGTATGTAGTGTACAGTAAACTTTTGTATAATGTGATTGTGCATCTACCCATTATGGTATTGTTTCTGTCTTATTGTGTGTCTTGTGTTGTTTGTCTGGGTGGGGGGGAAGGGGGGGGGGGGGGTTGGATTAATATAAGCATTTTGCTTCCTCCAACTCCTTTTCAATCCCTGTACGTATGTTTGTTTGTTTTCTTGTTTCCTGTAAAATTATGTGTGCAGGTTTTGAAATAAATATTTCATTCATTCATTCATCTATTATATAATAATAAAGCAGATGTGTGAAAGCAGATAAGAACTTATCAAATCAGAAGGATTTTGATGAAAAACCTTTAGCTTGGAATTTCTAACAAATAGAGGCATGTAGAAACCGGTTTTCACCTTTGGATAGATAAAAGTCTCACTTTTCAAATCCAAGCCAAAAGGTCAGTTTTCGTAGATCCACATTAGTATTCTATTGTACGGCACAATGACGTAAATCAACATGATATTTACATTGGTTGCTCAGATCTATGCCATATGCTAAGAATGATGGGGGGGTAAAGAGTAAGAGGTCAATGTACAATACAGTTGTAAACTTCAATATATGTTGTATAAATAATCAATTCAAAACTATTTGGAGATTTAAAATCTGATGCGCTCACTTTCTCACATTCTGTTCCATATCCACATTTATGTGCTGCTTTACAAGACTCTCCTTCATCAAATATTCACTGTTGGTTCCATTAAACATTCACAGCACAGCTCTGCTACGTTTATCTGTCTTCCTCCAATCAGCCTCCAGCAAGTACTCCAGCCCAGGGAAGGCGTAAAAAACTAAACAAATACCTACATAAACACATACGTTCATCATGTCATGCAGACAAACAACAAAACAAGACCATTTTCTGAGGGAATTGCACTATATTTCAACCCTTTAGACATTTTACTAGGGGCAAAGCAACCATGTTCCTCAATAATTCAACAGCAGGACGATTGCCGCCATGCTCAGTCCCCCTCTTTTTTTTAAATGTTCCCTTACCTGATACATGAATAAGATACACTGCATAAGTGGATGACTCATAATTGTGGATAAAAATACTGACTTTATAGTAGACCGCTGACGTCACATTTTCTGACATACTTTAAAATTTTTAAAAAGCACTCCCGAAAACGACCTAAATAAAATATGATTGCTAAGACTTCCCTAAAATGTGATGATCATAATAGTTTTACTGGACTATACAATGTAAATCAGTTAAAAGGATATTCATTTCTTAATTATATTTGTATTATTATTATTAATAAAATAATAATAATATACTATTATTGTAATAATTATAACCAACTAAAAACAGGCAAAAAGAAGGGCTTGAAAACATAAGTGTCTGCTTCATCTAGCTCTTTTCAAACTGTATTTCTAGTTTGTATTCAAATGTATGCGCACATAAATACATGAAAATATATATGATGTGTTTTTTCAATTAGGTCTTCACATTCTGGTCAAGTTGTGTAATTAACTGATTGATTAACACTACAAGAATGAATTTTCTCTCCTACAAGTCTCACTAAATGTGACAGCAGGTGTAAGCTACAAGCACACGTGAAGCCACATGAAGTAGCCATAAGAACCAACCTCACCATCAGCCAATGTGCCCTCCCCGAGTCAAAGAGCGCTGAGATTAAGCCCGCCTACGCAAATGCACACACTGACATTAATCTTCCCAGGAAATTCTGCTATGTGCCCTAGGTTTCCAAACAATTTTCACAACTGCGCATGAATAAAATAAAGGATGCAAACATTACACACAGGAGCACATAAATACATAAAAAAGCAGAAGACATGTGTCATAGATGAAACTAGGATTGTCATTTATTGAAGTTTATTGAGCAGCTGAATACTGCGAGAGACAAAGGATATGATGCCTCTCTTCGTCTTCATTTGAGGCATCACAAACCTTCGTCCAGACGGAAACAGCTCGTATTCAGACCATAAAGGATGAAGCATGTCCAGTCCACCAAGATCCTCTGGGCAAGATTTAGGGTGTGTGTCAGCCAACACAGAGTAATTCACTGAGCTCTTGCTTCCTAGTTTCACAACTTGATCTAGTTTTTTTTTCTTTTGCAGATACAAAGCTCCATCCCAGTATTGAATGCAAAAAGTGGAAATACTTGTTAAAACTGAATGAATATTGGGCAGTCAAGATTGTACTGCAGTTTTCTTATAACAGCTTTGCTGTAGTTTATAAACTGAATTGGAACTCCAAATCAGATGTTGTGCCAAGGTTCTTAGCCATTTCAACATCCAGCCTCACAGAAATCTTATGGCTTTTTTAGTCTTTTAGCATTTTTAAACATAGTCATTTTGCATGCTTATAAAAGTTGGTGACAGAAAACAAAATCACTAGACCGAGTGTTTGTGGTAAGTGGAGTAAGGACGAATAAGAGTGCTGATGCTCAGAAATAGAACACAATAGAAAAACTATTTATTTAAATTTTAATCTGGAGCAGTATGAAACAAGTCTCCGCAATTAATATTTGAAATACCAAAAGAAAAAATTCATTCAGCAATTCTGTCTAAATCACTCAGGGAAAAAAGCAAAGCAATCAGTCGAGAACCAGCCACCAATCTGCAACACACATCATTACTCGACCTTTGGTGGCTACTCAGCCTGACATTGCAGAACACTGACATTCAACAACAGCCAGACTGCAACAAGCTCAAGACAGTCACAGAGGTCACAGACAAAAACAACATCAAATGTTTAGTATGTGTAGTTCATGATAAATATATTAATACATGCACATACACACAATACAACACACAGAAGATCTGTTAATCATATAGTAATAAATAACAATTACTTGCATACTCAGTATTGATATATCAGTAGACAATAGCGTTCTTGCATTGACAGACTGGAATATTGCTCTAGTCAGGGACAATACCAATCTATGGAGGAGCCACTTACTTTTAAACATTATGTTATAAGCCTGCTCCTGTCAGTCTCGAACAGCATTGATTCAAAGCGTAGTATTGCAAGTAGCTCGACTCCTTACCTCTGGCGGAGAGTTTCTTTGTGTTAATTATTTTAGCAGCATACTCCTGACCAGTGGATTTCTTGACACACCGTCTGACAATAGAAAAGGCACCCCTGAAAAGCAAAGCAGATAAATGAACCACTAATACCAGTACTTATGAATTGTCTGTCTATGTTATTATACAGAGCCAGAATCTAACCAGCTACCACCATGCAAGAATCCCCCACACAAGAGGGGGCAAAGTAAGTTACATGCATAATTAATAGTGTCTGACGTAGTGTCTTTGAGATGTAAGAAGAGGTCCTAGTAACTCGTGCGAGACAGAGGAGAGAGGGGCTTGTTGCATCGTCAAAGGACTCTATAGGAAATGTCCCCATAATAATCATTTCTTTAAATTATTAAACGAAAGCTACCAAATTACGGCACAACAATGTTTGCAGCCATACTTTTGGCCTTTAAAGCAACTCATGTAGGCTACGTGACTTTATGCGACAATGAAACAGATAAAATGGAAATATAACAAGAACGCTTGGACTGCCTGCCTCTCGTCTCTAATGTAGCCCGTGTATTTCTGCAGCCTGCTCAAATATGCACAAGCACAAGGAGAGCCAGATGATCCCACCAGCCAGTAGGTTCCCACACGCTGCTTACTGACGTGCTAGTACCAGGATACACTGTGACAAATAAGATGCAACACAAGCGAGTATTTCACGTTTCCGCCTGTATAAAAATGAAGAAAAACAGCGCATAAGAGCCTCCGGAAGGCTTAAAACACAGACCCCTGCGGACATGGGATGCAGAGGTTCCGTATAGCTCATCTGTGTTTTGACAGCCCCTATGCCCTGTCAACGCTGAAGCTGTGAAGGCACAATGGCAGCAGCGCAGAGGAACACAGGGTACACGCTACACAGACGCGGCTTCACTACACACGGACACATGCTTACTTTCCGAGTTCTTCATAGAGCTGATACTCGTCTGTAAATCTGGTCGAGGTGACTATTGTAGCCATGATGAGCCGAGCAGGGAAAAGGCGTGTACGCCTCCAAGCCGCGCCGCTTTCGGGAGAAGTGAAGGCAGTGGGAAGAGCTTAGAGGAGCAGGCGCGAGTGGGAGGAGAGGCCAAAGCTCCAGTAGCTGGAGACGAGAGATCCTCTATAGGCAAGAGCACTCACTCTGTCACAGCCAGACTAATATAATACATCCATGCAGCCAGACGTGCGGTAGACCTACAATAACGTAACGGATCATTGGAATCGGCTAACTATTAAAACTTTAAAAAGGGAATCACAAGAAATATAAAATGTATAGTACATATTTTTGAGATTCTCCATATTGAACACTAATAATTACAAATTATATAGAAGCCAACGTTTTAACTATTAGATAGATGCCAACAAAGACGAAACGAACTTTCGTTTCTTGAACCTGTTGTTCTCCTTACGTGCAAGAGTTAAAGCTCTGTCCTCTCTACTCGATGAAGACATGGGGTAGTGGATGAAGCAAAGCCACTTAAAGAAAGTAAAGTAAATCAGCATTTACATAAATCGTTGTTATGTTCCTAGATGTCTTGATACAGTATGAAGGCTCGACCTGAAAGTAAGAATGCAAAACAAACAAAAAATTCCCTTTGTCGATTAAAATCAAATGTAACTATCAAACATAATGATGATACAATATTATTTAACTCACATAAATGGTCTATCCGAAATAATAACAAAATAATATGTTTTATGTAAAATGCCTTGTTTTAGCAATATAATGCCTACAGTATGGATCCAGAATAAAGTAATAATAAATAATACCCGTTGTATTCTATACCCTTTCCCCCGCAAGACACAACTTCAAGAGACATGTTTCATTGTCAATTTATTTGTAAAATAACAATCATCCACAAACTGTGTCCAGGTAAAGAGCTAAAATAAAGTTCAAAGGCTGCACAATTACAGGCACAATTTTTCTGGAACAAATGAAGCAGAGAGAGTGAGAGTGACTCAACTCAGAGGAATGTTTTTGAGCTGAGGCAGTGTATCTGCTCGATCTCTCCTGCACTTGTGACATCACACATATCAGGGCGTTAGGACAATCCAAAAAATAGTTGGTTTGTTTGTTAAAGTGGCTAAAAATAAAATGTTTGTGAGAATAAGCTGAGAAATTGATGAGCTTAGAACGCTACACAAAATGCATGTAACAAACAACTAACACTCAGGATCTTGCTTATTTGGTTGATTTGTTTATTTAACTGTTATTGCTAACTACACTGTATCATCAGAAAGTGTGTGGAAAGGGGGCATTGAAGTTAGTGTTTAAACAATTTTGAAATATTGTTTATTCAATATTTTCATAATTAGCTAAATAAAATGTTTCTCTGAAGGCGGGAGCCCACTTTTTTAAAGAGAGCTTTGAGCTTGCAGACCCTGCAGTGCTTAATGCTTAACTGTCTATCTCCTCTTCCTTGTTCGGGGTAACTGTCCCCTTCATAGCCCACCTCTAGTACATCCAACCAAGGTCCCCAAACTCCTCCATGAAGTTCAGGATCAGCCAGGGGGTCATCTGGAGGGTTCTGAGCCAAAACAGCTGTTTGATTATAATGAATCAAACGTCTCAAAAGATATTTGACCACGTCAGGACGACTTTCTGCTTGGTCTGACCTTTCATACGGGTCATTGCTTATGTTAAATAGCCACACCGATTTTCCTAATGCATTATGCCATTTCTCTAACCCCTGCCATTGTTGGGCTGCATTGGGAAAGTAATGTGGGGGTATCCAGTCCCCACTGCCAATATTTCCAGTCAATAGCTTCCAATCTCCTGCTCGGATTGCTGCTTTAACTCCGGTATCCCAAATTCCAAAACCATTTTGTAGAAAGGCCTTGTTATATGGCTCTTCAGGCCTTCTGGATACTGGATCGATATTGAAGAGTATTTCTGTGCGAGGCGAGGGAATGCCTTTACTAATAGTCTTCCAAACATCATGTCCATCAATATTGTGTTGGGACTGCGGTGCACCAGCCAGTCCTAATAATGTTGGAAACCAGTCAGAGACATGTATGAGAGCATGACTGACCACCCCTTTGCTTTTCAAGAGTGGACTATGAACAAAGCCAACAGCACGGATCCCTCCTTCCCAGTAAGTACCTTTACCTCCTCTAAGTGGCCAGTTGCTCGCTCCAGACAGTGGTTGTCCTCCATTATCAGATGAGTAGATCAGCACTGAGTTTTCATAGAGCCCATATTTCTTCATTTCATGGATGACTTTCCCAATCCCTTCATCCAGACAGCTAAGCATGGCAGAATAGTGGCGTCTCAGGCGATTACTCTGCGAATCATAAGGATGCAAATAGTTCTCCGGTACCTGCAAAGGTGTGTGGGCTGCCTGGAAGGACAGGTACAGAAAGATCGGTTTTTGCGCCTCATGGTTCTTTATTATCTCTTTAACTCTGTTTGGGGAAAACACACACACAGTTTAATTTATCAAACCTTCAAACCCTTCTTAAGTTCAAACAAATGAGGACTATACCTGTCAATGTAGAGAAGGGTGGAGTAGTTACCACTTCTCTCCCAAGCAGGCCTTATTCCCTCATGCAGATCAAATCCACAGGCTTCAGCCCCATCGCAGCTTTGATACGAGAAGTGGTCTCCGCTGCCAGTTAGTGTTCCCAAAAAACTTTGAAAACCACGTCTCGTTGGCAGACAACTGTTTTTGCAGAACCCAAGGTGCCATTTGCCCACCATGTGAGTGGCATATCCAGCCTCTCTTAAAGATTCTGGTAAAGTTGGAATGTCCAAGGGTAGGCATAAGGGCTGACGTGGCCGTATGATTGAATGCTGAAGGCCTGTATGAATTTGGTAGCTGAGAAAAACAAGCAATGATTGTTGCACCAGAAACTCAACTCCATCAAATCCACTATATCAAAGGAAATAAACATAAACAAATGTTCCTACCGTCCCGTCATGAGCTGGCTGCGTGAGGGTGAGCAAATGGGTTGAACATAATAATTTTCAAGAATGACGCCGTCTCTTGCTAGTTGGTCCAACACAGGAGTATGGATATAAGAACCATGGTAGCCAATATCTCCATAGCCCTGGTCATCGACCATGATGAAGACGAGGTGGGGCCGTTTGGATCTGTCCTCAAGTCTTTTACCGAAGCAGCTGAAATGTCCAAGAAAGTTCAATAACACCAAGAATAATATTTCCATAATCATCACCAAAAAATATGTTGATATAAAATCTATCCTCCCAAGGTCCAGAGCAGTATCTCAGACTGGTTTAGATTTTCTTGAGATGTGATCAAGAGCAGATCTGGGAGGGGATAACTGTGTCTACTTTTCTGGCACAGAGTTGATATTCTACATATTCCATGTGAAATGTTCTCCTCTTGCAATGACCTGCAACATTCCTTGGTCCATACTGGCGCCTGCACTGATAGGTCATATATAATATATGTACACATACACTTTTGACCAAGTAGTCACAGAGCAAATGGCATTAGTGTATAAGGGGAAACAAATACATAATATATCACTTAAATATATATCTTATTCAATGCACAGCATAACTGGAAGTGAAATGTCAGCAGAAACCACTTGGGAAAAATTACAATTGTTCGGAAGATAATTTTCATGAAAAGCTGAATGGGGACTCAGTTGGTAGAGCATTGGCCTTTGAGCCTGAAGGTCGTGGGTTCGAGCCCACCGCGATACCTCAAAACATCTGTAATTGTCTCCATTGCTTTGAAAGTCTCAACCAGGGCCTAGCAGTTTAACCAGCTATTTCGGGTGTCAACTGCCAAAAAAAACCCTATGGAATCATTCTTATAGGTTAAAATACAATGAGGCTGAAAGCAGAGCATTGTGAGCTTTAGGAGGTGAAAGTCGTGAATTACTGTAGGACTATGTGGCAAGGTGGCATAGGGGTAAATTAGCTTGGGCCAGTCAAATCCAATCTTTTTCTCACAGAGAGATCATTATTCACAAAAACAGCAGATTTCTACTCCTTAGCTAGCTACTCCTATAATAGTGACATGCTTTATGGACATCTATTTGTAACCAATCTTTATCCATGTTTTAGTATACTGAAATATTTTCTCTAGTTGTAGGCATGTGGGTCATTAGTGGCATGGGGGTCATTAGTTGTAGGCATAGGAAACAAAACATTTTAAATATTGAGGAGATTATTTGACATTTCTAAATCCTTTGGGGAGTTACTTGGAGGGGGATGGCCAGGTACTAAGCTTAAGGTTGGAGACCTTTCCTAAGCACCGATATGCACTGCTATGTTCGTTATTTGATAGAGGCTATAAACATCCATCATCACAGTGTAGGTATCAGCTGTTGGTTTGCATAGCAACTGTTTAGTTTATTTGTTCAATGGCAAACCAGACAGAGTGACTTTGCAGTCATATACAGTATACACCACACACATAGAGCACATAGATTAAGTTCTCAAAATAAATGGCCTTTCATTTTGAGTGGAAGCTTGAGTATAAAAGAATTTGGGTTCATTTCAATGTAAGGGGGCGTTCGCACTTTACCAAACAATTGAACATGTGTTCACTTGTCAATGCTCCTTTCGAGGCCAAAGAAGCATTTTCTATATGTGGAAGCAGGATCATTCAGTGTGAAAGTGTCAAGTACTGGCCAGTAGAGGGAGCCACAATTATAGTTTTCGTTAGCCGACCATTTAATCGTTATTAGATGTAAAACATGAATATGAATAAATTAATCTTCAGTCAATAAACATATTGTTGTGACAGATGGTGAGTGAGTGTGCTTTCAGGTGAATGCGTAAATGAGTCGGTGGTGACGGCACAGAGAGGTTATGGAGGTCACCGGGCGATCTGCCGCTGAGTGATGTCACCGGCTACACAGGTGTCACAGGCCGAGGTCAGAGGTTCACTGGGCCGCACAGCCAAGGATTCCGATTAATGCATTTCATTTTATTGACCTTTCATACAGAACATGAAAAACAAGGTTTTACATTTTTGTATTATTGTATAATTAATAACTTATAATTGACTCTTGACAATTCATGTTTCCAATTATATTGAACAGTATTTGGAAAAAAAAATCCTATACTGTAGATGCAAATAATGAGAGCTTAACCAAGTTGAAATATATGTAGCATGATATTGTATGCCTATGAAAATGATACAGACTTGACTATTAAAATACTAGACAGTAAGAAATATAAAAATATATACATAATAGAAAATAAAGTATGTTAAACTAGTTAGTAATAATAATGGTAATAATAATAATGAGAATTAATTATTTTAATTAATGTATTATTAAACTTAATTAATCTAATTTTTTTGAGTATGACTGTGTATATATTTTTGTATACAGATCAAGCCCTTTTGTGGTGCCTGACATGGACAGATCTTAGTTACTATCCTGAGGGCTGAAGGCAGCTGCACGGATGTGTTGCCAAAAAGAACAGCTATCAGTGGTATCCTCTGCATTGATAATTGCACCATTGCTCCAATAGCACAACAACCAGGCACACATTGCAAAACATACACAGTGCAAAGTTTTTCAGTGGTCCAACTTGTTTAGCTGCTGATACATTGCTGCTCACCTGTAATAAATTAACCATGCCTCATCCACTGCAGCTGAATGTGAGAATGATGTGTGAAACATCCCTTTAAGTTTTATTAAAAGAAACAAACTGCTTTTGCATGCCAGAAAATGTCCCCAACCATGCAAGGTACCGGATCTAATCTAGGTTAAAGAAAGCATTGAATTTTATCCACTTATGTGCATCTATTATTATCATTGTTTATGTTTTTTTCATTTTGACCGTTATTCAAAGCGTTCCTGCGTCCATGACATTATGGGGTTTGCTCCAACAATAAGAATCCACTATGAAACAGTGCAAATGAAAGGTCCCGTTCCCTTGGTCCAAGTAGTGCTCGGATCCTATTTTTGGAGGGGATATCAGCAACCTTATGCCATTGATGTGAGTGACAGGACAAGTGTTGGACGGGACCCTCCCCTTGCTAGTTTTGTCGAAGCATTCCTTGGTGCAAGTAGAGGCAGACAGCCCCCCCGCCCAATATCTCCCTCTGTTGCTCCCGCCCTTTTTCCTTTCTGGATAAGGGTCTCACGTGGGCCACTGTTCAGGTGTGAGCTTTGGCCTTGAGGCTGGAGTTAGACAGGAGTCGGGAGCCAAACAGCGAGCCAGGCACTGCTCTCTGAGGGAGCTCTGGCCACTAACCATGGAGCACACACAATAGGATCCCCTAACAAAAGAAAAAGAAAAGGACCACAGCAAGGAAACAAAAAGTCAAAAAAAAAAAAGAAAAAAAAGAAACGTGAGCAATGGTTGCAGAAGAAGTTATTATCAGTTTATCAGGTGGAGCACCATGGGGCTTTCGTCTTCAGGGAGGAGCTGAGCACCAGAAGCCTCTCCAGGTTGCAAAGGTAAGCAGGTGTGCGGGAGAGCAAAAGTGAATGTTAAGGTTTACCTGTTTGAGAAGGTAATTACTATATGATTCTTTGATGTATACATAAATGACATGCATTGTTTTAGTTACAAAGATTTTAAGGAGTCTCAATAGAATATTGACAGAATTGCAGGTTTGGGCCAAAATATGAGTCACCTTCTCAATTAGGAAAAGGCTTACCTAGCCATAGAAATGGTATATTGGTACACTAACCCCAACTTAGTACCACAAAAAAATCTAATAAAAGAATTGAAACATCAGTACTTTCAACAAAATCTTAGCCCACAAGTTAAGTGGGCAAAAGAACTTTTCAAGTTAGCTATATTTGGCTTTAGCAATGGGTCACTGGGTCAGCCAAGGTGTGTGTTTCAACTGCACATTCAAAAAAGAAGCTCATACACTAATTATAGAACAGTTACTGCTAATCAACTTAGAAACACTTTTTTCATGCATAACTATAACTGACTAAAATGAATGTAAATGCATTATACCTAAGAAAAGAGGACATAATTTTGGCACAATGTGGGAATATTGAGAAAAATAGATGAGATAGATTATTGAGTTTTGCTGCTGTGTTTTGACGACTGCAAATACTAATCAGGCCACATGAAATAAATGATTGGTTCAACACTATTCAGCTGGGCCAAACCATCACAAGCAGCCTGCTCTTCTACTTTGTCGGCAAGGGAAATGTAACACTGACATGTTTGTGTGGACATGTTTCTAACAGGTGGACCCTCTCACAGTCAAATGCTCTTCCCATTTAAAGATGTTCTTGTCCAGGATAATCATTATGGATTAATATGATGGCAATACAATGTTTTGTTATCATTTATGTTCAATTTATTATCAATTTTGATGAATGTGGAGATTGTAGGAAAATGTATGTTATATCTAGCTTCCTCTGCTGTTGCAGGTGAGAAAGCGCAGTAAAGCCTGCCGGGCTGGGCTTCAAGAAGCTGATGAGTTGGTTTCGATCAATGATCAGCCATGTGTAATGTTATCTCATGCTCAGGCCATGAACCTCATCGACAGCTCCCCAGGACTACTTCATATTCGAGTCAAAAGGTGAGGGTGTTCCATATAATGTTAAATATTTACTTAAATAAACAAATAGGTTTTTCATATCATATATTATAAACAATATTGTTTTCTGCTCTTATTTTTCAGAGTTCCTGTAGGTTTCCAGTCAGTCGTACTTGTAACACGAGCACCATCTCCCCGCATTGACAAAGAATACAGAGCGGCCCTCCGTGCCATGTCCCCAACCCATCCCCAGCATGCACCTGTTCGCGAGGTGCACCGGAGCCGCTCGTCTATGACCAGCGGGCTGACATCTCCACCTGGGAGTGAGGCGTACTATGGTGAGACAGACAGTGATGCAGATGTGGCCGGCTATGAAAGGCAACGACGCCAGAAACGTCGAAGTCCAAGCAACTCCACCTCTGCCAAACCATCAGGCCGAGCATCTCCTGAAGGCGGAGAGACTTCAGAGATGAGCGGTTATGACAGTGCTCCTGATGCACGCATCTACCATCCTTTATTAGATGGACGAAAAGGCAATGGAGTCGAAGGAAACAGCTTACCAGGAGTGGTGCGCAGAGAGGTCATTTATCAAGCTCCAGGTCCGGGTATGTGGTCTTCGCAAACCTCCACTGAGACATCCTCCATTATCTCCTCGGCAGATGACCAAGGACCACGAGATGGAGCACAAGAAGATGATAGTGGTTTTATTGAGCAATCAAATGTACCATTGGTATCTCCAGAGAGAGCCAAAGAAGCCATGATGCTTGGCTCCAGGGGGCAGCTTGTGCCAATGGTAGGGCCTCTTAGCAAACCTATTGATGAGGAGCTTTCTAAAACATACATGGAAAAAGCTAAGCAAGCAAGTAAGTTCAACTTTTTTTTTTACCAATCAAATGTATTATTAATTAAGTTAGACAATGCCACATTTTTAATTTTATTATAATTGATTTGTCTTTTCTCCAGCAAAATATATCACAGTCATAGACAACTTTTAAATATTTGCTCATCATGATGATCAGCTCTAGAGTGTGGGCAATACAATCTTCACACGCTTGTTTCTATTATGGAACAGCTTTGGGTTACTAGTGTTGCACTTGACACCATAACAAGTTAGAGCATAACCAAATCTTCTCTCAATCAACAGCTTTGTTAGCACATTTTCACCAATGTAATTGAAAGCAAAATAGATAGATTAAAAAAAAATAGATAAATAAATAAAACAGAACTCAAACCTGAATAAAAGGATCACACCGTATCATTCAAATGGGATTACAAATGTTTATTCAATATCAATAAATGTTTGTTTTTACACTTTACAGAACTGAACAGAGGGGATACAGTCCAAGACAAAAATGTAAAAGAAGCCAAAAGCAAGTGTCGAACAATTGCATCTCTTCTGACTGATGCTCCCAATCCACATTCAAAGGGGGTACTAATGTTTAAAAAAAGACGCCAGCGCTCAAAAAAATACACCTTAACAAGCTTTGGCAGCGTTGATGAAGATCGTTATCTGGACTCACAAGAGGAGTCTGAGTTTGATGAAGATGGTTTCTCCTCAGTTCCTGATCCAACTTGGGACAGTGACTACATGGATATGTTGGAGAAAAGGGCCACCGCAGGAACAGGAGGTCGTGGAGATGGGGCAGAAGATGCTCCGAGTCCAGGATTGAGTGACACCACAGGAAAGGGTGCACAACTGTTTGAGCAGCAGAGGAAGAGAGCTGTTGAGCATGCCAAGAAAATAGAGGCAGCAAATCTACAAGTATCTCCTCAGCCGCATGCACAGGAGCAGTCAGAAATGAACCAGATGGGTTCAATTATGCCTCCACAAATGCAACATCTTCAACCACAACCAATCACGTCATCTGGGCTTCAGCACATGCCACCTGCCTCTCCGACTAAAACGTCAGCGTATGCTGCAGGAAGTAACATGCCGTCTCCAACTGTAGCACCAAAACCAAGCATAGCTGATATAACTGTTCTTGGTATGACTGAGCCTTCCAGTGAAACCCTGTCATCAGAATCTGCAGGTAGTGTGCTGAACCGAACAGCCCGTCCATTTACACCTGGATTCATCAGCATCCGATCCTCAACTGCCCCTGTACCTTTTCGGCCACCTGTCACAAAGACAAGCCAGAGGCCAGCCTCAGCTGCTGTGATGGCTCATTTTCCAACTACTGCTGAGGTTAGTGTTCATGTTCCACCACCAGTGTCACAATTATCCACTGTGCCTCCATATGTACATCCCTTCCAAGGACCACCTAGCAGGCCTTTAGCTCCAGAGATTCCTACACTTGCTCCTTATCAGCCAGTCTTCTCTACCTCAGCACAAACCTTCCAGGCAGCACCACCAATAACAGCAGTCCATCAGGCTCAGCTAGTCGCAATTCCCCCATTCTCTATGCCTACAATTACTATGGCTCCACAAGCACCAATACCTCAAACAAATGTTACACCAATGTCCCAAACAGTTCATGTTGCTTCAGTGCCTCCTGTACAGGCAGCAGTTCCCCACCTTCCTCCTGTCCAGTTGACTGCACCTGTGGCACAGGTGGCTGTGGTGTCACAGCCGGAACAAGTTCCACCTACTCCTATTCCTGGATCTATGGGACGCACTGGGATTTTACTGGATTCATTGCGGCGTGGCGGTAAACCCAAACCAATGTTTACTGTGCCAGAAGTGAAGAAACATTCACCTAATCCTGAACTTCTATCCATGGTGCAAAATTTAGATGACAGATTTTGCAGACAGAGATATGGCCCTGATGCAAACGCTGGTGAAATAGTAGATGAGAATAGTGGGGATTTTGACAAACTACCACCTCCTGTAGCACCTAAGCCTAAAGTTATTCACGAAACAACACCAATTCTCCAAGCAGAGGGTAAAGGGGCTCAGTTATTTGCAAAAAGGCAAAGTAGAATGGGTATGTATGTGGTAGATACTCCACCTGAAACACCTTATCAGCAAGAGGTATCTCTTCACAGTTCAGTCCAATCTATGAGTCCCTCAATGAACCCTGACCTCTCTTCTCAATGGAAATACACCCCAAATGTCCGTGCTCCACCGCCAATAGGCTACAATCCTCTTTTGGCACCCACAATTCCTACCGGCCCACAGAGGGATTCAAGAACCGAAGCTCAAGGCAGGGCACCTCCACAGAGAGATGGAATCAAAGCTCTTGATTTTATGAGACGACAACCATACCAGCTCAATGCAGCCATGTTTAATTATGGAGGTAGTGTTTCAAATCTATCAGCTTTACCTTCCTATCAGGCTCAGAGGCAACAGCAGGCAGGTGATTATGGAATGGTAGGGAGTTCCTTAACTACCCCCAAACAAATTCCAGTCAAAACCGGACGAGTTTATGAGATCAAGAGATTCTCCACACCCACTCCAATGTCAGCTCCTACCCTTACACCAAAGGTGATAGCACCCCGCTCAGCCACCACACTGGGAGACCGCATAACTCTTTCAGGTACCATTTCTCCCCCTCCTGTTGCCCCTTTCACATACACTCATGCACCTCTGACCTCAGCACCAATCCGCACTGCCACAGCTCAAGCAGTACCTCCTCCACAACCAGCATATCTTCCCAGACTCCCCACATTTTCAACTCCTACAATTCCCAACCCAGTGCCTCCCTCTGTACCCACACCTTATACTCCAGTATCATACTCCAGTGGGCTCCAGGCAGCCAAGCAGTTTCAGAGTGCTCCTGAGCTCAGTATCCTGGCCTCGTTGCCCCCGCTTAAATCCACAACAGTTCAGGCACCCAAGCCTCGTTTTGTTGCTACTAAGGGTGGTGTCCAGCCTCGTGTATGGAGGCCGGGTGCAATGTAAACAGTTACAAGAAACCTGTAAGCAATCTGTTTGTTAAATGCATAAGCAATACAATATTTAAGTATACAAACATCAATTTTGAATGTATTAGAAATGGCACAAAGCCTTTGTATTTTTGTTATATATCTTGTATTTACACATTATTTATTACATGGTAAACACACATACATCACGCATGCATCCTCATAATATAAAACATGGCATTTGCATGGTTGTAAAAAGAGGCAAAAGTGGCATTAGCGAGATATACCATTGTCACTTTGTCACATGTTCAACTTAATGCCCCCAGGCATAGTTGTAGTGTTATTGTAACTAGAATATGTACAGATGTTAATTATTCATAACTCAAATTAAACAAATAACAAAGCTAACCTGTGGTTGTATTTTGTAATTTGGTTTGTTTGTAAAAGGGACTAAGGGTAACAAATGTGAGTAAGAACGATAACAATGGAGAGAATAAGGAAGTGAAAGCAATATAAAATGTGCCTTTAAATGAGCTAACTATGGGGCTTGTCTCATGAGGCATGACCTGAAAAGCTTGGAATGTGAGGGATTGAATCCAGCTGGACTATGTATGTAAATTGGTACGATGATTTATTTGTGACATGACTTTTAATAAGGCAGACTTCAATCAAAGTGTGTGTATTTATTTTATTTGTTTCTTGAAGTGTAGGTGTAATAGAACATTTGTTACTAATTGTATCTTGTTTTGTGTTACTTTAGCTTTTGCGTCCACATATTGCGCACACCCATTAATACATTGGTGTAAATGCTTTTAAGTTAATAAAGTAAATGAATCAAACTTGCGTCATCTCCCCCCCTTTTTGAGACATGGCACATTTGTTTTATCTAATAAAGCAATCACATGACACACTACCAGCTGAAATATTATCAATGCAAAGTCATTCTTATCAAGTGTATTACATAGGACATCAAACAAGCACAAAAAAGTCTCTAATCTTTCCACATTCGCTACTTTTCACAATTACTTTGAACAATGAGGTGATATTGGATCATTTCCAAAGGCACACCAAACAACATCTCAAGGCACACTAATGTTCCAGGGTTCATTAGTGGAAAAACGTTGATCTACTTCATTTCTAAACTCACACTGCCCCCTGTTGTTGAACATGTTAAAATTGGACCCCTGTGATATATCTTCATTTTATTGTAATGTGTTGCATATAAGGCATAAATATATAGGATACAGAATAGATCTGTTCTCTATCCCAATTATTTATGTGTTCGAACAAGGTAAATCCTTGTAGATAGACGAGTGGGTATAAATGATCATCTCCGCTCTTTGAAAAAATATACAAGCAGGAGGATATACATAGTACAATGCAGTAGAATTGATAAATTTACTTTAAAATGTATTCAGATTTCAGACATAAATAATGAATAAAGCAAAACAATTTGAGTCAACAAATTGAGTTCCTAATTGCATGTGACCTTCAGATGGTGCTATAGAGGCGGTTTTCATCCAGGATCGTGAAACTGCAACAGAACCACACTTTTTTTTTGATTATGTTCAATTTGTGTGAAATCCATAATTTTATAAACATGCATCAGGTCAAAGAGAAAGGGAGTGATTCATCCTAAAACATGGGTAGGTGAGGGTGAGGAGACACAAATGCCAAGACAGTGGGATGTAGACACTCAAACGTCTACCAAGTCCTTTGAGGTTACCTTAGAACTAAGCTGCCCCTGGTTATGTGCCTTAGTCCTTTGCTAAACTAAATATAGTCTCCTCAACCATCTGCGAGAATGATTTTGTTCCGTTTATATCCCCATCAGCACTTTCAGCTGGCCAACAGAGAGTTCTCCCCCCACCTCCATGAATCTCAACAGTATTCATACTCTTTACTCCTCCTCTTGACACCAGCACTGCTGCTCCACACCCCTTCCCCCTGGAAGATCTTCCATCAGATTGAAGGGTGGATTTTGCACTTCCCGAGACCTGGTTCGAGCCATACGTAGGGTCAGAGGCACTGAGGGATTTGTAAACTTGTGATTGAGACCACAGCATTGAGACTTGGGTCTCTCTCTCAGTATTTATAGCTGTCTCTCCTCCCAGGATTACAACAAATACCCGGTGAGTGCAGCTCCAAGGGATTTTTTCAGTCTTCCAAACAGACAGAAACTTAGACAGGTTCTCATGATTGAGGAAGAGTGGAGTAGTTATAAATTATGACTGCCTTTTACTGGTGAAACAAATTTTAATCTTCAGTTATGATTTTTGTCATTGTTAGGTCTAAAATAGTGTGATATTTTTGATTCTGATATTTGTTGGTGTTGCAAATATTTTATATGGTGCTACAGCTCTGATTTTAGAGGGAGGGAAACCTGAGCACAAGGCATCCCTGAGCGTGTAGCTAGTTTATGGTGGATAAAATGGATTTGAAGGCTCTAAATATTTTTGCATTTTCAAATCATCCCTGTATTGAATGTTTTTATCAGTGCTGTGCAAAAATATACAACCTAAACATTTTTGAACATATTTTAGTCATGTTCAATGACGCTATAACTTGTTGCTAAAATGTCTTGGCTGGAAATGCATTTTAAAAATAGCTGCAGTGGGATCACTTACAGAGAGTGATGTGGTGTTTTGCAACTTACTTTAAATGTATAAAAAAAGCTGATTGAATTCAGCATACTGTGTACTTAATCAAAGAGGTACACGTTATAAGTTGTTAGGTACGTCACAGTAGAACAAACAGTGTTATGACAAAGTAGTTATTAGTTATTTATCGCTATGCAGGTTCTCCAGAATACTGCACATCGGGGAATATGATCTGGTGATAAGAATGATGCCTTCTTGTTACTTCATGATTCCCCTGAAGAGGCCATAGTGGTAGATAGTTCCTGCAGCGGAGGGTGCCTGTGATGTGTGAATCACATTGTGCTTGTGTATATGTTGTCTGTGTACATGTCTAATGTTCCCAAACAAAACTGAAACGCAAAGAGAGCTATATGTTTCCTTTGGACTAGTCGTCAGGTGACTGTAGAATGTGAGGAATCTCAGGGCACTGACATCACCCTTGAACTTGAAAATAGAGACGGGTCCTCCATGCTGCCCGCCCTTTGGTTTGGTTTGGAGTCAAGATGGCCATTTTAAATGTCAACATATTCAAGTACACACAGACAACAAAAATATAAATGGATTTGGGATGAATTTAGAAGAAAACTGGGACGGACACATTTTAATTTCAAGATTCCAGATCCAAGAATTTATTTGCCATTTGCAGTAACTTTTTAAAGTTTTGAATGGCCCCACAATACATCTCAGAATTGATCAAATTTACCACTTGCACCATGCTCTGAGGTGCGAGGATCAGCTCTTGGTCCCTATAAAACAAAGTCAAATTGTTTTTGCCTGTTGGATTGTTATTTTACAGCTTACTATATTTGAGTAGCACTTTGGAAACTATTTTGTTTATAAAATGTGCTATATACATAAACTTGATTTGGATCTGATTTAAAGTCTATTTGACAAGAAAACCCCTCTGTGTGGAGTTGGCTTGTTTCTTTCCATGTCTGGAAGCGTTCCTACAGGGTGCTCTGGTTTCCCCCACCACCCAAAACATGCACCGTAGGTGAAATCCTCCAGCTCTGGTCGTCCTGACCAAGCCGAGCATCAACAACTCTGCAGCAACCACTGCTCCTGACAGGTTTCCCTAGTGACAGATCATACATGTACCTACAGGGTTTTTGTACTAGAGCTCATTGTCTGTATGGTAACTCCCTATATGAATTATGTTTATGGGGCTCCATCTGATTTTTTTCATTGACACAAAACAGATAGTAAATTCTCTGTGTTGTTGTCTTTCTGCACCAGAAGCCATGCCTCAGGGAACACCTGCTCCCCTTGCCAAAAGGAAAAAGCCTTCGAGCTCAAAGATCATTACTGATTTGTCACATGTTGCTCAGCATGGTAAGCACGTACCATGGTAAGAAATCATACAATAATCAAAATGTACAAAATAGAAACATAGACAAATAAAAAAATATGTAATAATGTTATGATAAATGATACAACGATATAAGACAATATTCTATACATTACCTTGAGTTGTATGCTTATCCACAGAACCAGAACCAGAGGCCTCTGAGTTGGACCTGGGTATTAAGGTCAGAACTCCCAAGGATATCATGTTGGAGGAGCTTTCCCTCGATAAAAATCGAGGTTCCAAGATGTTCAGGATGAGACAGCAGAGAGTGGAAAGGTTCATTTATGAGAACAACCCTGACATCTTCACGAGTGAGTCCATGGTAAGACAAAAAAATTGTACAAAGCATATAATCTGTCTAGTCAGTCTGTCTACGCACAGACTGACTCATTGAACTTTAACGGATACAATCTTTTTAAGGACAACTTGCAGAAGTTTGTTGGAGGGCAGTTTGGTGGACAAATGATGAATACTGGAGGGCAGCTTATCAGTCATCAGGCTGGGACAATCAATCTGGGAAATCTGCAGTTTGGAGACAGTGCCCCTGTGCCCCCACCGAAACCTGGAAGCAAAAGAGCAGGAGGAGAAGGAGGTGTGGGAGGAGTGGGAGGAGTAGGAGGAGCAGGTGGTGCCGGTGGTGCCGGTGGTGAACATGGGAAAGGCGGTGAAGAGATAAGTGAGTGGTCTCCACTGAAAGGTGAGTATTATTGTGGTAAGGACTTCATTTTCAGAGTTCTTTGTTCATAATAATTTAATATTCTATGAAGGTGGTGGAAGAGATGAGAAGAAGCATGTTCTACTTATGAAAACATATGTGTCTCCGTGGGAGAAGGCAATGAAAGGTGACGAAAATCTCATTGCCACACTCAAACCTGATATGCCTGGGCCTGTTCAATTTAAGGCCCCCCCCAAGTACAGAAGCTTTAATAGGTACAGCTCTCATCCTTTATGTTTAGTAAAAATGTATAGGGCCTCTATTACCTCTTGTTTCTTTCTTTGTTAGGAGTGCAATGCCTTTTGGTGGGTTTGAGAAAGCCAATCAGTTTTTGAAATTCCAACTGCCAGATGCAGAGGCGACCAAACAAGAGCCCGAGCCTCCAGTGGTGTACCAGCAAGACATCGGCTGTCGGCCATCTTTCAACCGCACTCCTATTGGCTGGGTAGGCAGCTGTGAGCCCGGCAGCCTTCATATGGAAACAGATGCTGTGCCTTTTGACGGTGAAACTGATGAGCTGTAAAAACAAATGATAATAATGATAAAAAATTGTGTACAGAGCCATGTCTACAAAGATGCACATACAAAGAATGTGCAAGCACCACAACATATACTTATAAACACATTCATAGACAATAGATACATCTATAATGAATGTCTGTATATCACAGTGAGTTAGAGCAGTATGTTTATTTTTCTAATTACATTGATGAATGAAATCACTCATGTCTGCCAGTACTTGTTTAAACGTGGGAAGAATGAGAAAAGTTTAGGACTGATTTCTGGAACACTAGAACTTGCTTTTTGTTTATCATCAATTTAGGTAACTTGATGATTAAAGTGTCACAGAATGCTGACCGTAACATTCACAATATCCTCAATAAACTCCTTCAACATCCTACATCTTTTTCCCCCTTTGATGATTCAGTGTGTAACTTGAGTAACTTCAGGGCCTCAATGAGTAAAGGGCCTTTTCATTTGATGCAACATACATTTAAAGTATAATTAATCTTTAAAGTGTTGATCATTCTGGACGTGCTTTTAGTGAATCTACTATTTCCACTAATCTTACAAAAGAAATAATACACATTATGTACATTTAGAAAAGCAATCAGAAGAAATCCTCTTTTATCAGTGTTGGGGAGAATACCTGTACTTGTACTTCATTCCAATAAATAGCATAGAGGACACCTTCTATATTCCTGTCTCATTTCTCTGACAATTAATGATTTTAGTCGGCCTCTTCCTCAGGGCTCCATCTTGTGTCTGTTTCACAGCTAAATTAGATATAATTTAAGAAAAAAACCTCAAGTGCCAGAAGAGTTCATCAGAAAAGGGCAAGGTCATATGGTTACTAAAAGTGATCACAATTGTTCCTGTCTAAACTACATGATCCATTACCGAAATAAAGTTCCAATCATCGTCTTTTGTGAAATGTTGTATATATTTCTTGGCCATGGGTAACAATAAGAAGTTAAACACTGCCTAACTCATATGGAAGGATAATATTAACTCATGGCTTAGGCCTAACCCCTCCTGTCCAGGCGGTGGCAGTATTGCATCGTTGCGCTCATTCAGCCCTTCGAGCCTGAGCAGTGGCTCTACGGTTGTCAGTACTATGGAAAGTAAAGAGACTTTTTGATCACTATTTTTTATCTCAACATAAACAGATTAACTTTTCAACATTATTCAAAATGAGTGAGCTGAAGGCAAGAAGGTGGCGTTGACATGCTAGCTTTAGCCAGAGTGGCCTATATGCGTTTACAGGTAAAATAACATAATATTGTTTCTATTACGCTTTACAATTGTCGTGTTTACCTAACGCGATGGTGTTCGTGTCGCCCTTTCACCGTAGAAGAGTGTTTCTGTCTGCTTCATGCTGTTAGAGAAGTTTAATGTTTACACTGATGTTTGCACGCGAAGAAACCTGGTACTCCGTTACCTAGCAACGATATTATTCTTTATGCTGATAACCAGAAAAAACTCAAGACTCCCAAACATAGCAAAGAAAACACAAATTTAGAATACCACTGAGCCATCCACAAATTCACATCCATCTGTATTAGTGCATTTTAGCATGTATGTTGTGTAATGATCCCACAAATTATGTGTACAGGTTAATTTTGTCAAATGACCTCAAAATCAAGGTCCCAGATCGCATCTCTGCCCCGGGCTGAAATCTTTGCATATTGGGTGCTGTCTTTTGGTTCTCATCTGTATTCATTCTATCAGTTGCACATATTTTCCAAAGGTGTGAGGAGTTTACATTTGAATAATTATTTCATTTAAAATTCCCATTGACTACATTGTTGTGTTTGCTTTTTAAATACAGACCATGAGGTAAGCTTGAGAAAGGATTTCCAACTGGAGCATGGTTTTTTACAAACATTTAGGGTGAGTAATATACCTTGCAACTTTATATGCAAAAAAGTGTCAATCACAAATGCCTTATATTTCAGGACCCCAATGACTTTGAGTGGACGTTTTGGAATTATTGGGCAAAGAATTATTTACTGTATAGTTTCTTTGGCCATGGGATTATCACAATAATAACAAGCCTTATATTTCCCAAGGTATCACTTAATTATTCACTGATATTGACGACAAACACAATGTTTAGATAACTGTTTTCTCTTTCGCTCACAGTTTAAAGTGCCATTATCTGCACTGTATGGGTTCATTGTTGCCAGCACGGTACTTGGATTTAAAGGAGTGTCTGTACTTCTGAGTCATCTTTGCATAAATTTTTTTGTGGCCCAACTTAGAAGACCTTCATTGTGTTGGGCCTCAAACCTACTACTGCTGTTAACTCTTCATTTTCAGCCATTGCAAGATGTCCAGGTGAGGTGATGTCCATTTTTACCATCTTTTACTAGTACCCAATGCTGGAAATGAACACAAGATGGCACTATACACTAAACTAACACACTCTTCATTATTCACACCTTACACCCCATTTACTATCATGGACTTACAGTGACTCCCACTACTTACTACTAATACTTGCATTCATAAAAACAAAATGTATTCAATGGCATGTAGCTGAGGAGGTCAGTTTCTCCAGTACAGTACGCCTTTGTACAGTCCAACTCTCCCACGCCATTGCATTGCAATAGTCTCACCTGGTTGTAGTCCAAACTAAGGGTAGTATTTTTAGGCTATAGTTGATAGGTGATTATTATCTCCATATTGGAAATGACAGTCAGTCTCTTTTTGTGCCGTGTGCTCACACAGCTGAGACGACTGTTCACAAGAAGCTGACGTTTAGTGTTCCTCGTTAGCTGCAGTCTTACTTCTATTGCAGTTATTATTCTGGGGAACTATTCGGTCATTTTTTCTTTGCTAGCTCGGTTCACTTAATGAAACCTTGCCACTCTATTATTTGGTCAGTCTATATTCACAATATCCAATTTTAACAACCCAAATGTTAGTATTTCTGGGACAGTTTGCTTCAATCTCTAAAAAATAATTGCCGTTCTTATTGTTTCACAGAGAGGCTGGTATGAAACCGAGGAGGAGTACTATCTCCTTCCCTTCAGTGTTGCCATGTGTGGTCTGCGATTTATCAGCTACAGCCTGGAGCATTGCTGGAGCCTCAACAAACCGAGGCGCATAGTGCAGCTATGTTGGTTATTTTCCTATACTTTCTACCACCCTTTTTTCTACAATGGACCTATTATTGGGTACAAAGACTACATCCAGCAGGTGAGATCTTACTTTGTAGGAATATGCTGTAGTCATAGATTAATATATGCATACACAAAGTTTTTTCCTTGTTTATTCCAGCCCTACAACATGAAATTAATGAATTGTAGCTTATCTCTGTTGTTAAACGTTTCTAGCTGACCACTTGTAGCTAAGCAGATGCGACCCTTTATTCCAGATATCACTTCTAAAGCAGTGTCTGTGCTCTGTCAGCCACTTGTTAGATTCTGTAGGGGGTTTTGACTCCTTTTAACATGTGTGACCTGAACTGCTCTATAGTCTTTTGTGTGCTGACTTTGTGCACTTCACAGATCAAACAACCAGTTGAAGACCTGGGCAGAGATTGGGCTGTGCTTAAATTCCTTATTTTTCGAATATTGAGAATTATACTGTGGTGGGGTATTGCTGAATACATGCTCCATTCCATGTATATGCACTCAATTCAGAGCAATGAGACCTACTTGGAGATACTTCCTCCTTGGGCGCTCGGTAAGTCAAAATATACAGTATGTACAGTGTGTATATAGAGCTAGTGCAAAAGTATGCAAAAAGTGCTTTATAAGAAGCGCTGAATCAGAATCAGAATCAGAAATCAGAATCATTTTTATTGCCACGTAAGTAACAGGAGGTCACAGACTTGGAAATTGCTTTGGCTCAGTGCAACAGTCAGAAAGAGATAATAAAAAAAAGAATAAAAAACACTTCTAAAGAATAAATTTAAATTTAAAATAGAGTTACAGTTACTATTTACAATATACAAGTGCACATGGTGCACACAATGTAAGGTGACAGCAGTACAGTGAAGTAAAGTGACATATGATGGGCAGTAAAATGACTTTATAAAGGGCGGGGGGACAGGTTAAGAAGTGTTCAAGAGTCCAACAGCAGAGGGGAAGAAACTGTTCTTGTGGCGGGAGGTTCTAGTCCTGATGGACCGCAGTCTCCTGCCTGAGGGGAGTGGTTGGAATAGTCCATGTGCAGGGTGAGAGGGGTCGGCTGTGATACGACCAGCCCGGCCTCGAGCTCGGGCGACGTACAGGTCCTGCAGCGATGGAAGGCTGCGGCCGATCACATCCTCTGCAGAGCGCACAATGCGCTGTAGTCTCTGCTTGTCCCTGACTGTGGCGCCAGCGAACCACACGGTGATGGAGGAGGTGAGGATGGACTCGATGATGGCCGTGTAGAACTGCACCAACATCTGTGCAGGCAGCTTGGCTTTCCTGAGCTGCCGCAGGAAGTACATCCTCTGCTGGGCCTTCTTGATGAGGGAGCTGATGGTCGGCTCCCACTTGAGGTCCTGGGTGATGGTGGTGCCCAGGAAACGGAAGGACTCCACAGAGGTGATGGGGGAGTCCATCACGGAGGGTGGGGGCGGGGGGACAGTGCTCTTCCTGAAGTCCACAATCATCTCCACTGTCTTCTGGGCGTTCAGCTCCAGGTTGTTACCACTGCACCAGGACACCAGCCGGTCCACCTCCCTCCTGTAGGCGGACTCATCGTTGTTGGAGATGAGTCCAATGAGGGTGGTGTCATCCGCGAACTTGATCAGCTTCACAGAGTCGTGGCTGGAGGTGCAGTGGTTGGTGTACAGGGAGAAGAGCAGGGGAGAAAGAACACAGCCCTGTGGGGCTCCTGTATTTATAATCCGAGAGTCCGAGACATTCTTCCCCAGACGCACTCGCTGCTTCCTGTCCGTCAGGAACATGATTATGCTCCCGTAGGAACTCAGATTTTCTGAATACTGAATAGAAAATTAGCAATTAGGTGTATTATATAGTGGGTAATACTTTGGAATAGTAGACAGTATTTCAAACTAGGCAGGTGTTCTTCAGACAGCTCTGTAGTGAAAGCAACTTAAAGTGAAGGTCATTAACTTTTCAAATTGTTAAAATGGAGAGATGTTTTTTTCAAATGCAAGTGCCAGTTAAACCCGCCCCCATAGGTTCCTGATTGGTTACAATGAATTAAAATCCTTGATAGACTGTTGAGTCTGCTGTTTTAAGTATATATAATGTGTAAGATACTTAATATAGATAAGGCTACAGGGTCATATGGTCAAAGATATGTATTTTCTAAATTAAAAACAATTTGCGGACGTCACCTTTAAAGAACATTTAAAAAAAAATCTTGGACAACAAATAACAAAATATTCTTGTGTCATAGGTGGCCTGGCACTAGCCCTTGTCCAGTTCTTCTATGTCAAGTATTTGGTCTTTTTTGGCTTGCCATCCATGCTGGCAATGATGGACGGACTGATCCCCCCAAAGCTCCCTCGTTGTGTTAGCATCATGCGCACTTTCACTGGAATGTGGAGGCAAGAGACTGTATCTTTTAAAATATTTCAATAACCTATATATTTAAGGAATCTATCAAAATGAACAGTTCAAGACAACATGCTTGACATATTGATTGAAGTCAAGTACCGTAGTGGGCAGTGAGCAATCAAGTGAACACATCCTCTTCTGTTATTACAATCAGAAGCACAGGTCACCTCCAGCATGGGTTTCAAACCTATTGTATGTAAGGGCCGGGACACTTTTGAGATAAAAATCACTCTTCCTGGACTTAATCTGACTGGTATGGCATTCTATACAATCCATGCCTTACAACCGACAAACAAATATAAAATATAATAATAGCAAAAATTTATGAGTTCTTCTTCCAGAATCCTGAAACCTTATATAAAGCAGGTCTAAGGCTCTAAGTCCCTAAGTCTTAAATAGGACTATACTGTACACCTAAAAGATTAACCCAAAGAAAGACAAAAATGTGGAATATATAATAATATTTGATATTCTGAAGAATCTTTGGTACCACAATTTGTGAAACACTATCCTAAAACATTTTGGCAGACCAATGGAAATATGATATACCTCAAGTTTGACTTCTCCTTCAGTTCGTCTGTCGCACCCACCATGACTAGATCCATATAATCACTATGGCTCTCCTCTATTTAACCACATTTCTCTCTCGAGAGTTTGCTGTTCAGTGTAAGTGTGATACACATTTTCCACACCGAATAGGAAGCTTGTGTGCAGATTCTGGAAAAAATTCATTACACTGCCCAATGTGCTGACACCAGTGCACTCCAATCTAAACTGAGACGTGCTGAGCTGGGCAATGTTGACAACACTGATGGAATGCATAAACCTCTCCACCAGTAACATTGGAAAAACACTATCTGCTTCATTGGCTGCAGGAAACAAATAGGTAATTTTCTAATTGAGAAAGACCCATAACAAAAATGTGCCTTCAGCAAACCGATCTTTTCACCGGTCATTAGTTCAGTTGTTCTCAACGTTGAAACCCCTTGAGACTCGCAGAATTATTTCAGGAAGCCCCAAATGCAAAACTTTACAATGACAGCAATTGTCTGATAGTCAATAGTCAAAGCAGTGTTAGATGTAGGTTGCCTTTTGTTGCATGACAATAAAATATAGGTTTGTGTCCTGAATATAAAATTACACATGTACAGATTGTCACTGAAACAGATTGAGATCCACTGCTCTAGTCTGCATGCAGGTGCTTTTAAGTGAATTTTATTATTATGCAAATCTGTTTTATTCTTCTGTTTTTCCTCCCACTTAGGCATTTTGATGAGGGCCTTTATCGGTGGCTCATCAGGTAAGAGAATTTGTAATTTCCAAGACAAATGAGCGCAGAAACTATCATGATCACTCTGCTTTTCTATAATTTATTACACACAAAATCCATTGTGGTTATATTTTGCATTATTTATTTTTGAGCTCAGTGTATCTCAGAGATTTTTGTTGAATGGGTGAACAAGGGTCTCCCGTTTTCCAGCTGCCAGCACTCACGTCTCATAGAGCATTTGCATGTTTTGTTTGTTCTCATGATCATTAAGCAGCAGGTTATAAGGTGAGATGTGCTACTGTCTCCAGACACCAGGAACAGCCCTCTTTGTTTGGATTGTGGGTTTGTAATGGCAGTTACTCAACTTTAGTATGGATCAAAGTTAGGCCAGTAGGTCATAGTAACAGTGTCATTCTGAAGAGATATTTATTACTACAGAGTGTACCAGTATTTGAAACTATGACACCAAGCCAAACAATTGGAAAGAAAGAAAAGTGCACTCATTAATTCTGGGCCTGATTCAGTGAGGAGGTATCACTGTATGTGCAATGTGTATTCTAGATTCTTACTATGTTGGCTCAGTGTTCAATATCTATATATAGAATTGTTTTACAGGGATCATGCTGTACTGAGGCATAAAGTAGTTTGAATATTATTGTTTATCACAATTACTTCCTGAAGCAATATATCGTCCATCAACCATGAGGTAATGTGACAGGATTAGTGCATTCATCGTATAAAGAATAGGTGCGAGGCAGGAGTGTTGTCCCCAGGGCCCAGTTTGTTACTATTCCCTGATCCTTTTTCGACTATAAACCGCTACTTTTTTCTAGCTCTTTGAACCCTGCAGGGTTATCTTATTTTATCTTATTGTGGTAGAGATGTCAGAGCAGCATTTATGGACTTATTATTTTGACTTGTTTATTGTCAAAATAGGCTTTTGAATGAGTACAGGCATGAAAGCTATAACGGTGAAGATGTTAAACACCTCGTCATTAAATCATTTGTATGGTACAGTATGTATACAGTATATAATATAATTTATAAATTGTTTCTGGTTTTGTTAACCTTGTTACAAATTCTGTGTGGCTGCTTTGATTACGTGGGAGTGAAAGCAGGTAATGTACTAGAGAATCTAAAATTTAAATTGCAAATGGTTCTAATCCTTGCCTGTGTCTGTCGTTAATAGTTTTTCTTAATTGCAGCATTTGTAATTATCTAAGTGCAACGCGAAGTGATAGCTGTTACATAATACCATGGAAGTGTTTTTAAAAAAGGTTTTAATGCAGTTTTGAAATCGTCTGAAGAGCACTAGATGAGTGTGTAGGTGTTAAACAATGTGCTCCACACGTTTCCCAGGGCAGCCAAGTAGCCCAGTCTCTGCCATTATGTCTCTTTTACACATTAAAAATTCGTCAACCAGAATGCTTTGTAACCGACTGACGGTACAATAGACACCCTAACCCTAACCCTAACCATTTGGCTAAAGAGTATCCAGTGATTCTGTTGTGGTTCAACAATGCATTGGAAGGCTGAGCATAAAGAAAGTAAAACATTTATATTTGATCTCATATAGTGCCATTTAATGCAGACTTGCTTTCCTTTGTATCCAACTTCATACTTTTTTGATAGAATTATCTGTGGACAATAAACAACGCAAGCTTCTTTCAACAATCTGAAATGACTTTAAACCAACATAAGATTTAGATAAAGTCGTCACAATAAGAAGACTAACATCACACACATGTGCAAGCTGCTATTGATGACAGATGATTTTTGAAACATTGTTTCCAATCAGCTGCGACACAGACCTAAGTGAGCGGTCACACACTTGTACATCACATACTCCATTCAAGCAGAGGAAAGTAAAGAGATCGTTTAAGGCACCAGAACCTCACTCAAGAGAACAAGGAGACTGTGAGTCCACTGTAGAAAGTCACTGGACACGTTTGCCACTATGATGGATACTAAAGAAATAAAGCAAAATCTTAAACAAGTGGTCAATGAAAGGTATGAGCATTTTCATGTATACGCGAAAGCTACAAACAACACCAAAAACGTAAAGGTTTTGCAGCCTATTACTTAAAGACACTACATAAAGTATGTATTGGATAGAAGCAACACAATCAGCCTTAGTTTTTTAAAATATGAATTATTCAGAGACTAGAAGCATTTTTTGTAACCGCTTTGAGTGTAGTCCAAAACATAAAATGTTGCTCTTTAGTTGAATATATTTTCATCTTGATCTTAATCTAAAGTATGTATGTTTTAAGTGGTTTCTAACTCCATCTTTTATCTGCCGACGTCGGTCATCCAATAAGGCCATGCTGTCTACTCTATTTCAAGCTCAGAAAATGCTGGCTCATCTTTCAGGAATATTGATTAGCAACGGGGGGGCTGAGATAATTAGGTCCTAGCTCAGCACCACAAGACTGAACATGCTCACCAGTTTAGTCGGATGCGGCAGTGGTGTCAGAAATGGGTGGTTTGGGACAAATTATACATCGTGTTGCAATATGGAAAGTCCTAACATTTTGGACATAAGCAAATGAGCATCCCAGAGCAGTGTAGTTTCAGTGATTTCTGAAATGACGCCGTTGTCCAAGTCTGTAATAGATGTCCTGTCTTTCTTGAGGATGGGCCGCACAAACATTTGTGAGTCACTTTTGCAGCTGCAGCATAAACGGAAAAGGGAAGAATGTAAATTACTTGAAGTGGCCCTATTTTTGTGCTAAATGTCAGAGCGATGTAGATTTGATGAAAACTCCAATCAGGTCATATTGTAGTGACTATGACAGGTGCTATTTGTAATTTGCAGCTATGTTCTCCTCTTATGACCTTTTGTTTTGCCGTACATCTGCATTGTTTGTGTCATCCATCAAACTTACTGTCGTTGAGGTACATTAACTGTCTATTGCATACAGTACATATTTTAGTGCACTCGAAATAGATTAAGAAGGATCATCTTGTTTTTTTAGTAGCTTGTGATTTCATTCTTCTATATCAGATAAATGTACATCGCTTTCTTACATTTGTCTGATATTGAAGAACCAAACAACTTGAATGTATAATATGTGTAAAATTATACTTTAAAATGAAATCTACAAATCTCTATCAACTAATATGGGTGTCGAAAGCTTTTTTAGAAAGTATTGACACTAAAAACACTTCTTTTTGTGTTCAAAGTTACAACTTATTGTAAAAAAAAATTATTAGTGGGAAGTGGGAACTATCTCGGCACAGAAAAAAGATCAAACTCCTAAGTCCGCATACATTTTGTCTTGTAATTATAAAGGAGGTTATAGCTGGTGTCTGGGGATAGGATCTATTTGATTGTGGAATAGATAGAAATTAGATTTAGGGCCGAACCCACACAAATCCCTCTTACTTAAATATATTTTATTTGTAAGTTTGGAGTTCAGACTGGACCTGATTCATGCCAAGATATTTGATTTTTTTCATATAATATTAATATTTGACTTTTCCAGAAGTTTGATGGTAATATTTAATCAATGTATCTTGTTGGACCTGTGTTTTGGTAAAGTAAGGGGTTAAACTAGTCATATCAATGAAGTCTCTTGCAGATGCATGTTGAAATACACGGAGGCTTGTGTTTTTATTGCAGATACATCTATGTGCCGTTGGGAGGTTCTCGCCACGGTCCTCTTCACAAAGTGTTGTCCAGTGCTTTGGCGTTTGCATTTGTCTGTCTGTGGCACGGCGGCCATGACTACTTGCAGTACTGGGCTCTGATGAACTGGGCCGGGGTGATGGTGGAGAGTGCAATGCAGACGCTCTTATCCTCATCACTAATTCAGCCTTTTATTGTGAGTTTTATAGACTTGTGTGCTTATTTTAAGCCACAGTTCCATTATTTCCTCCACTGGGCTGTCACACAGTGTTGGTATTTACCATGAACCACCACCATTTTATGTTAAGAAAAGGCCAGTGAGGCAATTTATTATTAATGTTGCTCCTTTTTCCATTAGCTTATAGAAAAGATCCCCTAATGAAGTCTCAAGATTTCATTATTTTTTATTAAATGTTGCCTCGCACCACTTTCTAACACTGGTGACTTTGACAGTGGTTATCTCTCAGGGTTGTGCAGATTCATTTATTTATTTGTTGATTTCCCAGGAGCGACATTTTTCCGCAGCCATGAAAAGACGTTGCGTTGCTCTTCTTTGTGCCTTTTCCACCGCCATGCTCATCCTGTCAAATCTGATATTCCTCGGAGGGATCCATGTGGGAAGAATCTTCTGGAAACGCCTTTTTGTTCAAGGTAAGATGCTCTCAGGAAGTATAGTGTAGGCCTCTCTTCATTGGATTGTCCTTTTGTGATTTATTAATATTGCACTTCTGTTTTGGACACATTACATGTTAGCAAAGACTTTAATTATTTAAACAAACAAGACACACACATTAAAAAAACATTTACATTAATACAAGCTGAAACTGTAAAATGTGTTGCAGTAAGATTGAGTGAGAAACTGAGAATTTCTACAAAAGTTGTACTATAGGTCTTTATATTTTCTGAAATGTGTGGGAATTTTGAGGCCATTTGTTCATGTGTACGCATACATTTCCAGATATAACTCTCTTGAAGTTTAACTAACCCGAGCGATCACAGTGTTGGTCAGAAATTTTGATGTTTTGCCAAAATGCAGCCTTAGAGCGCAGAGTCATGCATAACTGTAATTTGGATTAAAAAGTGTTTTAATTTTAGTTTCTACACAAAGACATCAATATGAATGTATCACAGTGGTGTTGTGTTTATTTGATGAGCTGCACCGGCACACTCAGCACTGGCCACAGAGACAGCCAGGGCTCAGAGTGTAACGTGATCTGTTTCTGATCTGATCTCCGTTTGAAGGGATTCTCAGCTCAAAAGGAGAGGAAAAACATAGCCCCCGCCAAATATTTTAGCTTCAGAGTCAGTTTAGATCTGGTACAAATTGGCATGAGATTCACACCATTTTAGCTGTGCAAGATCAGAAGGCTGGGTTTGTGCCAATCATCGCTCTACAGGGGACTATTCCAGTTTGGAAATGGGAGATGTGACTCAGCACAGTCAAATCCAACAAGATACTGGGCTTTCAAAATATCCCGGTATTTGGCTGGTTTTATTTAATTCGTAGGGACTAGAAACGGATGACATATGAATCATACTGGTGATTATTATACAACATTCACATTTGTTTTTTTAGATATGTTTAAATATGAGATCTAACCTCAAAACGGAGATTCTCCCTTCTTTCAGAGTTGTGAGTTAGGACAGTTACAGCTTTTATGTTTTGTGACACTTCTCTCAAACCTTTGTACCATTCTGCTAAACGCTACACACAATACTGAACGGTTTGTCCAAGCACTAAACACTTGACCCAAAACTGAACTTTGATTGGAGAAAAATAATTGACCTATAACAGACCTATAGATCTATAAAACGTGTTGACAATTATGGCTCACTGCTTGTAAAACCCCAAAATAAAACATCAGAGAATTGGAATATTTTGATTATAGATTGTAAACCATAATCATGAAAATTATAATAAAATCATGTATTGGTTTCACCATTTTATGTTGAATTACTATTTCTTTTTTTACTTTTTATATACATATTTAATTTTTATTTCTAAAACACTGCACACTGACAATAATTAAAAGGGATTTTGTGAGTCTGACTTTTTTCCTTAAAATGTGGTATTCATCTAAGAATGTTTCTTAGACTCTCATGCTCTAGAAACATCCAATCCTCTTTTTTCTTGACTTTCCAGAATCTTACATGTATATTTTTAAAGAGTCTTTTTATGCATTGTGTGTAAGTGACAAAAGTGTAATTGTTTTGGTAAAAAGAAAGGAAGTGATTTGAGAGATGCGTTTGAAGGAGGTTTTCATGGTTTTGACAGTTTCACAGTTATTCTTTTATTTACAGAACTACTATTACAGTCTTATTCATTCAAAACATTGTGAATGGGAGTATTTGTCTGTATTTGTGCCATATTATCAAATGAAACGGCTTGAATTTTGTTACAAATAGAGCTGTGTGTGCACATACTTTAGACTGGGAGCGTCTGTAGGCCTACTGTAGTTACTTACGTTTGTCTGTGTGAGTAATAAAGCACATGGGGAGTTGTTGTCCGCTTAATTAACTTTAGATCAATGTCTTTAAATCAGCCTGTCTTTTATCTTCAGTGCTGCTGGCAGAAACCGCTCTGACCTCTAACGCAATGTGCTTACGATACTGTAAATACCAGTGTAGCCTCTCAAAGTCTACTATGGGCTTTGAATAAATTATATATTTTATGCAATGATGATAATTTCCCAACTGATGGGGAATACATTGCGTTTGATAGACGTGCAACAAACCAGCAGAAAGTAAAACCAACAGGATTTAACAATGTGGCCTATATGTTTGTCTAGTTTGTGTGGTGACAAGGAAGTTAGTCTGGGCCTTTGATTTCACCGTTTCAAGCAGTTCATGAGAAACTATTGAGGGAGCAGCTTTTGGTCTGTAACCTTGGTTTGAATGAAGTCATATTTCTGGCGGTTACCGTAAAGTGCCTTGGAATGTATGGTACATATACTAAGGATGGTGGCTCGGCACAACTGCACACACTGCTCATACTAAATGCAGAGCCTCGGGCCATAAATGGTTTTAAATGATTAATTGAATGCTTTGAAATAGTATTAAACTGATACCTCCAATGTATATGGGACCTGCATCCAAAAATAAGTGTTTAGGTTAGTGATGTTTTCAGTGTTGGCTCAGCACATGTCCGCAACATGAAGTAAAAAAACGCACTGATGTTACTGAGGCAGCATGTTTGTATGTGCAAATTCATTTTTGCCATGAATAGAGGCAAACAGTCCATTGAACGGCATTGTGTGTGCAGGTGCTGGGTTCCAAGATGATTTGGAGCCAAGCCATTGAGGAGGAGCAGACAGCTGTCCTTACCTTCCATTAGACCCTCTAAGATGCTATGAATACATAGACAGGAACATTGCAAATACTGTACATAAAGTACAGCACAGAGGCCTACATTATTCAATCTGAAGTATTTTCTCTTCTTTAAGATAATAGAACCTTTTATTCATTATTTGTCCCACAGTGGGGACATTTCTGAAATTCATGATGCAAATCTATCCAGATGAACTATATATATTTGAAATAACTTTGTATATCCCTCCTACACTTTTTGAGTACTTTCTTCTTTGTTTCAGGCTGGTCGACTGTGGCACCTCCCATGCTGGCCTTTCTCTATTGTTTTGCACAGATTGGACTGGAGCGGACTCCTGCCCAGCACGAGTCACCTTGACTTTGCTGGAGTCAGTGGAGACGGCTGCTACCCGATAGAAGGACGTGCTGAGTCCAGGAGACGAAGTAATTCTGGCTCAGTCATGTCGTCTCAGTACATGTATGTTTTGTTCTGCATTATCTTGTTTTCAATCACAACAACAAACGATACAACATTGATGTTCCTTTAAGTGCATATGTCTCATACGTTGACTCTATGAAAAAGAGTAATACGAATAATAATTGTAATTTTACACTAAATAAAGCCACTGTTTGTAATTCAAAATGCAAGACATTGAAATCTATTGGAATCTGTGTCATCAAGTTACTGAGTTCCATTCTTCAAACATCTAGAACCAGAAGTAAAATAAAAACTTAAAAGGAAAAAGAGAAACAGTTATTATATTTAAGTGAAGAGTATTGTCTACACTCTTTTTGTGTCCCTGGTTCAGCACCTGTGTGATGAGATATTGTTCAGTGATGCAGTGAGCATTTTCTAAGGCCGTTGATGCGCCCAATCATTTGGTCTGTGTTCAAGACTGGTCGTATATAAAATATAATAAGGTACAGTATATGAAGGAACTTTTTTCTCTTCATCCAGGACAAGGCCCTATCATTTATGTAATTCTTAAGATTTAACAGACCATCCATCCATCCATTTTCTACCCTTTAATCCATTTCTGGGTCAGGGGGGTGGCAGTCAGAGATGCCACCCAAGTCTCATAGCACCAGCCCCTCACTGACCCTCTGCAGGTGGTGAGTCCACAGGAGGACGGCTGCTCTGAGTGTGAGCATAGCCTTGATCTTTCAGTGGGGGCTTTTGGGCAAAGTGGGGTTAAGTGTCTTGCCCAAGGACACAACAACAGCAGTCATCAGTGGGAGTCGATGGAGAAGGTGCAGAGGTGGGAATTGAACCCATGACCTTCTGGCCTTAAGGCCAATGCTCTACCAAACATCTAGATTTAACAGACATTTAAGATAAAAACAAATGCCAATTGGGTCGTACGTACAAGAATGGAGAATAGATTGTATGACAGGCATTGTGTTAAAAGATCTGTGATGAATTCCGTTTGCTATTCTAATGAATGCTGTTTCCAAAAGCGTGAGGTTATCATGTTCACTTTTTATGGTTGTGATATCACAGGGTGAAGTCATAAGCACTGGCTGGTGCTTTGAAGGCACAGAACGCTTGGATCTGTTTGGAAGAGTATTTGAACAAAAGTAAATATTGTCCATTGTAATCCAGAGTGTGTCGTTTTGATTAGCCTTTAGTCCTTCCATTAGCTGATTCCTGTTTTAGGGGATTATCATATCTGTGACACTAAGTAGGATTAAAGTGTGTGGGGTCAGTGAAGAATCCTCTTAAAGCTCAATGTTTTATGCACATTTATCTGACCTAAGACGATCAACACGAGCAGATCTAACCTTGGATTTTCTCCGAAACCGGCTCCTGTTCAGTGCGAGTGGGAGATGAAAAGTGTCGCTACATGTACATGTGGGAAGTATTTCCCAATGTGAACAAACCACACAAGCTTGTAAAAATATTTATTTTTAATGGTACAATAGGTCACAGTTGCTCACAAATATAATTCCCATTGTGCTTGGAATAGAAGCATCACATGAAATGTACAAAGATAGGCAGGTGCATACAACAGAAACTCACCAGAGACAAACCACTTCAGTAGATATGTGCATATATTTGATTTGTTCTTGTCAGCCAGGTTTTCCCAATGCAGAAAGTGGTTTTATTATCGTCTTTCTGTGCCTCTGTGTTAAAAGACAATTTGGATCATCAGTCTATTTGATGCAGGGCTAGTTGGAAGATGCTTAAAAGGCACAGTTTTGCATGCGTCTTAGTGAAATGCCGAAATGACTTAAATGGCTTCACCAGAAATCATTTTGAATCATTCTGGTCTTGGACATTTGTAATACTTGTAATATTGCTTGAGCCTATAATACATCCAAGTAACTCTACTAAAGATGATGTGAAGACATGTGAAAGTGCTAAGTTTTATTTTTTATTACAAAAGAACCGATACAAAAATCTGATATTCTTAGACATACTGTAATGAGTATTTCATTCATTTGTCAATGCTGGTTTCAGAAGTTATAAATTTAGCATTTCTGTATGAAGTTATGTTTATTGATTTTAAGTAGTACAGCAATTGATGTTTAATGATACAACAGTTAACTGTATTTTGACTTTGACAGATATCTCAGTTTCTCAGATAAAGCAGATAATCGCCCTTACACATCAGACTTCAGTGTATCACACCGGAGTCTGCTCTGATCTCACATTTCTCTTTTCTCAACGATTTCTCTGATTTAGTTCCTCACTCGTTTTAAGTACAGAAGACCTATAACTAATGTGTCTTATTTTCTTCTTTGTTAACACATTTTAAACCTCATCAAGTTATATCTAGTCTGATAAAAGACTACGCCTGTTCCAGGCAGTAACTTTTAGAATCAATAATATTCTATGGAGACTAGAGTTATATTACTTGATTGTAATGATCTCAATTATCTTCATAACTAGTTATTGCATAACATGTTTCAATCTCAACATTGTGCTGTGCAAATTATTATTGTATATGCCAAATTTTGTTTGATAATGAAAACTATATACATTAGTGTGTAAAGTGTAAATGATATTGTGTGTTGCCAGTTTCACCTGTGAGCACATGCTTTCAGCACAGCTTCCTATAAACAGTATGGTGCATCTCACGGTGCACTTAATGGTGTTGGGTCTGAGGAAACAAACATGCAGGCTGATGTATGCAGCAAACGTCTCCTGTGTGTCGTGTAGGGTAGATTTATCCTCACAAAAATAAACTTTATTATTACAATATGCAAAAAGGCATTCCGTACAGAGCTCTTGACAGACAAAAAACATCTTTGGGGCACAATCATATATTATGTGTGGTGTCACTGTCAAAGCCTACAATGGATGGCTTTCATTTCACTGTCATAAGCTTTGTTTTAATAGAAACTTAGGCCAGTATATAATACTGTATGTGATGGATCCTTCTGAGGCCAAAATGTTTTATCAGACGCGTTCATTCTTTATGAAAGTGACATTCTGATAAAGTGCTGCCTGGATCACAAAAGATAAAAGTTTATCATTTAAGACAAAATTGCATCATCATGTAAATGTCTTCAATAAAGATAATGTGAATGATTGTGTGAAGCCTCTCAAACAAATTGGCACCATCTGCATTTTGAGCCATGCAGACGGTGTAAGGGGCATGCAGGGGTGGTACAGGTTCAATAACAAACCAGTGCTTCATGCTGCTTCACAGAAGTCTCCAACAGAGGCACACCTGCGCTCTTCTGTTGTGACCACCTTAAAATCTGTAATAATAAACAGATTTAAGAGGAATCACCTCTAGCTATTGTTTCCATTAAAGTGCTTATGGAAAAATAAACCATATCTATATACAAACATACAGCTGTCTGTTAAAGCAACCTTTGTTTTTCCCTCTTGTAAACCGTGCTACAACCTCTCTGGATCTGTTTTCTCAGTGAACCAGTCAGGACACCTGCTCAGTAATCCTGAACGTAGTGATTACTGCAGCCTCAGTCGTCCAGGTAATCCCAATGTAACCGGACTTAGGCTGAGTTCCCAGTATTGCATTGAAATCCAAAATGTCCCCTTAAATCGTTCATGAAAAAATATCCTCCTTTTCCAGTTCTGGTGATGCAGGTCTAGAAATATCAAAAAGAGGTTGTGGTGAGCTAGTGCTGGATTTCCTTTCCTTGAGGAGTTGGAGGGCTTCCATAAGCTGTGCCTCTAGTCCAGACATTCGTGTAGAAAGGTTTTTGATATCGTCTTTTAGTTCCAGCTTCAGCTCCTGTAGTGAAGCCTGTAGGGTCTGTTCTGGGATTGGGTAAAATGTATGTTTGTTATCTGGTTGAACGGGACTGCGCTCCTGAGGGGTCAAACGTAAATCCCCGACTTTGTCCAATCGCAAGTCGCTTTTGGTGATACCGCTGTCACACGAGTCTGTCTTTTTCAAGGTGGCTTGTGTTTCGAGCGCCTTGGTCCGATCTGGTAAAGTCTCCATAGATTCTGCTTTAGATACTTTGTTCCAATTGTCTGCTTTGGTCATGGACTCCTTAAATCGGCCCCATCCTTTGACTTTTGCCGGTTCTGCTGTGCGGCACGCGATAAAAGGAACGGGAGGCGGGACGTGCAGTGTGGATTTGTCCGTAGCTTTTACATTTGTCGGGGTTCCTGACTGAGGGGAGGATGAGGAGGGCGTGGCTGGGCTTTCGGTCACTGTAACGATGCTGGTGGTGGCGATGATGGGCTTGGGAGGCGTGTCCACATACATCTGGCCCTTCTCCAGATCGTGCTCGTCCACCTCCGACTTGTCCACGTGCAGCCGGGCCTCCTTCTGCTGCCGGAAGCGCTGGAAGAGTTTGCGAACAGGGTGGTCTGGGGGCAGGTTCAGGGGGGCTTCGTTCTTGCGCTTCTGCCGCTCCTCCTCTTCTCGCTTGACATCACTGATTTTTCGAAATACAATCTGAAAGAAAAGATAACAATATGTTAAACCGGCTGTTAAGTGTTTTTTTTTTTCTTCAAATAAGGCTCATTCTGAATTGTGCATTGTGCAGTAACGTGCTCAAAACCAAATTCCCTTCTTGACCCAGTCCTCTCCTTTTTGGAGTGTCACACAGACTTTCTGTGTCTGGGTTATTCTGACTTTATTTCAGTCTGCTTGTGCTACTTTTATAGAGATGATTATGTTTTGATATTGTGTGAGCAGTGCAAATGTCACCTTAGTGAGTGTTTTCCCATGACACAATGGGAAAAGTTCACTTGATGCCTCCAGCTTTTAGGTGCATGGAAATACATTGAGACTGAAAGAGTACCACACAAAAAGGCATGTATTATGCTCTTGGTCAATTTTTATTGGACTTATTATCCAAGCCAAACTAAGTCCAAGAATCAAGATGAGGAGATACTTATGCTTTCAATTTGAGTAATAGGTATCCATTAGTGATTTTCAAAAACAAATGTATTATCGGATGTCTTTACACTTTAAGGTTATTATAGGAATGTTCAAAATGTGACTGTAATTCGGCAGAACTGAAAAAAAAGTGCAATGATGTGGGACTTTAGACGGTATAATTACTCAAAGAGAACAGTGTGTTCTAAAGAATTTTGCATCTCCAAAAATAAAGTGAAGCATGTGTTTTTATTGTGTTTTGTCTGTTTGGCCATAACACATCTATAACTAATAATTGCATGAATCTCTTTCTCTTGTTAAAATACACTACTCAACAGTGGATCATCTGCATTCTGTGCAGAGGTTGACCCTTTGTCAGCGGCAATATTAGGAAATATCTAACATTAATATTGCCTTTATATTTAGGCTAAGATTTGGACTGCCAGGGCTGGAGGATTTTACCTATTGTAAGGTTATTAGGGGTAGTGGAAACCTAATCAGACACAGGTAGAACATGCAAACTCCAATTAGAAAGAGTGAACCAGGATTCTAATTCAGAGTAGCGAGAGTGCTAACCACTCAGCCACCGTCACAAGCCAAGCAGCTTGACCTCTAATGCTGAGTATGTAAACATCCCTCCAGATAACTAACCTTTGACTTTCCATTCAATTGTTATGCTAATGTTTTTATTTTTGTACTTAAGTCTTGCTTCTTTTTATGCTAAAGTTAGAGATTTTATTTAATTTCTATTTTTTTATCAGTATAGAGTTATTATTCATTTATCTTGTGCTCCTCATTCCTTCTGTTCTGTAACTTGTGATGGGCCTGGTTGAGCGTCTCATTTCTGACATAGGGCTGTCAGGTAAAGCGCCCCCTGCACAGCAGCGCATGCCATCTCTCCCAGAATGTACACTTAATACATTTTAAGTTGCCGTTCCGCTCTATCCCGCCGCTGAAATCCAATGAGCGCAGAGTCTATCCATCATGTGTGAACAGCGAGCATGAGACTGTCCATATCCCATCAGCAGAAACACTGATGTTGTCGACTTCAGCCACTCCAGCGGAGGATAGGAGGCGAGCGCCGGCTTTTCCATTTCAGAAATACAACCTCATGAGTTTTATATGGCACCCACACTTGGCACGCTGCCTTATCTATCTGGGCATTTCCCGGCTGCATACAGAAAGCATCGGATCCTTGTGAATAGTTTAGCGTAATACAGAAGATGAAATTGCCCCTGAATATGCTCGCAATCTTACTCTAGCTCTCAGGGGCAGGTTAACCTTATTGAAAGATGATTGGGGGCGACAATGTCTCTGCTGTTTAGGCCTGGAACAAGTACATGTGAGTTATGCATGACGTTCTCAAGGGGGTTTCTTTGACGCAGCGCTGCTAAGGCTTTCAATGATTTAATGATTTCATTTTGAGGATTGTAATGGTATAGTCCATAGTGGCTTTCATGATGACGTCATACTCTGACAGGTGGCCGATATTGCCTATTGATTACATTGGACTTCTCAATAGGTTGCTTTCCTGTGACATCACAACTTTGCAAAGAGTTTAAAATTGTGGTGGAGGGTTGCGGAAAAATCTGTCTTGGTAACTATCAGATGGTAACTGTCAAAAATCAGACTTCGGTTCTTAGGTTTCTCAGTAATTCCTGAGCCAATCCATATGAAACAAAAACTGTCACAAAACTCCTCATTTGTTTAATTATTATCTCATGATGGTGACAATATACAAAACGCATAATAATGACGTTGGCCTGTAAAAAAGACTAATACGGCAAATTTTTAAACACAGCTTTTATTTTTTTTTAAAATATTTTAAGGCTGGATGTACATTGTATTGATATACCCTGGAACTCTGTAACCACACACTAATTTTTCTGCCGCCAAAATAGATTATATAAACCGTTGATCACTTCAGGTGCAAGATGTGCTCATTAGAATATTATTTGAAGCCAGAGGAATATTGTATTACATCCAATTATGTATATGTTTTTGTGGAACTGTTCCAAGCAATGTGTACTTGTACAAACGAAAGCTACTCCAGCAAAAGAGAAAAATGAAAGCCATGGTGTCATACTATGGCTGTTTAATATCTGTAATGCGCAACAGCTGAACGTTTAGTCTGTAATTAAGGGGAGAGATTCTGCTGGTATGACACACACTAATGATGTTTGTAGTAATTGTTTCTCTCAGGACATTTAGAGCTTATGTCGTGAATACAAATGCAGAACAAATGTCCCTTTTATTACATTTTTCGTTCCACTCACCCTTTTTCGGAGATTGTACGTCAGCAGCAGGTTCCTGGAGAAGTGGTTTGCAAAGGCCGTGTAGAACTCCAGCACCTTCTGCAGGGCGTCCCGCTTGATGATGTGCAGGTCGCAGTAGGTCAAAGCCCGGACGTTGGCACATGACTGGGTTAGTGTGACTTCCTTCCAGAAAACATCCCCGAAGACGTCCCCTTTACCTGTGATCAAACAAACAAGCATTACTACAGGACTGCCATCCACCAACATATTTATCTATTGAATACAAATATGCCATGTTGAATAATTAGTTTAATTAAAAAGCTTGTGGAAGGACGGCTCTAAAAACAGTGTAGAGCACTGAGAACAAGTCCCAGACAAGACATCATAGACCGATTTATTGACTAAAAGCAAATATAACAAATCCATTCAATAGCAGTTTGAATGGGATTGAAGTTTTTATTATATGGTGTTAACAGTATATTCTTGACAATGACATAAGCAATATATTTATATTTGCAGCATAATCACATATATTTTATGAATTGTCAGGGCCCCAGTAATGCCCAGCCCTCTAAGCCATTGCGATTATCATTGTATCTGGTGCATTATAGCCTTAAGAAAGCTCTGTCTGTCACTTGGCCCTATGCTCCCACTCTGACTCACTGGTGACAAGTAATTTTAAGCCTGAAAGGTACAACACGAGCGCCACAGCAATTAACAATGAAGTGCTATGACTCATTATCATCAGCGGGCTCTTGTGTGACTGCTGAAAATATCACAGAGTTCTTTACTTGTCCGAGGGCCATTTGACCGGCGCTCGGGACGATGCGATGGCAGATGTTATTAAAGACGTTATGAAAAGTTATATTCCAACGTCTCAAGAAACTCAGCAGCGGCATCTATCAAACTGATTGCTGTGTTCAATCGCATTACAGTGATTAATGACATTCCAAGCAACACATGAAGAGATGTGAGCCGTCTGGGGAAAAGGTAGTCAAAAAGAGCCCATTTAAGTTTAAGAGATGATGTGGTTGGTGTTACCCTGCCATTAGGCTAATGAGAATTGGACTCAGCCACGGCTTGTTTATCACTGGGGTTTCCTGATGAGGATCCTGCACATGGCTCATTGGCAATAGCCCAACACTTTATTGATCGACTCCAAAAGAATCCGATATAAGGTAACAAATACAAAACAGCCCAGGACAGTGTCTCGGAGCCCCATTCATTATTCACCGAATCAATCAGGGGGAAATTAGAGGAAGTAATAGAGAAAAGTCCAGGATTGATTGGTTAACAGACAAACTAATACTTGTAACCGTCCATGGTAAAAAGGTTGTTTTTGTTTGTTTCAGAGAAATAAAATTATGTACATGGTTTGAAAAGGGATTGGATGAAGAAAAATGTTTACTGTATATTAGTGCTGCACGATATATCAAAAAAGTATCGGATGATGGAGTGACAAATTTAGACGAATGCAGAGAGGCACTTCTTCCCAAAAGACACTTCACCTCTGGAATTTGGGACTACTTTGGATTTACAAAACAAGCCCAATCACAGAAACAATTTATTTGCAAGTCATTCAAAAAAAATGTCGCTGTGTCGAAGGGAAACACGTTAATTCTCCAGAGCCACCTCCAGCACAACCACATGGTTCTTTATGGTGGGTATTTACAATCTAAAACTCCATAGTCTACTCTGGTCAAACCAAAAGCAAATGCGCAAACAAGCATTAATGACAGTTTTTGTAGCTTCTTATGAGAAAACTTTGAAGCGACGCCAAGCTTTAACTGCACACTACAAAACAATACAAAGGCAGGAAACAAAACCCTACAATACAATTCAGTACATATGACACACACACACACACACACACACACACACACACACACACACACACAACAAGGCCAAGACTCATTCACAAAGCACAAGACGCATGCCCAACTCACTCACTGACACTACACCTTCCTTCATGTACTTACATTTGTTTTGATCAAAGTTATCACGTAATCAATTCTTCCATTAGACCCTTCTACTCATTAATCATTTAAAAATTAGTTATATTATTACAATTCTTAAAAATGTTTAGTGAATATTCTATAAATGACAACATCCCATTCCCATAAGAAAACAATGACAATGTAGATTTAAAACTAGCAAACCACACACAACAAAGATAAAGGTATTATCTGTTTAAGTTGCAAAGTGTTTGTGAGATTAGATTGTGGCTTTCTGACCATAGTCGAACTCAGAAGTGAGAATTTAATCATTGTCGACTCTCAGAAAGCTTAATACAAAGAAAGACTGCTCTGACATTTAGGAAATATAAAGGATAAAGTTGGAAGCTTGTACAATACACTGGAAGAATCTGAGATACGTCCTTAACAGTGAAGTTTCTACAATAAAGACAGGCATCCTCACACAGAACCCAGCAGCCTGTAGTTCAGAGAACAAACACTGAAGGAGAGTGAGCTCTGCAGAATCTGGTGATCCAGCGCTGAACACTGCTTTCATGCTGCATGCTGTTGTCACTCCCAGTCTGTACTCCTGCATAATTAACGGCAACATTTATTTTAGGTTTGTTTGTTTATTTTAATGCATGAGAGTGACGGTAAGATCTCATTTACTTTAATTTATCTTAGTCCAAAAGTAAGATTGGACTAAATTGGGGTAATCTCTCCATTTTCTTTCACTGTTTCCGTTTCTGGGTCACGAGCACAGCGGTCTAACAGAGGCGCTCAGATGATGCACGTTTGTGATATGGACTTGTGATTAGAAGTGATGTATTCCACATGAATACGCTTTTTAAATGTACTCTAGATTTAGGTATAGTTAGGTACCCCACTTTGCCTGAATCCCCCCACTGAAAGATGACAGAGCAGCCCTCCTCCTGTGGACTCCCCACCTGCAGGAGGGTCAGTGAGGGGGGGAAAGGATGCACGGATACACATTTAGGTAGGATATCATCTGATTGACTATTTCTAACTTGTTACTCAGACTTTTCTATGTCTTTCAAATGTTTTTCTCACCTAAGATGGCCACCACCTCGTCGTCCTGGATGACCTCTAGTGATCCCGACACGACGAAGCAGAGGCTGTCCACGCTCTCGCCTGCGTGGTAGATCAGGTCCCCTGGAGCACAATGGATGGTCTGGAACTCCATGGCCAGCGCCCGCAGGCAGCCGTCACTGGCCAGTCTGAAGGCTGGGTGCTCCTTGAACACTTTGCGATTCAGGTGCACACAGATGTCTGCACGCATGTCTTTAGGGCAGATCTGTAACACCTGAAACACACATGTAATTATTAGTTTCCAAGATCCCGCTTTATGTGAAATCCTGGGATCTCATGAGTTTGTGAATATTTCTAGAATCCATGATTTATTCATTCCCACAGACGAGCTATAAGGCCTTGTTGCCCACGGTGTGAATGTATAAATGTCGTTAATTTAAGATTATACTGATATAGATATTCCTGAGCAGGTGCACTGTCTTTGAAGGGATTCAATTTCACATTTCTAACTATTGTCTTTGTACATAAAAGAAATGGATTTGCGTGGCATATTCAGAAGCTTGGCCAAGAGCCAGATTGAGATGACATGCGCCTCCAGCCCACTCATATCTCTAAAATGGTTGAATAAATGAATATTTTAAAACAAAATGACGGTGTGTAAAATTCATAGGTCAGATTAAAAATTTATTGGTGAGGTTACCAGATGTTCCATAATTCAAAGCGGTCTCAGTGCTGCTTACCTTTTCAGTGTCTATTCCACGGGACATGGACCAAGTGGAGGCGATGTAGTCCATGACGCGCTCACTCAGACCTTTGGGGACCTGGTAGAGTTTGAGGAAGTCCCTCACACTGTTCAGCATCTCGTGGTACCTGTTGGTGTTGGCGTACATCTGCTGGAAGATGGTCGTCACGTTTCCAAAGATGGTGGCATACAGGAGAGCTGTTGAAGCAAACAGAGATTCTTTCAGTGATTATTGTTTTTCCATTGGGGCATTTTAAATAGACACCAAGTGCTTATTGATGGGGCGATATTGACCAGAGTGTACAGTAATGTCATAATTCAGTCCCATTATGTATAAAGCCTATGTCCATCCATCACTCCTGCGGTTTCTTGTTTTTCCACTGGGTTTTATGGAGTTTTTTTCTTGCTGAAGTAGGAGGGTCTAAGGACAAGGAATGATCTGGTCATGTATATAATTCCCCTTGCCAGCTTTATTTTTCTAATCTGCTTTTGGCAAATCGACAATTTAGTGAAATCCTTTGAGACAACTGAAAGCTAATCTTATTATACAAACCAAAACAAAACAACATGCAATGTCTGTCCCAATCACAGCTGAAAAAATACATAAAAATACATATGAGCACAAAACACAATAGTCATTCTAATATAAAATAATTCCTTATTGCCTATGCATTGTGTATTGCTGTAATAATACACCAATGTGCCTTGAGCCTTAATATCGTTTTGTAAATGGCTCTCATAGTCAGTCATGTGAAAAATTAACAATTCCTCCTAATCATTACTCTCGAATATGATCAGCGGAACTCGCCAAAAGGGGGAAGCATGATTACAGCTCCTTATTAAATGCTTGCCCATAAACCCACGTAGTCCTTCAGAAAATAGTCATGGAGTTGTTTATTGTTAAAATAAAAAATAGTAGGGAAATAAAGGTAGGTGTGAGTGGTGCGGATGGGCCGGTGCAACAGCTGGTGAGAGGGGATCAAAGCCATCAGATGTCAGCTCTGTGTGTAGTGTTCTCCGGCAGCGCAGCCCTAATTAGCCCTGCTCGAAGGGACGGAGGAGAGGAAGCATGCCAGCCACACATTTCAATTATGCTCCAATGATGACACTAACCTGAGTGCGCGTGCCCACCGTGCACTGCCTGTTTGTTTGTTTGTTTTATGGCAGCACAATCAAAGCGTTGAAAAATTGCACTGGGAATAATGCTAATTAAAAATCTCTCATAAGTCCTCAAGGGCGTAGATAACCGCAACTTTCATCCTCATACTGCTGTTGCATCTCTGATCCGCGAGTGTCTGAATATATAGGACCATTACTGCACCAAATGTGCTGTTATAGGCATATGCTCAGCAGCATGGCGGCTGTCTTTAATGAGAGAGTAAATCATTAGCTGAGTTGTTGTCAAAATAGTTAGTACAGTATGGATGTGTCCTTAAAGCTGGGGTTACTAACTTTCAAATCACAAAAATGGAACTATGCTATTTAATCAATAGTTAAGCCAATAAGCTCTCAGCAATAAAATGCTTTCAAATAAGGTGACCTGCATGTTGTGGTCTGATTTGTTCACAACATACAGTAGTACTCTTACAAGATTCTTTCTGGTGGAACAAACAGTATGCATTATTTGTGAAAGAATAAAGGGTCGGTAGCCCAGCTTTGGGAAAAGCGCTCGCTCGTCTCTTAAAGGCTAAATGCTTGAAGGGAGAGTCCCCAGAGAACAGCTTTGGACTGAAGCTGCTCCTGTTCACCCTTCTGCTGACGCACACAACTTCACCGCTGCAGCGCACAAACAGCTGGCTTGTTTCAGACAGTTAAAAAGACAGTTGTCAGAAACTCGGGCCCCAGGCCAACGGTTGCTATAGAAACAAGACATATGTATAGCCCCCATCATCTTTGGCGTGCACCCCCCACAAAAACCCTCGTCACACTGTGATCTTCCACTGCCAGCACCGATCCAGAGCTGATGTAAAAATAGAACAGTATCAGGGCATTCATTTTTTATACAGAACAGCCGTGGACTACACAAGATTGCATCTACAACAGAAATCTCCTGGGGCTGTCTAGTTTTTTTAGAGATTTAAGATGATTTGTATCTCATAATAAAGTATTGAGATTCTGAGAGCTCCACAGATGAGCTTTTCCATTTCTCCCATAATCGCATCTATACTGAGAGCGCACAGCTGAAAGGTACAGGCGGCAGAGCGAGACGCGAGGGGGACAATCACCCTGGCAGCTAAGGTCCGAGAGCTGAGGAGGAGAGCAGAGGTGTGGGGTGATGCTGCAGCAGAGGAAAGACCACTGCTAAACTGATGTGGCACTGTTATTGCTGCGAGGTGCTGCTCCAAGAGTGCAGTCACACATAATGGCCTGGCCCTGTACAGTGCATTATGAAACGCACCAACACACACACATCATCAATGTTTCATATGGAGAAAAAAGGGCGCTGCCTCCTTCTCACCATACACTGCTTTTCACCACACAGCACGCCAAGTTCGTTGTACTGTGGTTTGTCATGTGGCTTTTTATGTCATTTTAGCTCACACTGGCACCAACATTGATAACCTTTTACTAATCAATTAAAAAACATATATATTGCATTTTAACAAAGCCATTTTGAAGCTAAATTAAAGGCTGTCAAAAAGAACTAAACGCAAACAAGTCCATAGGCTGAGGAATATATTCACACTCAAGCAGCACTCTCATTCTCTGTTCTTTAGAAACCCTAAGTCTTACGTGTGCATTATTTATACTAGTCTCAATGCTGGACAAATGCATCCACAAAACCCAGACATATAAATCCCATTCAATTCTACCAATTAAAGTAGACAGTTCTAAGATGTCCCAAAGTAAAACAAAAACCAAACTATTTCAGTCAGCATAAGTTCAAAGCTAATCCGAGAAAAGAGACACGTCAAAGTAACTTAAGTTATTAATCTACTTTGGTGTGGTGGGAATCCATCTTGAAGCCTCTTATGTGTCGTATATTTCCCACAACACTCACATCCAATCATCATCATGGCCACGGCAAAGATTTTCTCCCCATCTGTCGTGGGGGCAATGTTTCCAAAGCCGATGCTGGTCAGGCTGGTCATGGTGAAGTACAGGGACGTGATGTAGACCGAGTCCTTGTTAGGTCCGCCCTCCCACTTGCCCGAGCCGCTGCTGTTGAAGCGGTAAGGCGTTCCCAAAGTCTCCGCCAGTATGTACAGCCAGCTGTCCACACGTACAATGTTGGTCTCTTCATCAATGATCTCATAGTCCCCAATGCTGTACCTGTAAGAGAACAGTTCATATGTGTCATGAGCTGCTCCACCTTGCTGTTATTGTAACTAAATTCCTCTTGCCCACTGTAAAATAAATGCAATATGGCCCTGTAGTATTTAGAACAATAAAAGCAGTTAGCCATAAACATAATAAATCAGACTGGAAGAAATTATGGAGCGCTAATGCTAGTACCCCACTCAGCTCCTATAGTGGTCATGATCTGATTAGATTTCGACGGCTGGGGCTCCATAAATTTGCATATTAATGAGAAAAAATATTGAAATTAGCAGGGCATTTCCTTTGCTTTAAGCTACAAAGCACATGTAATCCTGAGGAGTGAAACAAGCATGTTGACAAAAGATCAGCTAATTAATACATTAATAGTCCTAATTAAATTCTTCACTACCGGTCACGCTATTTTTGGCCTGTGCAATGGTTGCTGAATTTTTGATGTGTAATCACTGGTATTGTACTGTACACAGACTGTATCTACATGTAAATAATGTATGGAGACATATAGACAAAAGTCTATTTGCTTTGACTGTTTTTTTGAGGCTATATCAAAACTCATCATCACTGGCTACAGGTCAAAAGCATCTATTAAGAGATCCTTTATTCGTCCCACAGTGGGGAAATTTCAATGTTGCACCGCATATACAGGACAGTAGTAAGAGTACACAGGGGGCACACAAAATATACAATATGAGTAGCTGCTATGTTTCTTAGCCAGCTGTAAAAGCTTCAATATCAATATATAGATATATTTCTATATTTCTATCTAGTTATCTATGAATCTATCTATCTATCTATCTATGTATGTATAGAGCAAAGTTATGTACATATAGGGCAGGATAAAGATAAAGTGACATTCAGTTGATTTAAAAACACCCCCATACAGCTTGGCATATATGTTCTTTAAATTGAGCAACATTGAGTTTCAATAATATGTTATAATAATATATTTATTAGTTTATTTGGGACAGTGGACATTAATCAAAATGTCTCCATGTAAATATGTCAGATTGCCATGGATGCTTTAGTTTCCATCTGTAGTCCCTATAGGCAGGTTACAGCCATCAACTCTTTACATACTGTATGTAGCTGCATAATATAATGTATAATGGGTCTGCTTCAGTCTGTATGGAAAGCACTTGTTAATGACTGACACAATTTCGTTAAGCGTGATATGAACATGTAGCCGCTTTAAAGAGCAAATGTCACATAACATAACAAACATACCAGATGCAAGCGAGCCAGTGAGCAGCGAGTCCAAAGACACACACCAGCAGGACCAGCACGGCCGCCCCATACTCGATGTAGTGGTCAAGTTTACGGGCCACCCGGCCTAAACGCAGCAGCCGGACCACCTTGAGAGAACTGAACAGACTGCTGATGCCCTGCAAAGTTCAAACACAAGAATCGTTTTCTGATGCCAAGTTAGTAACCTGAGGGTGTGACAGAAGGATCTAAATAATACTTTAGACAGGAAAATACAAATAGAAACTATAAGAATGAAAAATAGGGACGCAGTTAATAAGTGCAGTAACATTCATTCTTTGTTTTTGGTGTTTGGATACGGATGGCCAAGCACAGTGAAACTTATTTTTTTGCTGATTTAGTTTAGAGTAATTGCTTGTTATGTTTTATTAAAGGTGCATTATCATAACTTTTCTGATGCCTTGGAGATGCTCCAAAATTCTCACTTTAGTTCAGCTCCCCTCTCCACAGATATGACATGTGCAAGTAAAGGCACTATCATATTCAAAGTTTTTTTCCAGAAATGTGATGTTAAACAGAAAAAAGGTGGAACCCGGGAAAAGATCGACTACATCCATAATTGAAATGAACAAAACTAAAAAGATGAAAGAAAATTGTAGGGAAATGTTGGTGAGAAGCCAGGTCCCTGTATAGATGGTGTCTTGGATTAAAAATCTCATCTGGCTTTTATCAATTCAATACAATTCTCCTTAGTTACAAACATTCCTTTCATACTCTTTCCTATTTAGGATTTTGCTACTTTGGCGTCTAAAAGAAAAATACAAGATAACTGTCACTTATTCACGCACGTTTTACATTGTGTTTTTCAGTAAAGATTCAGGGAAGCAACAGCAACAAACAAAATTAAATATGTTTTATGAGTTGTGATGTAATGTTATACTTTTCCTAGTTTGTTGCATAACCTGGAGCTAAATTTCTCCTCTGCAAAAATCTATACCTAAACACCCACTCAATGATTTAAAGAGACAACGGAAGTCGCATCGGTCTCCTTTCTAGTTTGTAAGTGCAGACAATATCATTTCAGTGCAGTGTGCGTGTGTGTGTGTGTGTGTGTGTGTGTGTGTGTGTGTGGAGGGGGGGAGGACTGGGAGCTATCGATTTGGCTAATGTGCTGCCTGTGGTCTGCAACGCGAGTACAACTGCAGAGCTGGGTGTCATCTGATCCAACCTCACACACAGGCTGCCAGAACCTCAGCTCCCCTCAAATCCTTTTACAGCTCCAGCTCCAGCTCAATTCAATTACCAGCACATTGGAGTTTTGCTGCACTCTGTAAACACGGATTAAGACAAAAGTTTATCGCTCTTTAAAGCAGGCTATAAATAGACACCATTGTAATGTGTGAGATGTGCAAAAGTCTCGTGAAGAATAATGTTTCCGTGCAGCCGAAAAACCTTTTAGCACGTTTAGGAATTCATGTATTCTACGGCCGCATCAATAATTGACGTATTATTCAATCCCAGAACTGCTGTAATTAAGATTTCATACGGTGAGTAAATGGTTAGTTAAAGCGAGGAAAAGCAATTGTCATATTTATAAAGTCATAAATCACGGAAATTAATTTTTGGTTTGAAAGAAAATGGAAAGAAACAAACATTTAATGCCACTTTACATTATAGGTAATTCGTTTGAAAAGTGTAGAGCCAAACAAAGAACCTCGAAGTTTAGGCTTGTTCTAATACTAACGCTGCTATATGCAACATTTCTATTGCATGTACTTCAATCACTGAGAGTAGATCTGTGGAGAGGAAATCCAACACACAGTAATTTTGAGGGGGGGAAACTGGACTTGAACAATATACAGTACAGAGGTGAAACTCGGAAGGTTCGTTCAAAAGTCCATTGACTGTAATTCAACATGTGGAACTAATATACTGTATGACTCATTTACATAAAGTGAGATGTGTCAAGCCTTTTTTATCATGTTGAGAATTGACTACATTGAATTCATATTTTGAAATACGGACATTTTCAGATTTTTACAGCTGTGAGTCAACAACTTTTTCAAAAAAGTATTGTAATAATCAATATTATAACAGACTTGGGGTATGTTATTTTGCTGCATGTTATTTTTCCTAGTTTCACCTCTATCTCAATGTGTCTGTCTGTGAGATGACTCTATTAGACAAAAAAAGGTGGTGAACCATCAGAAAAGTTACAAAGTACACCTTTAAATGGTTTACTCATGTACTCATTGCACGTGAGCTTTTAATGACAAGCTGACATATATGAGTAAACTTTCACATAAATCATAATTCCACATTTTATTCTAAACCAGCTCAGTAATAGAAATGGCACCAAGAAGAACTACATTTAATGTTAACCTTTAAAGAAGAACTATTATGTATTGTTTATGGCCATTCAAAATGAAAATGAGACTATTTACTTTAATTTCATGTTTTTTAATGTGGAATAATGTCTGGAAAATATATTGTGAAAGAAGAAATAACGGTAAACAATGTTATTGGCCTGCCCTATCCCACCACCAGAGGGAGGTGTAGAATTTGTTTATTTTCTTTTGTAATTTGAAAAATACCAGCTGCAATCCCAGTCATAGGAATGCAAAGGAAGTAATATCATTTGAGAAATTGCCAAAACTAATTTGTCAAATACTTTGTTTAAAAAAAAATTGTATTACAGGACTGAGACAGGAGCTTTTAGACAGCTAGACTAGGGGCGGAGTTACATGTTTGTGCCAGAAGCTTCTGACATTAGCGTGGATGGACCTAAAACTATCTGTTTTTGACAAAGGAATAATGTTGTAACATGAGCTTGTAAAAAGTCAAGTTTGTATAATATGCCTCCATTAAACATGGTATTGCACAAGGCTTTCCTCTGGAGATGTCGCTGACTCTGAAGTAGACCTTTAAATAGAAACAGCAACGCTAGAAATAGAGTTTGTGCGAGTGTGAAGGGAATCTACTGTATTGTGCTTCATTTTGAGTCCAAGTCTCAGTAGAAACGTGGAGTTATCTGCCTTCAACAGCATTTGGGATATAGTGTTGGGCTTTTGTTACAACATGCTTCCCACTGTACACTTTGATGATTGATGCCTGTGCTGGAGCTGCATTGGAGGCTTGTCAAGCGCACAGAGCCGCAGTCTTGAAGCTCCGTGTCGCCAGATAAAGGGCTTTACATTGCTTATGGCTGCCACCGCACACTTTCAGATGTCTGCTGTCATGGATTAGCTCTTACAAGTGGGATAGTAAAATGCAGTGTCAAGATTCCTACACCTGGATATGGCACAATTGATCACAAAGCATTCTGATCGAATAGAGCCTACTTGAGTGACTGCTCGGTGGTTCCAATCCTTCATCACGTCCCATGCAACAGAAGTGGGAGGGGACCATGCAAAACAAAATAAAGGAATGAAACAATAAGAAAGCAAAAATGAAATACATGTAAGATTGACTCGATGAATAAACAGACTGGATTTTAATTTTTTTTGACATGGAAGCTACTGGAAATTATTTATGAGCACAAAGTCTCGTCCTCATCTCAACTTCTAATTGGTTGGAAATGTGGGTCAGCAAGGTGGAGTTTGAATATAACACAAAAGAGGGGGAAATAATATTAAAGGAAAATGTATGTAATAATTTGATACTAAATGATAATTATTGTTCCCAGTCATGAGGTGAACAAGTGTTACATTCGGGTTGCCAGTTTCAATGGTAATCTGGTTGAAGTACTTGCATATGTAATTTAACATTTATTTTTGTGACAGACATTACTCATAATTTGTCTGTAAACTCTGGACAGATAAATAAAACATGGCTATAATATGAGTGTGCAGGCTACTTCAGTGTTCTTGTTGGTGTTCTAAGTTGTCAAGTCAGCAAAAAGCAATACGACACACTGAGTTTGAGTCTGACTCTGTTGTGGGCTGTGAGCTCGGAGAGCTGAGCTTTGACGTCAGATTTTGATAAAATAATAACGCCTTCCATTTGTTAACCTGTTGGGAAAAACAGCCATCATAGTCACTCATGTGGTTCATAAATGTTTACTGTGGCGTCACAATCAGAAGGATGTGCTGGGTTATATATCACCAGTGATTGTTTACTTGCTCTTATTCACTGGAGCAATGCAGAAAGCTGCTGCAAATGACGGCTGCAGTGACGGATCTGAGTGGACGCATACATTTCAGTGTGTTTGAGGAGAAAGTCATGAGTGTTAGGTTTGGAGCATTTTTTATTACTGCAAGTGCAGCATTCCAGTAACATTTCAAATTACATATGAAGTGATTGATAATCACCCAATCTGCCCAATTTCCCCCAGGGCCACACTCATTAGTGGACAACATAGTGCTGGACACACAGCTCCCTTCCACCTCGCCATAGGGAAGATTTCACCGTGGGGCTTGACCACCAGTCCGGCTCGCAGTAATAGTTCCAACCGGGTATTTGGACATCGGCCCTGCTCACGGGTACAATCTTATAGTTATTTCTTGTTCTCTTTGCTCAACTTCTGCATGTACTATTGTATTTCATACATTATATAATTATTGTATATACAGTATATGTGTGTGTGTGTGTGCAACTGCACATTGTCTTCTAAATTAATTAGCTACGTCAAAGTAAATTCCTGTTGCTCTAATGTTCATTTTAAGCTATCATCATAATCAAAATAAAGTACCCAAGATTCAACATAAACAACATAAACATAAACAGCTCGAGCTACAGAAGCAGCAAACGTTAGCATATTATCACAAACAGTTTATCAGCAAGTGTTTTGTTGAGCCGTGCCTGAAAACCGTTAGTGTTTCTGTTATGTTGCAGTCTGTGCATGACCTTTGATCACTACTTTTCTAGATGATTGTGCACTACTTTTTAAATGTTGTAATGTGTTTGACACTCAAGCAGCCCTTAAAATTCCTCATTCCTGGGCACTAATATTGTATTTTTTGTATTCACTACAGTGTATTTTGGGGCAATATGTTACATTCTGGGGCACTGTTCCAAAGAGTTCCCACAAATGTAAGCTGCTGACCATAATGCTGCATTTTGCTCAGGTCACTTGAACTGTTGTCAGCGTTTCTTGTGCTGAACAGTTGAAAGGCTAGAAGAGGTCAGAAATGCTGCAGCTGCATTTCAACAGTGCGAATCTCTTTCTGTTTTACTGCAGTGTTGTGTGTGAAAGCCGAGGACACCTCAGGAGAGCTCTTCGGCCACATAAATGCACATGCAGCACAGAGCAGACGCACATGCTCCAGCACAGACACGGGACACTGATATAATGAAAAGTGGCAAGTGCCGGGCCTAAGGCTCCATCTAATCAATCTGCTGTATACAGTATGTGGAGGGAGTGGGCAGAATGAGGGAATCTCAAAAGAACATTCTGATTCAATTTTATCTGCTGCAGCACAAAGGAAGAGATACAATTATTTGATAGCGGGGAAGGATATCCATCTATTTTTTGCTTTTCAGAAATACGCCAATAGACGAAGTAATTTTTTTTTTTTTTACAGAAAAAGAAAATTAATGCATATGTGATTGACTAGATAAATATAAGTTGATTAATAGAACAATTAAGTTATACCGTAAGTAACTGCTCACTAACACAGATACAAAACATTTCCCTTCATTGAATTACTTTGGAAGATTAGAAATATTCATTCAAATATATGCTGTGGAAACAGTGATAAATGGGAGCCCAATCACTACATTAATTTCACTGTAGAATGATCTTCTCTTCTTGTTAATTCATTGGGTTGATTAATTTAATAATTTTCCTTAGTCTTAAGGGTTTGGGCTTTTTTACTCTCCAAACTGTGCGGGTGATGCAGCACAATGTGTCAGTTTAATAACGCAATTCTCCTTTCCCAATTAAAATGTGCCAATTATCTGAAGATCCTGTGAAAGCTCCTGCTCACATGCCTCATTATGTCCCCGACATTTATAAATTCACAAACCAGCGGAGCATTATTGACTACTTTTTTTACCCCGCACAAAGCAAAACAACACTGATTATTTGGTCAGATGGAAATGAATTAGTGAGAGCACAAATGAGATGGCGATGATATGAAACATGAAAGTTTTATTGTACCGGAAATAACTTTGAAACTTAATTTGAAGCTAAATTAAATTTTGAAATCAGATTTTAAATCCAATCAAAATTTCAAATTAGTAGTTTTGTTGGCATCTGTTAATGCTCGAGTCTCAATGACCAAAATACTTCAAATAAATCAAACTCAGTCAACAGTCATGTTGTGGTCATCTTGATGAAGAATCAAACCAATTAACAACTTGATTATTATAATAATGTCCTTGCACATTTCTAGCCTTTATCCCATTTCCAGATCATAAAAACCTTGGTACGACAGCTTTGAGAATTCAGAATAAAATTCTCCCCAAATTGTCTTTGGTTTAGCTACTTTGAAATGAGGACGTTGTTGGGATTCATTTTTATTTTTTATATTTTTTATAATTATTCTGGCGTTAAATTACATTGTTCAACACTGGTAAACATTATTAAGTTAGAAGTAAGTAATGCAGATAAATGTAAGGTAAATACTGCTGCTACTTCAAATCCAATAAATCCAATTTATCAAGCCTTGACTCCTGTACTGCTTAGTACCTCACCTTTTTCTTCCATACATGCCTTTTGTTTGTCCCAACAGAAAGAGTCACGTTTAAGTAAGATTTGAGTTTAAGTTTAAGTTAGCAAACAATGAAACCCACAATGCTGTCTTTTCTATTAGAAAACAGGATATTTTTACATGTACATAGCCGCAGATTGCTGATGTGGCAGAGGCCGAAAATACATTTTTGAGAACAAGGAACTAGTCCCAATGATTTTATTACATAGTTATTTTTGTGGTTTCAAAGTTAGGTCCTTCAGCTTTAGCTTTGCACAAATAAACACAAAAAATACTATCACTCACCTCGTCCACGTTCTCAAACGCATTAATGACGTCATAGGGCAGACAGGAGAGCAGGTCTATCACAAACCATGTCTTCAGATAGTTCATGCGGATGAGTTTGGGGTCAGATATCACCTCTCCTGCTGGTCCTACGAACGTCGTGTGGAAATTAAGCACAATATCCACCAAGAAAATCACATCCACAATACTGTCCACCACCAGCCACGTCACATTGTTCTGCTTGGTCTTGAAGGAAACGTTATAGGGCACCATGATGGCCGTGTAGAAAGTTAAAATGAGAATCACCCAGTCCCAGGTAGTTTTGAACAGACAGTAGTGCAAGATGATATGAGGAGGGGTCTTAGGGGTTTCTTGCTTGTATTGAGGTAGGATATCGGAGCCGAGCTGGAGGACCTGCGAGAGACACAGTTATCATCTTTGTTCCTGTTTAATAATGAGAAACCCTACGAAGCGGTGGTCGCGAGCTGCACGTACATAAAAGCGTACCTCAGCTAAGCGTGAGTGCTTGTGGACATTCTCTCCTTTGTGGACGGTGGGCTGAAGCTGCTGCAGCACGCCACGGCTGCTGGTGAGGGCGCGGGTGAGGCGGGCGAACTTCCCCCATCCTGCGGAGCGCAAACAAACACCATATTAAGTGCTCAAACTCAGTAAACATCCTCTGAAGTAAAGTTAGGGTTAGGGTTACTTAACAAGGGCCAAACAAAAAAAGAAAGATAATGTTTCAATATGGACATTTGTGCATATTTCTAGTGGAGTGGCTCCAACAGTAATGTGGTGAGGCAGTAAATGATCAATGAGCTGCTTAAGTATTCTATTTAATATGAGATTATCAAACAGCCGGTCTGTTCTGAGAACAGCTATAAAGGTTTGAGAACTCAAAACACAATCAAAACTGGAAAACCAGTGCATTTCATGATTCATTCTCATTCTTCTACAATAGCTACTTCAACAAGAACAAAGTATTAACATTATAAACAAAAGGTAAATTAATTCAATTAAATCATTATATCATATTTCTGTGTGTTAGGCTGCACAATATGTTTAGAAGAATTAATGGTATTGTATATTCCTGTGTAATTGTATTGTGGACGTTGATTAATAGTATTGTATTGTGTGTACATGTATTATTGTGTGTTGGGAAAAAATAAGCGTCTGGTTCATTCAACCAATTTTCAAACCTGTATTGTGTTCTGCAGATTTGAAATAAAATCCTATTAACTAAAATAGAGATCTACCAAATTTAATGCCAATAGCCTAATCTCATACGCTCGATTTACTGGCATGGCATAGTATACATCATTTTAAAGCAGATTTTCTCAAGAGACATTAGTTATCACATTTATCTCTTAACAATGAACTCAAAACACAGTTTCTAAATCACTCTAGGCCTACTTCATCTTTCAATCAGCATAACTGTGCTCATTTTGTTCAGAAAATAATAAGATAATTATCCTTTTTATTAAACAAAGCTTAAGTGATGGAACATAAACACAGGATATCTTAATGTTTTCTTCTGCTTCTTGTGGTTACTTTGGAAAACAAGTTTACTAGTTTTTTAGTATGTATTACATTGTTGGTAATACATACTAAAAAAAGGTAATACATCCAAACTTGTCTTTCAAAAGAACCACAAAAAGCATTTCAACTCAAGACAAAATGAACCTTTTTGAATTATTCCAGCAATATCCATCAAGGCATTATATAACTTCTAAAAATGTCCTAATTACAAACTAGTGCATGAACACCAAACCTGTTTATTTGAAAAGTGGCCAGTCAAACATTGTAAAAACCCACAGAGGCCAATCTCTCGTACAAAATCCTTAACAGTTTAAAGGTTCAGAGCATATTCCCTCTACATTTATTTGACACATGCTTCAAATGCTGCTACGGCAACAACGTTTTGTCTTCACCTTTAAACAACGGTTAGACTGGACCAGCAGCACTATGGTAGAAGTCTCCTCCGCCAGACAATTCATACATAATTTAGCTTCACTAAACTACCCAGTTGTATTAGCATGCACAGCAGGATGTGAGCACTTACAAGGCCAAGCTATGTTTATGATGGCCAGTGTGCAACCAGCTGGGAGAATAAATATGATCTGAGTTGCTGGAGATGGTTGCTATTGTTGCCGGCGAGTTACGTGAGGCCTACCTGTTGATGCATTGAACCGGACTAAAATCTCATGTTTTAACGAGCCCCTTGCCAGCTCTGTCAGCACGGTTAGTTTGCAATCGGCTTTTTAAACTAATTCATGCTCTATTTTGCCTGTCTTCAGCTGTTACACACACCAATGAACAATCTTGCGTGCCCGGCTGAGTGTGCCTATAAGCAGATGCACAAATCTTTTGGGTCGCATTACAACAAGCCAACTTTAGCTCACGTACAAGTTCTACCCGCCGCCGAATCAAAGAGCAGCTAACAGAGATAGAGTAGTGTAAATATTAAAAGCATAAACAGTGTTAAATATTTAAGCTGACCTTTAGAAGAATCATCCTCAATAGGCTGTTTGAAGGCTGTTATATCGCTGAAAGTGCAGAGGAACAGAACCACTTTCTCTTGTTCGTTTCGGATGGGTGCGATCTTCACAAAAAACCATACAGGTGTTCCTAGAAGAAGAATAAAAATGAGTATTGTCTAATTTACATGAACTTTGTAAACAAAAGTGTCCTGAGCTTCTAATGCACTTCCATCTGATACACCTTTGAATGGTACAAACAGTTTTCAGGACTGGATAGTGTCTTTGGTCCAGCTCGCAACCAATTAGTGCATTTCCAGTGAGGTAGAAATGTACAGGGCTGGCTTTGAACTTGTGTTACTGAGTGTCTGAATACATTTGCATGATAAGAAACTTTCCCCCCCATATTTTCCCTCCAATGTTGCTACTCACTGTTCTTCTTGTACATGAGTATTTCAAAGGAGTTCATTTCATAATTTTCGAACGTGAGCCGCACTTTCTCCGTGGTGTCCTTGTCGGTGAGCTCTCCGTACATAAAGCTGCAACACACAAAAGGAAGATTTAAGTTAATCAGCTCAGAGATGGAAGCAGCTCATTTGTTCTTGCACCGCAGGACGCATTGATTGGACATTTTTTATGTATTAGTCTCAATATGTGTCAAGTTAATCTGCGGGACTGTCACGCAGGGAGGCACTTTGATGTATCTTCTTGTTTATGGCTATTTATGCGTCAACATTAGTTTCTAAAACAGCAAAAATGACTGAATACACTTCAAAAGTCTACATGATTAGCAACTTGTTTTAGAATGTGTTTATACTCGCTAAACTATTACATATACAGAAATAATATGATTTTTGTATGACAATTGTAATACTACTACCACTGCTGTTGCTACTACTTCTACTACTACTGTGACTGTAAAACAACTGTTGTTGTGTCCTAACCCTGTGGAATCTGGCCTCCACAAAATGGACTTGGGACAAACACAGACATATTATTGAAGTGTTGAGATCTTTAAGGCCACGGTGACCTCGGCCATATCAATGTTGTTTAGACTAGCGAACACCTGTGGACGGGTATCTTTGTTGCGACGCACATGTTGATATAAAAGTCTGAAAAAACTGATAAAAGTAACAATAAAACCAGGGCACTCTGGTACTTAAGATCACTACTTCTTCTACTAATATTACTACTACTACTAATACTAATTCTACTACCTCTACTACCAATACTACGATGACTGCTACTACCACTACTACTAAAACAACAACTACTACTTCAATGAATAATATTACTGCTACTACTACAGTACTCCCACTACCACTTTTACTACTATAACCACCACTACCACTACTACAAATTCTTGCTACAGTGTGTCCTAACCACAAGCAATTTGTTCCAAAGCGCACCACAAACAAGATACAATCCCCACAATTTCTTATTTTCTTCTGCTAGAAATAGCTCCAAATAAAGATGAATGTTTCCAACACCCTAATTGCCAAAAATGCAAAGTTCTTTTCAAAAACAAATTAGACCAGAGGATGGGTCAAAGTGCCACGGATGCGTTTAACCGTGTTGCACAGACATTGATCTCACTTTGCTTATTACCGCCACCCTCCTCAGCTCTCGGTTCCGTGGCTGATCTAAATATAACCCTGAGTTTGTTATGAAATACAAAAGGCAGGCTAAATTTAATGAGGCTCCGTTCTGACGCTCAAGACGAGACTTTTTCAGACCACTGCTTGATGTATTATCACTGATGAATGTCCCCTCCGCCAGCCGCTTTCAAAGAGAAAAATGCTCAAAAATCAAATGACACAATCACATACTGTAATGCGCGACCAATTCCCACAGGTCCCCCCAGTGTATGTTTATGACATCAGGCGCAGGAGAAAAGAGGAAATCCATCAGAGAAAGCATGCACCGACCAGTGACTTTGATTTTGGCGTTGATATGTAGAAAACAGAGCGTGTGATGTTGGACAGTGGTAACTTCAAACCCATACAGTACAAAGATTATAGTGGCGCTGCTAGTGAGATCTTGCACAATCCTATAGACAATAGCCCAGGACAATGAATGTATCAAAGCAAATGTTTTTTTTTTCTTTCTAAAGCAAACTACACATTATTATTAGAATGTTGTGGGAATTGTTCAGTGGGAGCTCTGTAGCTATAATCAAAGTAATTGAGAAAATCCACCCGCATGGGGATACAACTTCTGCATGTATGGGAAAATGGGGAGTTAGCCTGAACTAATATTAAATCAATATATCACTGCTCACTGCACAGAGCGCACAGTAAGGCAGCTCATGAAGGGAGTTTAAAATAGATTACTACAATACAAGAGATACAGAGGAACGCCTCAAGGCAGCCGCATATCTGTAAACAAGATGATCATTTAGAAGCATTGATTTTCTTTTGCTGCACCTGTGATAAAACACTAATGATCGTTTTAAATTCTAGTTTTTCCCAGGTATTTTTGAGAAAGATAAACCTGTGTAAAAACAGAACACGTCGGAGAACGCATACCCCGCCAAGGCCACGGATGATAGAGGGATTCCTATTGTCACGTTCCATCTACACACAAAGTTTCAGCTCAATCCGTCCTGACGTGTTTTTGTAGATAGACGCACACATATACACACATGCACACACACACACACACACACACACACACACACACACATGCAGACATACTCACACATGCAGATATACACACACACACACACACACACACACAAATACGCACATATACATACACCATGTACACAAAAAGACAAACACGTACACACATACATATACACTTACAAAAAAACACACACACACACACACACAGGGGTAATCACATTACCCCTTCGCAGGGGGAATAAATGCAGATACTTCTAATACGATACTGTTGAACATTCTATATACAAGCAAGAAACCACACTTTCCGTTAAAAAAAAAAAAACTATAGCATGAATAATCCATAATAATAATAATCTTACTGTAATTGTCATTTGTTCCATTTGTTTTCATTTATTACATGGAGACTAGACATATAATCGGACTTTACTACAATATTCTTGACCTAATGAGTATTGTTTTTCTTGGAGGGATCTGACTTCCACTGTCTGCATATGACCCGGCGCAGATAAAAGGCAAGAGTTCAACAACATTACCAAAATCAAAGCACATCACCAAAGGGAAAGAAAAGCCGTCTACATTTCATTACTACCACATCTTGAAGCGTGATGCGTAATTATCCAGTTTCCTCGCGCTTACATCACCGCCAGGCTAAAAATAACCCTTAAAACAATTCTCCCAAAGCGTTATTTGTATTGGCAACTCGTCTTGGAGCTTCTGTTAAGGGACTCCAGGGTCTAAATCAGTAATGGCTGCAGAGCTGGCTGCGACAAAACCCAAGTGTCCCACGGTTCTCAAAGCTGGCAGCACGACCGCTTCATGTGTTGTTGTTTTTTTATTCCTCTGCCTTTCAAGTCCAACAACCACCAAATACATAAATAAATGAAACCTCAAGTAGCTCCGTAAAGAGTTAGGTGTATACCGTACAGGCCTTTAAAGAACTAGCTATTCTTTGTGTGGACTAAACATGGGGAGGCAGCGTGTCAGATTTATGCAACATTTTATACTTGCTCCGTATTATGCTAAAGTCAGGGGTTTTTGTACTTAATTCTTGCTTCTTCATCATGCTAAAGTTGGAGATTTTCTTCTGCTTCTTTTTATGCTTTGCTGTGTGCTCCTCATTCCTACTGTTCTGTAATTGCATTTGTGATGCAACACTGACATTTCCCCACTGTGGGACGAATAAAGCCTTTCTTAATCTCAATCTAAAATCTGGAACAGTCTTTCTGAAAATGTAAGACATGCTTTGAGTTGCCTTGTGCATACATTGTGCTATACAAATAAACTTGCCTCATTACAACTTGGACTGTTTAATGATTACAGCCACCTCAAACGCTGGTGCCCAGAGTCAGGACTAAACAAGGGCAGTGTGTTTTTTTTTTTCTTGTTTTGTAAAACGCTTTGGGTTGCCTTGTGCATGAACTGTACTATACAAATAAACTCGTCTTGTCTGGCCTTGCCTAATAATATAATGAAAAGAGATAAGAAACAGTCCAAACACATTTAAAATATTAAAATGGCATTTCAGTAGGCCATTTAAAGTTAGATTACAATAACTGTGATTATTTAAGTCACAATAAAATAACAATAAACTATAATAATTGTGATATTTATAGTCTAAATGTACTTATTTACATTTAATATATTATATTCAAAGTGATTACTATGTCTGTTTATATCACAACAAATACAAAATACACACATTTAAGCACTATTTAACTTGTAACAGAACTTCTCCATGTTACACGAGGAGAGTAACTTGATAGACAAAATAAATGAACATAATAACAAGCAAACTTTCACTGATTTTAGCATTAGTGACAATAGTAGTGGTGGCCATATTTCTCACAGTAAACATAACTGTAATATGATATTTTCACACCTCTTCTCGCTAAATACTAAATTCAGAACGCTGCTTTTATTCAGCCTACACCACTTACAAGTACAACATGAATAATACATGTTGTTAGTTCCAACAGAAAGAGTCTTGTAAAAGTAAAATGTTGTAAACGAACAGACCACAACATGCCGTCTTTATCTTATAAGAAAACATCTTTTGCACACTTTCACTGTTTGACACTTTGGGCTGAGAGCTGATTGGCCGAGTGAGGGTGGTTCTCCAGTCGTAGAAATGAGACCAAGGCAGCGGTAGAAAGTTGGACAATTGACCTACCGTTTATTTTCCAATATTTAGAAAGAATGCAGAGGGTTTTTTTAATATGACAGTCATTTAAAGACACACAAACAGAGATACAGAGAAACAGACAGATGTGTGCTCAAAGACTTTCTCCTTACCATATTGTGTCTTGCCAATGTGTTTTCCAAAATTTGATAATATGATAGTAAAGCATTGGTTTTATATAGTGCCTTTTTGGACACTTCATACACAGTGGTGATAAACTATTACTGTAGCCTTGCATGCCCTGGGGCACACTGAGAGAAGTGAGGCAACCAGTATGCAGCCCCTCCAACCACCACCAACCATTCGCACACACCAGACTCATTCTAGGCAATGTGGGTAAAGTGTCTTGCCTGAGGACACAATGATAGTGGCAATTCAGTCGCAGCCCCCCCACTGTGGCACCTGGTGTTCCCAGTGGTCTCCCATCACAGTACTAACCAGACCCTGTCCTACTTAGCTCCAGAGATTGGGATTTGATCAGGCTTGTTCACACTCTTTTTGAGAAAAAATAGCTCAATTTTACATGGTCTGAAGTTAGGTACCACAGCTTTAAATGTCACCACAAAGCCACTGCAAATCCCATGATAACAATTTGTTCTAAGACGCATCTTTACTCTCTTCCTGCACCCGTGCGGTAAAGTGACTGTAATAAACTAAACAGATTGGAGATGGAATATGAGGACAGTTGTTGACCCGAGATGCTCTGATCATAATGAGGGAGTGTGGAGCTATGGGAAGAGCTCAGGCAAAAGGCTCTCTGCTTTGTCTGCGGGGGGAGAGATCCTCATTGTTCTGTGTGGTTGTATGTACCGGTGCAGCGCTACAGGCACCTCTGAGTTACGATTATGTCAAATCAAGGATAAAAAAGCCTATGATTGTACATAGTGGAATAACATCACATGTGTTTTAGAGCTGCACTGCTTTTTACCCATCTCTTTGGATTTGCTCATTTCCAAAGCCAAGAACTGTAAGGTATATGAGAAATAAAAAGGTTTGGCTTGATTCGATTCTCTTTTAACATATGAAGAATGAACTTCTCTGGTGTCAAAATCATTGTCAGTGAACTGTGACTAAACATTAATGATATGAAATTCCATATTCTTCAACTTTGTACTAAGAAATAAGAGAGAAAAAATACAGAGGTTGCTGATGATTATTTTTTAGTATCTCAAATAGACAATCGCTGTAATGGCTAAATAGTTAAATCTTCCCCTTTAAACCACTAATGTTCACACAAAAAACAACTCCTTATTATTATTAAGATAGAGATTTAATAAGGCTTCTTTTTATGCTAGAGATAGAGATTTTATTATTATTATTAATTTATCTTGTGCTGTGTGCTCCCCATTCCTATACTGTTCTGTAACTTGTGATCCAACACTGAAATTTCCCCACAGTGAAAAAGGACATTTTTCAGTCATCGTAATTTTTTAAGATTAATATCATGATTTTATACAACTCAAAAAATACATGATCGTAATTGTGTATATATTTTTCTAATGTATAGTTAGTTATTATGGTCTGTGAAGTTTAGGTTTATACAGCATAGATTAATCCAATCAGGTGTTTTTGATTTAATATTTCTTTTGATGTAAGCCCTTTTCATGTTCTGTCAGGTAACTTCAACAACATTCCCCTGTACATACCCTGTTATACTATAAACCCAGTCTTTGCAGCAATCTCCCCTTGCACTGCGCTATATGACAATACAGCAAAAAACATCTGATCCCAGTGAGTCAATGCTGTTAAATGCTTATTTCTTCATTTCCTCCACCCTCTGTAATGCTGACTGAGTGGCAGACGCATTACACCCATCACAGTGAAATGTGAGCTTTTAGCTTTTTTCTGTTCTGATACTGATGGTTTGGCTTTAATATCAAATTTAATATATAAAAAGTAAACCAGAGCAGGGAATAATACAATAACAGAGGGTTAGGGTGGCTTGTAAAAAATATCTAATCAAATGTTTAATGTTGTTAAATGTGTTTTTGGATAATTACATTACCAAACATTTGTCCCATTCACATAAACAATCTGAGTCAGCATTGGAAAGAGAAAATGAGGGCAATAGCTAATACTATTACAACAACACATCATCAGTAGGGTATAACTAACCTGTCTCACGACGGTCTAAACCCAGCTCACGTTCATTAGTGGGTGAACAATCCAACGCTTCATTGCGTTGGATTCATTGCTTCACAATGATAGGAAGAGCCGACATCGAAGGATCAAAAATAGCAATAGCCCCCATGTACGTACATGAAAACCAAGCTCTGTGTATTTCCCTAGCAATCCTGTGTTGGCTCTCTCTGTGCTTGTCACATAATCATGCCGGGAAGCAGGAATGCGTGCAACGTCATTAGGTCTGGAGTTGATCTACAGCTGATAGAGCAAAACAAGAATGAACCGTGTCCAAATATCTGTGTTATTCCTACACAATGCATATTATTGCACACCATAGACCATAGGAGTGGACCAACCACATAGTGTTAATGTGGAAGAAGCCTATTTGAACATAAGCTAGTTGGAACTATTTACCTTAGGCAGTTGCTAAGGCCAGTTGGAGTTTCCCCCCGCGAAAGACGGTATCTGATTGGTCAATCTTTATATGGCTCATATCTGGATTTACAAAGGCAAACATCAATATATACTTTACTATACAGTCCTTGCACCGTTCCTCTTCACCCTCTACACTGCGGACTTCAGACACAACACGGACGGTTGTGTTCTACAGAAGTTCTCTGACGACTCTGCCATCATCGGACTCAGCTCCGAAGACGATGACGCAGAGTACAGAGGAGTTATAAAGAACTTTGTGGACTGGTGTCAGCGGAACCACCTCCTCATCAACGCAGGGAAGACTAAGGAGATGGTGGTGGATTTCCATAGACGCCACTCTGCCGCTCCAGCCCCAGTGAACATCCAGGGAAAGGGAATTGAGAGAGTGGACTCTTACAAGTACCTGGGTGTTCATTTGAATCACAAGCTGGACTGGACTCATAACACAGATGCTCTCTTCAAGAAGGACCAGAGCCGACTCTACCTGCTGAGGAGGCTCATGTCTTTAGGAGTGCAGGGGCCACTCCTGAAGACCTTCTATGACTCTGTGGTGGCAGCAGCCTCTTGTACGGTGTGGTCTGCTGGAACAGCAGCATCACAGAGAGGGACAGGAAGAAGCTGGACAAGGTCATCAGGAAGTCCAGCTCAGTCCTGGGCTGTTCCCCGGACACGGTGCAGCAGGTGGGGGACAGGAGGGTCCTGAGCAAACTAACATCTATGCTGGACCATGACTGTCACCCCCTGCAGGACACTCTCTCTGCTCTGGAGAGCAGCTTCAGTGACAGACTAATTCACCCTCGCTGTGTGAAGGAGAGGTTTCGCAGGTCTTTCCTTCCTGCTGCTGTCAGACTGTACAACGAGAATATGTAACAGGAACTGCTGAGTCTGCACAAGTGTCACTGATAATTCACTAGTAACTTTGTCACTAGTCACTTTACCTGTTATCAGTACTACTACAGTACTACATATCTGATATTTACTGTTATCAGTACTACTGTATTATTTCATATATGATAATTCTGCCTTTCACCAGTCACTTTACCTGTTGATATCTTACTGTATTATTCATATCCATCTGATAATTCTCCCATTTAAGTCACTTTACCTGTTGATATTATTTCTGATGTTTATTCTGCTCATATTCTCATATTCTCCGCTGCTAATGTATAATATAGACATCTGTAAATACTCCGAACCAAGTGCAATTATAGCCCAGAGTTTATCTCATTTTATTTCATTTTATTTTATCTTAAATTATTGTCTATTATCTTAAATAATAGACTTTGATGTGTGCAATCTGAGTGCTCTTATTTCCTTTCTCTGCTGTAATGTGCGCAACGATGACACTGACATTTCTCTCCCTATTGGTCAGCACTAGATCATATACGGAATCGGGACGGAAGCGGAAGTAAAAATAACAAACTACCTATAAATGCCTAAACTTAACCAGCCATTCGCATAAAATAACCCCAACCCAGCCTTAACCCTAACCTTAACCATCTTACTCAAATACCTAAAACTTAACCAGTCACCACTTAAGGACTTATTAGTCTAAAATGAATTTGAAAGTAGGATTGTTACTTCCGGTTTCGTTCCGATTCCGTATATGATCTAGTGCCGACCCTTCCCTATTGGGCTTCATGTAGCTAGTGGGTCAGCATTGTCCATCTATATAAAGTCTATGTTTTATAAACAATTACACTCACCATTTGCAAAACTTTAACTCACGTCAGCTGCTTATCTTAGCATTTGCTGTTTTCTTGGGACACCAGTCTGTTTTGATGATTAACACGTGTTCCATTGCTACTAAAACTTAAAACTTGTAAAAATACATTCATGCTCAATTACCACTCAGCATTCTGTCTAAACTCTTGTGAGCAGAGTTTAGACAACTTGTTTACAACGGGCGCCAGACGCCTCGCTTGATGCCATGGTAATGGAAGTGACAGACAAGATTCCCAGCTATTTTAAAAGGTACTGTCTCGTAAGATTAACAAGACAAGAACTTCCCAGGACTCACTTCAGGTGTCACTCACACAAACCGCCACACGGGGAAGTGCCAAGCGTTGCATTTATGTGAATGAGACTAAACGTAAAATGTAAATAAATGTGCAGTTTATTGTCCCAGATGTTGATGTTCAGCTTGGTCAGGACTACCAGAGCTGGAGGATTTTACCTAGTGTGCATGTTTTTAGTGGTAGGGGAAACCGGAGCACCCGGAGGAAACCTACGCAGACATGCAAACATGCAAACATGCAAACTCCACTCAGAAAGACCCTGTTCCGACAGGTGAGAGTGCTATCCACTCAGCCAATGTGCCGTCCACATACAGTACCATTAGTTTAAAGAATCAGAATCATTGCTATGGCCATTGTAAGAAACAGGAAGTCAAAGTAGGGATTTGCTTTGTTGCTTTGCTAAGTTATACAAAAGTTAAAAAACAAAAACAAAAAAACAATTCTGATAATTAAATACACCCAATAGACATTTAACAAACACAGGCATATGGTATCACAACATCGACAATATTACAGATTTAGTTTATTTTGTTGCTTCCTAATGATGATAATATGACGAAAGAATATGAAGTAAAAACATAAAGATATGACTTCACCCCTTCATAGACAACCAGTAAATAAACATTACTTTTTCATTGGGGGGCATGACTCCAAAAGGACCCCTTAAACGAATGGCATCATATATTTTTCATGATCCCTCCAGAGAAGTGTTGTCCCACGTACCTGCAAGTGCTGCTCTTCTGCATAACCTCCGCGCGGTGGTATCCCGACAGCTTGCAGAAGCCATCGTTGCTGTAGACGATGGGCCAGTCCACAATCTGAGCGTTTCCCAGCACAAAGTTAGTGTCTGTTAAAAGATTGAAGAGGAAAAAAAGAGGGCACACGCTTGAGGGGTTTAATTCCCCAGAAAGACACATCAACGAACATGTAGCCAGAGCAAGGTAAAGGAAAATGTACAAATGATTTATGTATGTAAGAAAATAGGACCTCGCTACAAAAAGGAAAACTATTTATGTGTAGTTGATTTGAGAATAGTTCCTTAATTTGCAGGTGGAGTACAAATGTGCATATATGAAATTATACACTGTTTATCCCACAAAGAGGAAACGAATACCTACTTCTAATTTCTGCTTCGTATTTTGCCGCTGATTAACGATATGAATGTTTGAAGAGCTGCTTGGAGGGTTTCTTCAAGCAGATCCCTTATGGTTTAAGGCTCATTACAAAACACATACATCACATAGAGGCAAGGCGCGCAGCAGCTCTGACTAGTGCTTTATGGTTTCTCATTAGAGACGCTTGAATTCGGAGATGTGGTTCTGTAAAGTAGCAATGTGCTGCTTCATGTTTAGAGCCATGAATTCTGCATGTGCCTCAGCTTTCTCGATTGCCACATGTGTTCACACAGCAAACATAACAACAGCCAAGTTATGCTTCCTGTGTTTGGATGTCTTTGCTGGTTTAGACATAAATCGACGTGTAACGGTACAGTGGTATAAGCAGTCTATTTGTTATTGATGTTTGAATATGATAAGGCCAATATGGACACATTGTACAAAATACTGCTGTTTTCACCACGTTCAAGGCTATTTTGGTTTTGCAGCCAATTAATCCTTTTCTAGACAAATAATCTACAAAAAAAGTGTTAAAAGTGTTTAATCCAATCTTGGTTCAAATTTATGTTGACTGTCTTAAAAAATCTTCATCCCATGAGACAAGCAAAAATATCTAGTTCCCTCTCATTCCAAATGAGAAGTCTTTTTACTTGTACTATTGGCAAATCTTATTTTAAGAGAAAAAGAGTTACCAACATCAACATATATTTTCATCAAATCCTGACCATGTTGACTCCACAAGAAAGTCAATTTTCAAGACGTCGTCCTAATAGAATAATATCATGCTATTGAATTTACCTGGGACGTAACAATTCACTGGTTCAATTATGAAAACGAGAATAGTAATGCATGTAATAGTAATTTGTCACACAAAAGCATGAGGAATTAAACAATATGAGAAAAGCTGTGTGGGCCTAGAATCACAACTTATTTATAGCGAAGAAAACGTATTATGGTAAAAAATGCTAATGACCCAAAACATTGCATACTTAAACAGTTTCTTGAGATTAACAGAAGGCTCATAATGGAGCAGCAAGAATGATTGCATTGGCCAAGATAGTTTGTTGTGTTCTTAATGACCAGTCACAAATAGGTCAAAAACTTGTATTATTGTTGGATTGTGAACATTTCTGGGTTGCAAAAGCCCTGAAGCTCATTCTGATAGAGCTTGAATAATTGAAATGTCTGACTGATGTTTATTGATAATGAAGAATAAGCCTATATCGTATCTGCTGACATGAAGAAAAACAAGTATTATTTACTGTAGGTAGGGTGGCTGGGGCACAAAATAACAATCACTACAGACACTTTAAAACAGGGAGACGGAGGGATACAGATGCACACATGTCGTCATGTTAACATGTAAGACAAAAACGTTCCATGCCAATGTGTTATTTTACAACAGTTATACAGTGTGTAGTTGTCTATATATATTGTATCAATATTATGACTTGGTTTTTACCGAATTGACTGTGCAGAGGCTCGTTACTATATATGGAAGTACTTGTAAATTAACAACAATTGGTATAGAACATGTTGTACACTAGAAAGGGGGGTATCTGAAGAAGAAAATAAAAGTGGTGACTAATCTTTTATAGTACCTGTCTGCTTATGGGACAGTGTCCAAACTGAAATTATTCAAACAGAAAACAATGGTTATTCACACTTTATGCAAAAGGACATGACGGACAAAGAGGACAAACGATCTAGACAATTGGAATAAATACATTTCAGCAGAGAAATAGTTTTATCAATTTGGCACAGTGGCTTGTCTTGGGTAACCACCATTAAGGCAACATTTACTACAGCTGGGCCTACAACGTCATAATCAAGCAGGCTGTAAAGAGAAATAGTGCATACCACTAAGTGCTTGGAACCAAACATGAACCTTCGCGGCAGCCACAAGGACTTATCGATATATAAGCTACTTGATTACATCTGCAGGTGTTTTAGCTTGGTAAGAGCTGCCAACGTCTTTACCAAGTTTTAAAAGCGCGTCATGCACCTGTTTCCAGCTCCAATAAAGCAAATAGTAGACTGCTCCTCTTCCCATAGCAACAAGCAGCGGAAAAACACAACTGCAAGTGACCTACGGTGGTGTCACTTAGGAACTTGGGACAGCTAAGCAAAGACAGGTCGGCTGAGATGTACAATGGAGACAATATTATGACTGGTGACACACTTAAAAGTTCCTTTAAAGTTCACACTAAATGCTTGATCTGGGAAAAGGCCAGGAAAGAGGCAGAAGAGACGCCAGGAGGAAGTGCTGTCCTCTGCAAAAACTGTCACCCAGAATGCTGCCTATAAGCTGCTTATTAAACAATGAGTGATCGAGAAACATAAAAAGGCAGAGTTCATTGTTTGCAAAGCGCCCACCCACCAGCGGGACGATCACTAGTAGCTTCACTGTTTCTCGCTGACATCCTGCAGATTATAGTCTTGACTCTTTGTTACTAACTTGAGGGGAGATTTAGGGGTTGTTAATCCATGGACCACCCAAGGTCAAAGCAATGGTTTATTCTACTTTGGTAAAGCAGGACGAATTTCTACACTTTATGTTTGCATCTTACACTGTGTCCAAAGAGAAACCCATAGAAACCCATTCACTGCTATGGATAAGAAATATATCTCCAGCATACCCCATTCAACTCAAGTTAGACTGACACAGACACATAGTCAAACAAACAGTTTACTTTTAGTTATCCAGTGTCAGAGCTGGGCCTGTCACTTTCCATTGAATGTGATGATTTGCACAAAAGCAAAACTGACAGCATGTTCCAAAATTGACACATTTCCCAATTGTTTTCGAACAGTCTACAAAATCATCTGGTAGCGCTATATGTCAACACAGTCATCTAAATGAAACAAGTATAGGCCTGTGGAGGGGTTTCAGCTTCATGCAGCATTTTCAATACCTTTCAATTGTTAAGACATGTTTAAATGTTTTAATATTTATATGTGTTGTTTTTTTATAATCAGTGCAGAAGCATCACCACTTTTTATCATCCCAATACTCCTATACAAATAACTAAGGGAGAGGATAGCTTACACTACACTGAAATTATAAGTTCCCTAAATGATCCTTTAAAGCATTTATTTTCATAGTGATTGAATTGATTGAATTCAATTACTATTGAATCACTATGATTGAATTACACTGATGGGCACGTACTAATTAATATCGAGCTTAATACCCGTCATGTTGTGATGATTTGTCATTGTTAAAACCTTCCCTCTGTTTCCATAGCCTGGTGCCATGTCTACCCTGGCCTATGCACTCAAGACAACACTGAAAATGATTTTCCAATTAAGAGCCTCTATCGCCTTATGTAACACAGTGCAGCGGCAATACTTTAGGGAATCCCGATTAGGAAAAACTACCCTGGAAAACTCCGCCACCCGAGTCAATACCTTTCGTTTAGTATAATGAGCATTAAACGCGAGGAAGTGCGTGTTTCATCCCCCTCAAGTTTTTCACGTTTGCTGCGTCAAAAGTAGTGCTTGTTGATGGAATTCCTAGATTTATCTCTTGCAAAAAGATAAACTGATATATTATTTTAAATCTCACTTACCGTTGGACCGTCGGACAATATTCTCCAAAAAAGTATTTTGTGGGGCCACAAGTCCCCTTCGGCCCCCCGCCATCCTGCACTGGACTCAGTGTTGAGATGAGGCGTCTCTCCTCCGTGCGCCGAGGCTCTTCATGTCCGCGGCTCTGGACGCAGCGCAGTGGAGGAGATCAGACTGTGGAGGAGGCTGTCTGTCTGCTCATTAGCCCTGAGCGTGGTGCACCTCATCGCAGGAGAAACAGAGCCTGAGCAGCGCAGGACCAGAGAGAGGGGACCAGAGAGCCACTGCAGACACTAGCGCCACCTGCTGGACTCACAGGCCACTGCGAGCGTTCGTCTATTTATAGGACATTTTTCTGTATCTTTGTTTTTTTCCAATCTTTTTTTTGTGGCACCCAAAACACTAAACACTTCAGAGTCCACAGTGTCTTTTGTATCATGTAAATAGTTCAGTGAGTGTGGTTCTCCTATCACAAGTAAAAGTACAATGTAAAAAGGTATCAGCATCCTGAGTATTAACACATATTTGGTTTGGGTTTATACAGCTGTTTTAAACTAGGAGTAAAGATGAATACAAATTTGAATAAGAAATTAGCAAATTCAGCAAACTACTGAACTGCAGAGGAATCCATGTTATACCACCTGAGAAACAGTGATGGGCTTTTTTGTCTTTATACTCATAAATGATCTCATGATAGTGCATTAAATATTTTGTAACTATCAGTATTATTGTAATGCAACTTGTGGGACAAACAATATTGTTTTGCTCCTATAGAGTAACATTTTTGCAATCCAGCGGTAATGATGGACTTTATTTTTCTAATTCCTTGTGTTGTTGTCGATTGTCCGTTGAGTGGCCCTGGGCATGACTTGTGCTCTACAAATACAATGTCCTAACAATAGTGATTCATTGGTCAAAGGTTCTGCGTGCATACAGTGGGGCAAAAAAGTATTTAGTCAGCCACCGATTGTGCAAGTTCTCCCACTTAAAATAATGACAGAGGTCTGTAATTTTCATCATAGGTACACTTCAACTGTGAGAGACAGAATGTGAAAGAAAATCCAGGAATTCACATTGTAGGATTTTTAAAGAATTTATTTGTAAATTATGGTGGAAAATAAGTATTTGGTCACTTCAAACAAGGAAGATCTCTGGCTCTCACAGACCTGTAACTTCTTCTTTAAGAAGCTCTTCTGTCCTTCACTTGTTACCTGTATTAATGGCACCTGTTTGAACTCCTTATCTGTATAAAAGACACCTGTCCACAGCCTCAAACAGTCAGACTCCAAACTCCACTATGGCCAAGACCAAAGAGCTGTAGAAGGACAACAGGAAAATAATTGTAGACCTGCACCAGACTGGGAAGAGTGAATCTACAATAGGCAACCAGCTTGGTGTGAACAAATCAACTGTGGGAGCAATTATCAGAAAATGGAAGCCATACAAGACCACTGATAATCTCCCTCGATCGCAAGATCTCATCCCGTGGGGTCAAAATTATCATGAGAATGGTGATCAAAAATCCCAGAACCACACGGGGGGACCTGGTGAATGACCTGGAGAGAGCTGGGACCAAAGTAACAAAGGTTACCATCAGTAACACACTACGACGACAGGGAATCAAATCCTGCAGTGCCAGAAGTGTCCCCCTGCTGAAGCTAGTGCATGTCCAGGCCCATCTGAAGTTTGCCAGAGAGCACATGGATGATACAGCAGAGGATTGGGAGAATGTCATGTGGTCAGATGAAACCAAAGTAGAACTGTTTGGTATAAACTCAACTCGTCGTGTTTGGATACTGAGTTGCATCCCAAGAACACCATACCTACTGTGAAGCATGGGGGTGGAAACGTCATGCTTTGGGGCTGTTTTTCTGCTAAGGGGACAGGACGACTGATCCGTGTTAAGGAAAGAATGAATGGGGCCATGTATCGTGAGATTTTGAGCCAAAACCTCCTTCCATCAGTGAGAGCTTTGAAGATTAAACGTGGCTGGGTCTTCCAGCATGACAATGATCCCAAACACACCGCCCGGGCAACGAAGAAGTGGCTCTGTAAGAAGCATTTAAATGTCCTGGAGTGGCCTAGCCAGTCTCCAGACCTCAACCCCATTGAAAAAGGTAGTCCGTGTTCACTGCTCTCGAGAAGATCTGCATGGAGGAATGGACGTAAATACCAGCTACTGTGTGTGCAAACCTGGTAAAGACCTATAGTAATTGTTTGACCTCGGTTATTGCCAACAAAGGTTATATTACCAAGTATTGAGTTGAATTTTTGTTATTGACCAAATACTTATTTTCCACCATAATTTACAAATAAATTCTTTAAAAATCCTACAATGTGAATGTGAATGTGACAGTTGAAGTGTACCTATGATGAAAATTACAGACCTCTGTCTTTATTTTAAGTGGGAGAACTTGCACAATTGGTGGCTGACTAAATACTTTTTTGCCCCACTGTATTTATAATGTAGTAATAAGTAGTTGAGTTGTAATGTTCATATTTTAGGTAAAACAAGATGTTTTGTGCAAAATCTACATTAGAGATTTGGCAGGTATCTTTATTTTTCCCCAAAAAGGCACAAATTCAAGCAATATCTTAACCCTCAAAAAAAAATTTCTGACATGTCTGGATCTCCTGTCTGAGCTATTGTCTGCAAGTATTTGTTTTTGTAACAAATTGTTTGCTATATACACACAAAATCAAAAACATCAATTGCATTGCAAGGTTAAATGCAATGGTCCTGCTTTAGAGAAAGGAGATAGATGTGTAGGATTACCTTCTGAATGTCTATCCGATTAAGTAGTAGGTTCCATATACAGTAATTACACAAAACTTGCTGTCCCCTAAGTGTAATTGAAAGCAATGAATAATTTATATATATAAAAATCACAAAGCGGTGTATTATTGACAATTATCAACAAAACAAATATTTTATTAACTACATAAATATGTCACATATTGTATAGTTTTTAGTTTGACCATGTCTTAGTGATCCTGAGATGACTCAAATGGTCTGTGATGCTCTTGTGACCAGGAAAGTTAGCAAAGCTTTGCTCCTTGATCTTGAGCCAGTTTTGGGCCCTGCGCTCGGCAGCATGTCCCACTTCCTGCTCCACGGTCAGGTAAGGGCGACTGATCCAGTACTCATTCTCTGCTTCACGTTCCAGATGTTTCACCATGTTCCGTTTCATCTGCCATGTGATTGGTCTGATGCGGCGGTGCTTTCCAATCCACTGCTTTCCAGGGATCCCTTTTCGAAGGAGCGTCAAAGTTAGAAACATTTCGTTGAAGTCTGAAAAAGACAGAGCATTGAGTAGTGAATACATATTTTCATTTATCAATATGATTAGGACTGTCAAAATTAATCTAAACTAATGTCAATTTCAATGGGAACTTTCTGGTTCCAACAACAGTTCAATGAATGAATACAGGTCAAAACATAAATAAATAGTTGAAAAATAGGTTTTAACACAGCTAGTTTAACACACGGGCTTCACATTCCTCAAATTAATTGTATTCGTTTCCAGCCGTAGAATATAATGCCATGTCATTTAAAATAGTACACATATATATTACAACATTATTTATTTGTACGTATTTATTTATTTGAGTTTAGGACCGTACATATGAATCAACGTGTCTACAAACAGCGTCAACATAAATATGCTGGAATTAGCACCATAGTTAAATTGCTTCCATGCTGATGCAATTTCAATTTAAATACAGGCAACATGTAGCTTATAAGTCCCTGAATGTATAAGAATAGAGACAATTTCAACTGAAACCTCATTTGTTCCAAAGAGTAAGCTAAAGCTGCATTAACATTAGTTCAATCCATGAGGATAAAAACGTACATTTGAAACTTGTGCAACACAACTATAAAACTAGTATTGTCTTACCTGTACTTCGTTAATGGGTGGTACTATACTACTGACGGAGGAGACGTGCACGAATATCTCTTATGAGAAAAGCGTTATAATGAGACATATAATGTAATCCAATGTAGGAAGACAACGGGGTCAACGTGCTTCCGGGTTAAGGACGGTAAGAGAACGGGTTCAAATCTCAACGAGCGCTTGCGTTTCATTTTCGGTAAACAAAAAAACTTGAATGTTACAGGAGAGGTTGTTATATATAAACAGACATAAACATCAGAGGGAGTGCTAATACTTGGCAGCACCATAGGATCAGCATACGTATGACTAATAAGTACTTTATTTGTTAACATTTTATACTTCATGTAGGTTACACATCACATATGGTGTGTAATAATTGCATTCAACATAAATGACCTCTTCCCGATGCCGACCATGGATCGATTATAATACCTATTCCGACTCAAGTCAAACTTACTTGTTATTTTTCCGCTTTCTTAAAAACTCCGCCCACTTTGGCGTATATAAAACAAACCAACTTTCCTGATCACACAGTTATCTCTTCTCTCCAGGTTCTTCTCGACACCAGGCATCATGTTTCCACTGCTGTGGTTTTCTGCGTCTACTTGGACTCTCCTGGTTCTCTTCTTTACCCTGTTGTTACTGTAAGTCCTGTTCATGGATCTACAATAATAATGGCCTTGTTTCAGGAATGCTAAATTCTAACAAGAATGCGCCGTGGATTTCTATGGGTTTGACATCGTATGTATCAGTGCTTATGCAGAGTAGCCATAATAGATCCATGAGTGTAGCATACACAACTGTTGTATTTTTGTATTAATATTACTAATAATTACTGAAAGCAAAGGAAGGTTTCTCACCCATCATCTGTTAAGAAGTACAGATGATGGGTGAGAAACCTTCCTTTGCTTTGACTAATCCCTGTACGACTGAGGGCTTACACAAACTAATAATTACTATTGTTAGAACAGGAATATCAAATGTGCTTACCCTGGTGGGTCATAGACTTTTTTCTACTACAGCTATATAAATAATTTTAAGAGGTAAATTTACAATGTGAAAATGTGAAAGTTAGATAAACATTCAGCTTAAATACATTGTTACAAAAAAAAAAAAAAAAGAAACACAGGCATGACAAATTAACTAAAATATGCGAGGTGCAGGGAGCAACATTACATACTTTTATGCATCCATTTATTTGGAGGATAAGCCCTTTGAGATTAATCGTCTCGTTTTGGGAAGTCTTCAAGATAATATTTTTTTTTTTATTCCAGCAGTTTTACAATGTATTATATATTCTTTTACATGCACATATAATTCAAGAAAGAAAGAAAGCTCAAAGGGAGAAGGCTGAAGCAAAAAGCATTAAGTGCCTTCTCCATTTTTTTTTTTTAACAGGGAAAATAATGTTACATTTACATCTATGTGTATGTGTGTGTGTGGTTATTTTTTATTTGTGTATTTATTTTTTTACAATGATTGAAGTGTGTTGAAATAGCCACATATGACACATCATGGATATTCCCAGGATTGTGTTGAAAAGTAACTCAAAGGAAGTTGTGTAACAGGGTGATGTAAATCCCTCGAGAACAGTGCTTACAAATGTGGGGTAATTTTATTGTTATCATTACACAATAACTGCTTTTTACAACTCATATACGTTTCTGTGTTTTGGTCTAAATTAAAAAGGAAAACCATTATTCTTCCATGTTGTTCCAGACTTTGGGAACTGCTGCTCTAAGAAATAATTTGAATATGTAAAGTTGTAGAGCAGGCATATCAAACTGGCCCCTGAAGTGATCTACATTTATCAAAAGCACTGATGGATTGATGAATGGACTGACGGCTACTATGGAATATTATACATAATTTTTAAGCTAATTTATAATATACAATATAATTAAATTTATTCTAAATTAGAAGTTGGATATCCTATTTATTTGGCGGTGTGTTGGTTCATTCTTAATCTACCAGAAAACACACCAAAAAATGTAATTTGTCTGCTCTCATTTTTTTTTAGATTTGGCCCAAACCAAAATGAGTTTGATAGCCCTGTTTTAGAGTAACTTCCACTTTGGGTCAGTCTTTGATAATAATAACAACTTGTTTTTGTTTATTTTAAGGTATGGGATCTGGCCTTACAGATTTTTCAAAAACCTTGGCATTCCTGGACCTACTCCCAGACCTTTCATAGGAACAATAATGAATTTTAGCAAGGTATTTGCCACATATACACTTTACATTTCAGAGCATATTCTCTCATCATGCTTAACAAATTCTACATTTGTTTGTGCCAGGGCCTTCTACCTTTTGACCGTCTGTGCCACCAGAAGTACGGAGATATTTGGGGGTAAGACATTTTAAGCTATTCACTTGTATCTCTCTGTTCAGTTATGTTTTATAGAGCTCCCAATCAAACAGTAAAAACATTATCTCTCCCTTACACACTGAGCTCTGCTATGTGTAAATGACGCACCTTTTCACCCGCCTCCCTATAGCTGTAGTTTAAACTGGTCAGGTGAAGAAGGTGATGCAAACAACACACAAGGGGCAATACTTTCAAATGCAATGCCACTAGGGTACCTTGGAAAAAGCAGTGGTCTCTAAACGCTGAGCCTGGGGACCCATCTCCAGCTGGAGAGCTGGAGGACTTTAACCTATGGTGTTTGTTATAAGCTAGTGGGGGGAACCAGAGTAGACCCACCCAGACACAGGGAGAATACGCGAACTACAATGAAAATAAATGTTAAAAGTAAAAGTAATGAAATCACTCCTGTACTTAAGTAAAAGTATAAAAATACAAGCTTTTTTTCTGTACTTCAGTAAACAAGTAATAAGCATTTTTGTTAAATAGTTGATGGACAATAGAATTATTTGAGAAAACATTGTCTTTCAACACACCACATTATATACTGTTATAGAAATAAAACTTAAACCGTTATTTGAATTAGAGGCATGGCTAGTAAAACTGAACAGTTCTCTGAAAAAATAAGTAGTAAAGTACTGATACCAGAAAACTACTTAACTACAGTACTTAAGTAAAAGTAAGTCATCTCAGCAAGAAGATTCTGAGTGGAGTTTGCATGTTCTCCTCTGGATTCTCTGGTTTCCTTTATCACTAAAATAATGTAAGGTAGAAATCCTTAATCCCGAGCATCAACATCTGACGCTGGGTCCCCTGGTGCTGCAGAGGACTATTTTCAAGATGTAACTTAACTTGACAGTAGCTCGGTTGGTAGAGCGTTGGCCTTTGAGCCAGAAGATTGTGGGTTCAAGCCCAACTCAAGACTTTCACCATCGACTCCCACTGTCTGCTGTCGTTGTGTCCTTGGCAAGACATTTAACCTCTGGGAACACCAGCCACAGTGGGGCGGCTGCGGCTGTAAAGTGCCAAACTGCCATTGTGCCCTTAGGCAAGACACATCATCCCCATTGCTTAGAATAGGTCTGGTGTGTGTGAATGGTTGGCTTGCTTCTGTCAGTGTGTACTACAGTAGTAGTTTATCACCACTGTGTATGGAGAGAATGAATAATGGTATAAGCGTCTTTGAGTGTCCAAAAAAGCGCTATATAAAATTGATGCATTATTATTAACATAACTTACAGTTTGGGCACTGCTCTTTTCTTTATAAAGTTGTTCTTGAACATTTTTATGTTGCTGCACATGAATGATAAACTTGCCATAGTCCAATATAATGCGATTCCCTGAAGCATCTCTGTGCCTTGGCTGCAGGGTACGTGCAGGGTACGTGTCTGTACATTAATGTGTTAGTCTCATCCATGTCGGACTCTGAGGAGCACAGGGACTGGTCTACTAGTGCCCAGAGTCAGGACTAGACATGGGTAGTCTGCATTTCATATCTATCTATTCAGCTATAGAGCCTGGAATAATTTCTCTGAGAAGGCCCGGCAGGCTGAATGGATTGAAAACAGTTCTGTTAAGCTGTGCTTATGACTGATTATAATTTATCTTAACGTTTTTCATGTTTTAAAACTGTTCATGTAAATCCCATTTTTTTTACACCTTGTGCTATACAAATACATTTGTATGGATTTTTTGAAAGAAAAATTTCACAAACATTCATCAATAGAAACACTGCAATGAAAATTAATCCATATTATCCTGATCTCAATGCCTTTGTTTATGTTTATAATTCAAAATATTCTTAATAATGCTTTGCCTTTAGGCTGTATGACGGCCGTCAGCCAGTTTTAATGGTGGCAGACCCTGAAATCATAAAGACTATCTTAGTGAAGGAGTGCTACTCTGTGTTTACCAACCGAAGGGTAAGAACCAAACATACTTTCAATGTGTGTGGAAAGCAAAAACAAGTTTTTAATTGTATAGTTTTCCCCATTCTCTGTGCAACTTTTGCCGTGTCATTCAGATCAGAGGGCTTTCATGTTGTTATCCCATATAAAAATATATTTCAGGAGATTTCTGAAGAGAATATTGCTAATTAGTAGTATTAATACTTTGCTTGGATTTCCTCAGGAAAGTGATCTTGTCGGTCCAATGACTGATGCGATTACAACAGTAAAAGATGACAGGTGGAGGAGGATTCGAAACACACTGTCTCCATGTTTCACCAGTGGGAGACTGAAGAAGGTCTGGAACAGAAAAGTCTACATGTATTGTCTACAATTCCGTTACTTTATCATATTGCAGATTCTGAGTTCGAGGACTATTTATTGTCCTTTTAACAAAATTCTACATTTATTCAAATAGTGTAGGTGTATTTCCTTTTGATTAATATATGCTTTTTAAACTATACAGATTTTTCCCATTGTTGAGCGCTATGCAGATCAACTAATGCTGACACTGCAGAACAGAAACGTGGAGGAGCCCATTGATATTAAAACGTAAGTAAGATGCCTGCATTTTACTAAAGCACAAAAACGATTGTCTGTTCTAACAGTTTCCTGCTCCAGGTTTATAGGCCCCTACAGTCTTGACGTTGTGGCCACTGCATCTTTCAGTGTTGAGACAGATGCCATAACAAATCCAGATGGAGTAGTTGTCACTCATTTGAAGAAAATTATGAACTTTTCATTTTGGCCCTTCCTTATACTAAGTATGGTTGAGAAATGTCACATTTACTGTAAAACAGCTGCGTAACGCCTGTCTTTCTGTCTGCAGTGGTGTTTCCCTTTGGTGGTCGAATAATGAAGGCTTTGGGGATCTCTATGATGGCCAAAGACAGTGTGAACTTTTTTTATGACATCATAAAAAAAATTAAAGTGCAGCATGATTCAGATAAGACTGTAAGCAGAGCACCATGCATAATCTTTTATATTTTATGTACAATCTGACCAATGTAATATTTATATTTAGGCAAGAGGAGACTTCCTTCAGGTGATGATTCAGAATGAAATTCCTGAATTACCAGATGAAAATGAGCAGCCAAGTAAAGGTAACTGTTCCTGTCATTGGGTTTGGCATTGACTACAGGATCTATTAGAATAGTTATTCAAGTCAAATCAATTAACCCATTAAATCAGTTAACGCACACATTTTACAAGATTGTTTTAAAAAAAGAAGAAATGTCCAGAAATATGAATGTTTGTTCCAGATGCACTCATTACTTGTGGTTACTAACAAATAGGTGACCACTTTTGTCAACATTCCTGACATTCAAATATATTTTTTAGGTTTGACAGAACATGAAATCCTTTCCCAAGCCTTTATTTTCATCTTTGGGGGCTATGAGACCACCAGTGTGACCCTCTCCTTTATGTTTTACCATTTGGCAACCAACCCAGAGGTTTTGCAGAAGCTGCATGAGGAGATTGATGCCAGCTTACCTAAAGATGTACAGTTTACTCCAGTAGAATGGCATCGGTTTATGTACGTGCAGTATATGTTTGACGCCTCTTCCCTCTTCACTTCAGGCTCCAGTGACATATGAGGATCTGGTCAGTCTAAAGTATTTGGATCAGGTCATCAATGAGTCCCAGCGGCTGACCCCAACTGCCCCACGTCTTGAGAGATTGTGTAAAAAGACAGTGCAGCTCCACAGCATCACTATTCCAGAGGGAACCCTGGTCGGAATCCCGGTGTCACTGTTACACACAGATCCACGTTTCTGGGACCATCCCGAGCTCTTTAAGCCTGAGAGGTGTTGTGCCTCAAGACTCAGCTCACATGTCTCACTACTTGTCCTGCTGCTGATGGATTGTGTTTTATTTGCAGATTTCATGATGAGTCTGAAATCAACCCATATGTGTACATGCCTTTTGGACAAGGGCCACGTAACTGCATTGGAATGCGTTATGCCATCTTAACCATGAAAATGGTTGTGGTGCGCCTCCTGCAGAACTACACTTTGGAAACGTGTAAAGAAACTATGGTAAAGTGCATTCTATCATACAATCCCAGGGTTAAAGTCTACTCAGATAAAGATCCTGTTTCATAACAATGTCTTTCTCATTTAGCTTCCGCTGCTGCTCAACTGGAAGTCCCAACCCGTGAAGCCTATAAAACTTAAAATTCTTCCAAGGGAGCATCATAAAGTTCAATAATTTAATCTAGTGCTCCTTTGTATTAATACTGCTTTTATGACATGTACATGAAAGATCTTGTCTTCTATAATAACACGCATGGCTGCAACTGTAATTTGAGATTTTAATAGTGTAAAAATCTGGCAGCCTGAGCTGAAACTTGGTGAAATAATTAGAATGACTGTTTTATATGCAAAGAAACATGTGTATATGACAAAAAGAACATAAAATACTACAACAATAAAACATTCTTTTTGTTCAACCCATACCAGTACAAATAGTCAAAATGACTTCTTTGGCTTAGGAAAAACAACAAAGCTGTGTTGGAAACAGAGGCTTAAATAAAAGGCAGGGTGGTTGCAAGTGATGTGACAAGAACTGCAGGGTATTTCTGTCAGACAAGGCCTGTAGGGGGCGCCACCGTCGTTACACAATATACTGGAGTATTGCACCGTATACAATAAAGTATTTATCTGATACACTGTCAACATACAATCTTGAACACAAAAAACAAGTTGAAATATTACAAATATGAACACAATGTTATAAAATGGTTTTTTCTTGTTTCTATGTGTATGTTTGAGCTGGGCATCTTGGCAGCTGTCTGCATTCATGCATTCACAGGACAAGTCCTAAACAAAATCTTCATATCACAGCAAAATATAAAAACACATGGATTTGCTATTTGCTCATAAACATGGGGAAAATTAAGAACACCAAATGAAAGTATTCATACATCCTGAGTTTAAGTCACACTCATGAATAGGCATTTAGGCAATAATAATCTGTCTCCATGGAGACATAACTCTCCTCAGTTGTTACCTGCATTGCTCTATGGGACATGTGTCCACAGGATCCACATGGGCCCATTGTGAGAAAAGGCAGCGTTGACAAGGTCATGGCAATTGGGTCAATGACATTATTGCAATTTTAACTTTCCAATATGAAAATCATTGTTAAGAGAATATATTTCTTAAAAATTAGCATTGCACTGTAAAAATACTGTAATTGTCGACTAGAAGCCGTCACTTTTCAAGTTCTTTAAACCCTGCAGCCATTATTGTGATGCTGCCACTGTATGTATTTTATTGTGTTAAGAGTATCCCATGGGTCGCATCACAGGAAAGGATTCAAACACACCTTATTACCTTTTGTTCATGTTTGAACAGAGAGAGCTGAAATGAGATGCAAGGAAATATCCCTACACACACAATACAGCTGGTCTTACCAGACCTTATGAAGATCCCACTCCACATATACCTCCTGCCACTTTAGTGAACTCGAACTCGGGGGGAAACATCCAAGCTCCAAACAGAAAGGCCAATTTGACAATAGAAAAACTATGTAGACCCTGCCAACTTTTCTAGTTTGAATGATGTCAGTATTGTAATAAGTAACTAAATGGATTATTTGATGTACATTGAACTGGAAATTAGTAAACACTCAACTCAACTTGTATTTTCAATATTGAACTGAATGTCTGGTGCTGTGTGTACTGGGTGCAGCAGCTCTGATTGCCCCCCCCCCCCGACCCAGAAATGGATTAAGGGGAGGAAGATGGATGAATGGATGAACAAAATGTCAACATACATCTTTACTTTAATCAAAGATGTCAATATCAAAGATGGCGCCTCGTACGGTCGACACGGCTCTTTGCTGCTCTCTTTTTCTCTTTGCTTTTTTAACCATTTAAATAAAACCAGCTGTAACGTCATTGACCCAATTATCTATTCTTAGTTGGAATGTAAAACACCTGACCTTTGCAAATAGGCCAATACAACAGTTGTAGAAAAAGATTGCTTTCTCTGGAAACATCTGCTTGTCACAAGGCAATTTGTAATGATTTATAAAATAAATACCGGGAGTTTTAATGGACTAAACTTGAATAAATAAAATACAGTATTTTAACTCCTGAAAACCTTTTATATAAAAACTAGAACAATAAATATTGCCAACACTGAATTGGAGGAAATATGATTGACCTGTTGGCCTTTGCTGTCATACTTGGTATCTTGGTATTATGAAATGCAGAGACCTTTGCACCAGGACTGAAAAGTTTTTCTTCAAACCGTAAGTAAGAACTGATACAAATCCAGCATTGGTCAACAGCAGTTTTTACTGCTCTGAGCAGCTGACATCATCAGAGCAGATGGATTGCTTGAAGATAATGTTGACATCCTTTGTGCTGCTTTACCACCTGACAGACAACAGTCACACAGCGCTCCTACCGCCGCGGCTGGTGGTGTCGTGTCAGAGGGGAGGGGCTGGTGGGGGTGCAGGGCGACATAGAGGCCAGAGAGGCAGTGGCAGCGGCGTCTTCTCCCTCCTCCAGATGCCCCTCGGCGTGCAGCTCCTGGCTCACACTGGACTGCAGCGCTGCGGGGGTCAGCCACTCTTTGGGAAGGCAGCTCTGGAGGAATGGCACACACGAGCTGAAGTACGCCAGCCGGTTGACCCAGCCCGGGATCCCTCTGCCGCACAAGATCTGGGAAAGGAGGAAAAACGTCACTGCACTACTGTATGATCCACACAAAGTTGCTCAACATTTTTCAACCCTACAGAACAATGAAATATCGGCTTATAAATGCTGTGATGTCATTTGAAATAAGCCACAAAAGTCTGTGTTAGGGTTAGGGTTAGGTTTCCATATTACTTAATGAACCATGTGAAATGAATAACATACTCCTATTGTGGTTTCAGATGGGAAGGATAATACCACGCTGTGTTGACGTTAAGCATGGGATCCTAGCAGCCTAATTTTGTTGACTTTTCAAGAACAATCACTGACATATTCACGGTAACCTAAATCCAAGCCTTTGTATTTACAAGATGCAGTTAGAATAAGACCAATTATCTCCACAAAGCCCTGACAGTGTTATTATCGCATTATGAGATAAAGTGGCTCCCCAAAAACAAACTCTGCATATTAATTAAACATCAAAGCTACTGACAGGGGCTTCCAGACGATCCAGGGGGAAGGACCCTCTCTGAACCACAACAAGGCTTACTAAGCACTGGCAGTCTGTTTGGCTTCCTCATGTGCACTAAGCAGAGACAGGAAGTAGGGCTAATCCACAAATCTACAAACAAACAAGCAGTAAATGTGCAAAGAAGGGTTTTGACAATGAGATGGAAGATTAAGATTTTTTTAAGATTTTGTTCAATCTTTAAGTACAAATACGACAGAGATGTAGGAAATCAGAATATAAAACACATCCATAAAGCACATATTTTTAGTCGCTGCTCCTCATAGTGAGCGGCTGCCTGCGTGTACGTGTGTTGGCTTTACGTGTCCAGGCCTGTGTGCATTTCTTAATCCGTGTCAGAGCTCCAGACACCCACAGTAAGATGCCGGCTCATTAGTCACATCCTGAAAAGCCGATTTAACAGACGCAGTGACAGTGGAGCTTTCATGAAAGACAGATGTATATTTTCCATATTTGTAGCTCAATGTGTGATAGCAGTAGTTAAGTTAGTTCAATATAGTCACTTTAATAAATGGAATATAGTAAGTATGATGTGATTTTGTTTGGAAAAAGCTGCAAATAAATAGGATTGCTAATGCTAATGCACTTGTAAGCAATTAGAACATTTTTTTAGGTTAGTTAGTACATAATGCGTTTAGAGATATTGATAGAATAGTTTTTTTTTCAACAAAGACATGCATGCATCTTAGGTTAAATGTGTGTATATGCTTTTTACACTATGGGGAGTAATTTGAACAAACTATAACTTTTATTGGGTGAGTTTTACTGAACAGTACGAGTTCTGTTATTGAAACAGAATCGGACCACAACAAACAGCGCCGCAAATGGCGAAGTGGCACGCTCTCTGCCAAGACAATTTCCAAGTGATAACTTTGTTACTCACGTGGCAATAAAAATGATTCTGATTCTGATTCTGATTCTGATATTCTAGACCAGTTTTCTAGACCAGTTTTCCAGATTTGTTGATTTTATGAATAAAAAAAAAGTCATTTCGGCTTGATACATCAGTCGATCTCAACTCATTATACAAACAAACTAGCTAGGTTTTCGAAACAAACCATTAACCACGGACAAATGTATATAGTGAACTATTATATACATAAAGGGCAGGATAAGTAGATAAAGTGACATTCAATGGACATTCTGAAGTTGCAGGATTGAACTATGCACTATAATAAACTATAAACTAAACTCAATACTAAGATAAAAGGGAGACATCCTCTTGTGTTTTTCAAAGATTTAGCAAATCTCACTGCGTGTGCTGAACTACATCATGTCCCCTGCCTCACTGTTGGCAAAAACACCCAATTTTGCATACCAATTTATTCATTAATAGCCGCAGTTTAGCTCATAGGGCTGTTGAGAGCGCTATTGCTGATGATGAGCTCCACTTTGTGTGTGAGTTTCTGGTTTGCATGTGAGCACTGGATAAATGAGGCCCTTAGCACATAATTCATTTCAGCTTTTTGGTTTCACTGTGATAACTCATACTTTGTTTTGCTTCTTGCACAATCCTTCCAATGTGATTCCAAGCTACAAGCTACACCAACAACAAAAGCTGCACTGTTTCTTTGATTGCCACTTTCATTGTACATAATATATCCTGCATTTAACATGTTTGCACCTTTCTTTCTTTTTCACAATCTTGAGTGATTCTATCCATGCCAGATGTGTACATTTCTCCTGTGTGAGATCAATAAAGTCTTAAGTGCTGCTAACCAAACTAGAGGGATAGTATTCTGGCAGTAAGTGTGAGCACTTACCTGGTGATGATCCAGGACACTTGAACGTTCTACAGCATGTATGGACATTTATTAACATTCATGGACATAGGTCTCTCCCTATGGACCAATACATATGTGTATATTTTGTGTCTTAACTGTTGACTCTGTGATCTGTGTTGGTGATTTCAATGGTTTTGTTAAGTCCTCTGAGAAGACCACTGTTGTGATTTAGGGCTATACAAGAATACATTGTATTCTATTGTATTGTATTGTATTACCTCGGACAGCGCTGAGGAGAAGTGGTTGCAGTTCTTGTACATGAGGTGGTAGGAGTTGCCCTTATACTCCTTCTTCCCCATTTCTTCCACGATCCGCTCTACGTCCTCCTCAGTGAAGTCTGTGGTGCCCAAGAGAATGGCTTCTCTGAACACACAAGGGAGAAGAGTAAACAGCCAAAACAACACAAAACAAATGGTGAAACTACTTAAATTGTGTGGACCAATTGAATGACATCCTACAGTTTGGCACATCACTACCAGTAGTTTTCAAAAGCATGTATTATTGCTTGTATCACAGAATTCAAGCATAATTTTCAAAGTAACGCAGAGAAAAGTTAGGTAAAAGATCAGTTTAAAATGTTTAAGATGGAGAGACAATTTTCTAAGACAAGCGCTAGTTAGAACCCAAGTATAGTGCCCAAGTATTCAAAATATTAATTCAATACTGACAGATTTACTAAAAGGGATTTTCTGACACGCAAATAAAACTGAAATCTCTGCACTGTGGGACAGACAAAGCTTCTCTTATCATAACATATCTTTATCCAAAACAGAAAAACAACTACATAACCTGTCGGCATCTTTGCCAAAATATATCTATATATTTCATAATTATCATTCATTCTCATCAGGAAGATTGTGAGTTAGAATGATCTAGTGCGTTTTGAGTACATCCAGAGCAAATCAACTAGAGCAGAAGTAACCCGGAGCTGCACAGCGGGCGTCTCTTAGATGAACGTTGGAATCCTCAGCTCTCGCACATATTGAATTATACAGTCAGGAACACTGGCAAAACTCTCCTGCATACTGTGGGATCATAGTTATGTATTCTACTTTCTCTCGACGTCTATCAATCACAAGCTAATAAGAATAATTGTGTGTGATACAAGATTCAAGAATGTATTTGCCATTTGCAGTAAAACCACATTGGAAAAACTGTGCAAAACTACACCAGTGTGCACCAGACAGCTCACACCAGAGCTCTTGCCATGGCGCCATTTTTACGGAAAAAAAATTTAATTGTGAAGGTAATTTGTCTTGACATATTTAACACAAGCACATGTTTTCTCCTGAACAAGTTCTGCATTCCATCTCAAATAGACTAGAACACTGACCATTGAGAATGAACTGTGAAATCATGCTTATCACATGTTTTTATCCCAGCTACTTTAGTGTGTGTTGAAGTTCTCTCTTTAACCTACAAAAGAATATGATGAGCCGATAATGGAGGTATATAAAATATGAGAAACAATTTGAAAGAAAGAGGTTGTTCAGAGCTTGGTATTCGATCAACGCACGCAAACAAAACCAGAACTTACTTGAATTTGAAGGTTTGACCAAGTTCAATGGCATCTCCTGGTGTGATCTCGAATATTCCTGAGAATGGGTATGGGTGTCCACCATAGGCAAACTCTGCAAACACAATGATGTTGGTTTTCATGTAAGACCATAATATTATTTGAATCATAAAGAAATAACAGACCTCTTCCATACATCTCGATCCCTGTGTGATAGACACCGATGCCCAGAGTGGTGGTAAACTCATTCATCCAGTACTGCAAGAAGAAACTTAAACAGTGAATGCGTATGCCATTTTGAAAGTTGGTAAAAAATGGGTGGAGATATAAAATAAATAGTAAATAAAATCATTGTTTAGAGTATGTGAATGCTAGACTTACATAGGATTGATTACCACAAATATACATTAACTCGTCAATAATTGATTCTTGATCTCTGGCGTTACCTTACACTTGTCACCCGCTTGTGGAAGAACAACCCTTCTCTGTATCTGCCCATGTTGTGATACTGAACTGAATGGATAAAAATGTTTTTATATATGATCATTTAAGTTTTCCAACAGCCTTGAGTGAAGTCAGAAAACCTTAGATAATGTACTTGAAAACGTTTACAATGTACCCTTTAGTACCATAAATGTATTTGAAAATGTTTGTACTGTGTCAACATGGGACAAAGAAACAGATAATTGTAAGCATATCTGTGACAAGACTATTCATTAGATCTCCCCTCCTCCCACCAGGGCTGAAATAAGACTCTTATCTCAGGCCTCATTACTTCAAAGCTTGTTAAAATGTTCCTCCGCCTCAAAACCACAAAAGAATTGTGGTCAAATCCTGAATGACCACACATTGAATTTCACCAGACAGATATTGTCTTTCCAAATACTAACACATCAGTTTGCAAGGAACAATCAAACTAAAGGACGTGGGGGGAAGATCTAAAGCCATATAGGAAGTAAAATTACGCACAGCGAGATGAATGCAGAGAGTAACTCAGGTTAATGTGAGTCACGTTTACACTATGAAGGAATGTCCTTTTTATTAAACAGTTGTAGCAAAATTCAACATCAAATAACCCAGTGCATGAACATTTTGGACATTAACTTGAGCAACAAACATGTATGAAATGATTTTCTACAAAGGTTCAAAATATTTACCTCTATAACCCCCAATATTGAAGGATTTTCACTTTTAGAGATTTTTTTTTTAATGATGTCCCTGTACAGTTGTTTACTTATTGTCATGTTTTAAGCATTTGTATTGTTCTGCACAAAACAAAATGCAGCAAAGAAGCGTTACAATTCTCCTTCTCTGGGTTTCTGTCTGATTAGTGCTTGTAAATTCCCTCCCAGTTGAAGTCAGAATCACACCGAACAGAGCGATGCAGGTGGGCTGGCAGAGGGGGTTAAGATAATGCAGTCTCATTAGTGGCACACGTTTAAGCACTCAAAGCTCCACCAGAAATCCACTTTAGCGGTAGTGTCGGGCCCAGCAGCAAGAAGGGGAGGAAATACAGGGGAACATCTCATGATATAGCCATGAATCAGCCACTGTATCTGCTCCTCCTCCAGTTTATTTTTAACTTGATTTACGGTGTACAGAGAAGCACATAAATAAACACAACATGAGCTACAATAATTTTCCCATCACAGGAGTTATGGTTCAACAAGGTTTGTAGATCAAGTGACAGAAAGCATACTCAACATTTCTACTCAATAAACTGTAGATTTATTATATAAATAAGTAATACATTGGCCACATTGCATAGGAGTTCTCATCTAGAGGCCTAGCTGATGAATTGGCCTTGACGAACATGTGGCTACAGCTGAGATAATATTTATGTTGCAAGAATATGTTTTATGACACTTAAAAACTAAGCTGTCAATATTAGATATGATGAAATGAAAATGTGTGAAATGAGCTATGTAGGCCAGCTTAAAAATAATAAACAATAAGGCAGTGTTGAGTCTTTCCTGTGGCACTACTATTACTAGGTCAGTACAACTGCAGCCATTCAGAAGCGTCAGAATGGGTCAGAAAAAGCCCTACTGTGTGCGTGTGCGTGTGTGTGTGTGTGTGTGTGTGTGTGTGTGTGTGTGTGTGCGCGCATGCATATATGTGTGAGAAGGAGCAGAGTAGTAAGAAAGGGAGAGGACACTGAGAGGAAGACTAAAAGTAGCATCTAAACAAAGGAGGAGGGGACAGGTCACCAGTGCAGAGAGAAACCACTGTTGAAACCAATAATAATAATTATAAAACAACATTTTTCATCTGTATTTGAGATACAATGTTGATCATTAGACAGATTCTACTGATTAAGATTAATAGATCCTTTATTCCTCCCACAGTGAGGAAATTTCAGCGTTGCATCACAAGAGCACACAATATAAGATAAGCAATTATTATAGCACAATTTTATGCTTTAAAAATAAAAATAAAGTCTCTATTGTTAGCTTAGTAAAGAAGCAAAATATCATACTCTACTCTATACTCTAGTGCAAGAAATATATACTTGCCAACTTACTACACCAAACAAATATAATTGGTTTAAATCAATTTAATTTTTTTGTCTGAAAAATGTCTCTCTTCATAAAATGTATTGATAGCTTTTTATTTAACAACATTCCATCTAATTAGACATGTAATGTCAATACCATTAAGAATACACTCCATGACCTGCTATTACCAGCAGGGGATTGGCAAGTATATACTTCTTGCACTAGAGTATAGAGTAGAGTATGATACTTTGCTTCTTTACTAAGCTAACAATAGACTTTATTTTATTTTCAAAGCATAGAGTTGTGCTATACTAATCACTTTTCTTTGAAACACTTGATTTGAAAGAAACAAGCTGATAAAAAGTATTGAAGGTAGAGATGGTGTCATTTCATATTCATTGGAGAGGACAAACACCAGTGAGTTCACAGCCCTCGTGATGACAGCACTGCACTGATGACCACACATGACTCAAACACTACCCCCACTAGTCAAAAACAAAGAGCAGTAGATGTCTATATCAGACCAGCAGCAGGGACACCTGATGTATTATAGAGCACAGTAAAGCTTGGGTTGTCTGTTGTTTTTTCCACAGCAGCTTTCAGATCTGCAACAGCTCTATCAGCCCTAATATGGGTACAGCCATGTGAAGACACAACTGTCAGAGTTTGCGTATCTAATCTTTGACAGGGAACATTGTCTGAAACATTTAAACTTTATTATAGATTTGTCCATGGTTAAACATTTGTTTTGAAAACCTTACTAGTCTGTATCTATAATGAGTTGAGATCAACTGATATATCAAACCAATATGACATTTTTTAATTCATCGCTCTACAAAATGTGTAAATCTGTCTAGAATACTTGTAGTGGTATGGTTATTTAGGTCAAATCCACGAGAAGCTTGAGGAGCAAAAAATATTGAAATTGGGCTAACTTATAAGCATTGGAAAAGCCTGTAAAATTATCTCTTTGCAATGCAATCCAACAGTTTCCAAAGTGCTGCACAGAGACATGGAAACAATCACATGTATCACAGACGTCAATAAATCAACATACAGAACATAGCTGTATATAAATTTAACACCAATACATTTGTTATGGTTACTTCGAATCACCAAAACGCCAATACAAATCATATTTTCTAATGTAGATTTTATGTTGTCATAGATCGTACACTGTTGTAATCATAACAGAATAAATGCTCATTGGGTCAAAGAGGTGAGATGGGTTGTTTTTGAGGGGGTTCGAGGATCAAAGCAGTCTGCCCATATATGGGCCACTACATCCGTATATAAAGTGGCTTGTTAATAACCTTGTAAGAAAATGTATCTATAGTTTAACACCAATACCATCGTGACGTGTGGAGTCCTTCTTACCATATCATACACGTTGAGGATTATTGGCTCCTCGTTTGCCATCACTGGGGTCAGACTTCCAGGGAGATCCAAACTTGCTCTCCACCTTTCAGAAATATCTCCAAAAACCCAAAGACTTCACGCCTGGCACTTTGGCAGCAGATGAATAATCCAGCTTTGAACCAATAGTGAAGACGCCAACATCTGACTTGCTTTGTCCAGAGAGAAAACAAGAGCCTTCAGCAGCGGAGGTCAAAGGGAAACGAAGAAGTGTTCGTTCTCCGATTGCCACACATATTTACATGTCTTAGGGCCAGGTGGCTTGTTTCTATTGAAGTAAAAATGGGGATTTCTTCGACAAAAGGGAAGCCAACTCCCTTTGAAGCTAGCTGTTGGGCTGCGCTCGGGCAGGATGCGCTGATACTGAAGAAAGAGAAAGCGAGTGTTGTCGAGCGCAGAGCGGATCGACAGCTCTGGACTCTGTTAATCAACCTGAGGAAGACTGGTGCATTGTGGGAAATGTAGTAGAACCAAAGTGCAGTACCGAGGCAAAGCTAATATTATTCTGTTTTGACTGTTTTAGGAACCTTTTGAGTACAAACACATGGATGGGCTCTTTGTAGTTTTGACCCATGATTACTAATTTACTCCAATTATTAGTGGGAAAAATCCAAGTCTGCCTAAATAAGATTAAATAATCATTAGATCCACAGTGACTAGTTACTAGTAAATGACTAGTGAATTATTATCAGAACATGTGAGTGACACGTGTACAAACTCAGCAATTCTCGTTGTACAGTCTGACAGCAGCGGGGAGGAAGGACCTGTGAAAACTCTTCTTCACACAGAAAGGATGAATAAATGTTCTTTGGTACAGTTAGAGGTTTTAGCTTGTGTCTCGGTTAGGGTCATAATTACTAAGAGTTGGGTTTTAAGAATTATCCTTTTACATCATAGGTATTTTGGAAAGAGAAAATTAGATTTAGGGATAGAAAAACCAGGCAGAAAAAATAAATCCATGTTGTTTTGAGTTTGGATTTCAAACTGGTCAAAATGTATCCAAGAATGTTGAAAAAAGGGATACATCTTTATTTGATCTGATCTTTCACATTCCAAGGAGATTGCTGGTTATAATGTATTTGTTGGCTGATAAAAATAAGTTAAATATATACTAGATATTTCAGTCCCAGTACTTTGGCTCTTTAAAAGGCGTTAAATTACATTGCATTGTATAGTGTATACACAAAGAAAGGATTCAACAGGCACATATTTTACTTTAAATAACTTTTTGTTTTGAATACAAAAACATGATAAATAAATAAATCAATAACATTTGTTTCAACCTTGATCATTTACCCCCAACAGTTCGAAAAGAGCTTCCTGGTAAGAATAGTCTTGCAGTGATGAATTCATCTCTTCTAACAGATCCTCTCCAAGTAGAAAGCTTTTCAAGTCATGTACTGTCAAGCCAATGCGATGGTCCGTTATGCGATCTTGGGAAAAGTTGTATGTCCGAATCTTCTCCGATCTACCTTTTGTGCCAACCTTCGAAAGAAAGTACAAACCCATTCACTAATATGCAATATATGCATGTGTAAATCTACAGCCGTTTCCCCAAACTCACCTGTATTTTACGTTGCATGTACCGTTTGCTAGTCTCGACCTCCAGCTTCATACTGTACAATTTTGCTCGAAGAACCTTCATGGCTGTTTCCTTATTTTTTAACTGGGACCGTTCTTGTTGACATTCTGCTACAACACCTAAAAAGAAAGAAATATACATGCATATTTTACTGTAAAAACAATGAAAACTGTCCATTATTTCTTTGGTTTCTATCTTACCTGTGGGTATATGGACTATTCTAACCGCGCTGTCAGTTGTATTAACATGTTGACCTCCTGCCCCACTTGCCCTTTTAGTTTCAATCCTCAAGTCTTTGGAGTTTATGCTGAAGGAGATCTACAAGACAATGAAGTTGAAGTGATTGAAGAGATACTTGTGTATGTTCAAAACCATTATCGTGATGTACAGCAGCTCATACCTCAGTAGGTTGTGGTAATACAGCTACAGTCATTGTGCTGGTGTGCATTCGGCCTTGTTTCTCAGTCTTGGGAACTCTTTGTACCCGATGGACACCTGCCTCAAACTTCATTCTACTATAGCACTGATCCCCGCTGAGACTGGCAGAAGCTCGGCGTAGCCCTCCTGCGCAGAAATAAACAGGCATTGTTGGGTGATCATTTATATTCTTGAATGAATGAGTCTTAGGGGTTTAACTGAAAATCAGATGTGTATTGGTAATTGTTGAATGTTACATTATTTTACTATCCAACTGGCTGGTTAACAATTGTGATGAGTAACTACTCACCTAAATCACTCCTCATATAATCCAAAACGTCAAAAGACCAGCCGTGGTATTGAGCAAAACCCTGGTACATGTCAAATACCTGAAATGAAATAGAATAATTTGGAATTGAATGTCAAAGCATGTATAGTTTTTACAGATATTTTGCTTCCAGAAGAAAAGTTAATGAACCAATAGTAGGGGCATTTGAGAAGAAACGTGCAAAGGTTATTGTCTATTCTCACTGCACTGATGTAAACAATTTAAACGGTCTGATATGATGACACCTTGGGCCCTCACACTTTTCTAACATGTGTCAATTGGGGGCCTCACACCTCTGCCACATGCTCACTTCAAGGCCAGCTCATCCAGTCCCTGTTGGAACCTGCTCATGACACTCCTGACGCTCTCGGCTCAGTGCCCACTTCAGTCTGAGAAGTTCCCATTTGAAGCCTCAGAGTGGAAAGATACTGATGATTTATTTTTAGGTGTTGTTTGTTCATGCCGTCAGAACGTGATCAGCTCCATGAGAACAGAATTCTCATCAATCAAAAAAACTATTTTGACCTCCTCCTGAATCACAAAGATAAACGTTCACCTGTAAACCTGTGGAATGTCAGGATACACTTAAAATGCAAGACAACAGCATTTTAAGTTCATCCTGCTCACCTTAAAATAAGACTGTGTTCTTACTTCAGAAGTAAACAGCATAGCTTCCTGACCCCCAACTCCTGCAGTGACTTCCAAAACAAGGTCGTTTAGATCTGCATCCTCCTCCGGTATCAGCAGATCCAGAATCTAAAAAACAGTGACATTCATGTTGGAGTTACAATGTGACGGACTGAAAAGCTTGAAATGTAGTCTGCATGTCAGGCATTTCATCACCTTCTGTCTGAGACCTTGGATATCTTGCAAACATGAATCTCGTTCTTGTTCTGCCAGTTCTCTGAGGGCTTTATCTTCATCTGTAAAACACAATACTTCACACCTCTGTGGTCTCTGATGTACGATTACAAGTCGCTGGCAGATCTATACACGTCATTCACCTTTGAGAAGCGCCTCAGTTTCGGCCATCTCCCTTTCTTTGGCTTCGAGTTCTCTGATGCTTAGTATGATTGGAGTCAAGTGGGAGATTCTGGTTCTCTTGGCTCTTTGTTCTTCTTCTGCTGGAAACTCGTCTATTCCATTTGAATTAACCGCATTTAAACAGTCATTGTACTCATTTTCCACTTTTTTAAGATGATCTTGTAGGAATGTTCTGGCAAAAATGTCTTCCAGGGACAGAATCTTTGGCATCAGTAAAGACGCTGTGGTGTTGAATGCTCGAATGTTGATCCCATTCATAACAATAGTCCGCTGCGGCAATCTCCAACTTGAAAGCATTCTTGTCCTAACTACTTCACGTGATCTATTGTAGAAAGAAGGCTCCAAAATCTTGAGCACTTGAAATAAGCATGGGGCACTCCTCCAGCCCATTATAAATGCAAATTGTTGACGATTAAAAGTACAACCACAATGGCATTAATGCTTACAAGGTTATGTAATTAAAATCTGTTTCACAAACTCATATATTTACCAGAATGCTCAGGGCGCAGACATATTGAAAATAGAGCGCATGCGCAGAACAGACAAAGTGCGTTTCTTTCAAGTAAATGCTGCCCTCTATCGGAACAAAAATTAAAGTCTATGATCTGAACCATATCTGAACATGCACATGGCCCATAGACTGTAAATAGTAATGGCTTCATAAACAGACGAGCTGTCTCTAAACACAGTTAATTCATGAACTGTTTATAAATGTGTTTTAGCCACAACGCTATTTTTTGACCATGCTAGGCTGAGATGCTTACAAGACACGTATTTTATGTTTTAGATAAAATAAAACTTTCTTGATCTCACGATGTAGGAATATACATGTTACATTTGTCTTGGTGTGCAAAAAGACAGGATCCAGATAGCAAGACTCCGGGGCGGATCCGCCTTCGATCCGCTACATTTTGAGATGTTAAAAAGTAGATATAAGAACACATTATTGATTAATACCAATATATTAGATTATTTTAACAAGGTTTTATAGAAGAAAATCATAGGGTGTCTTGACCTAAACTTTATATTGCATTATGTGGACATTTGTTACATAATGCTTTGCTTTGTCTGCCGTAGTTTCAGCCACTATCTGTCTGGAGGATTACAAATTCTACATTGAGGTGTTATATCTTAACTGTCCTTGTTCAAATAAAACCATACCATAACAAACAATCAAGCCCACCCAAAGACCACCTTCGTTTAACATAAAATGAGTAACAAAGTATAGTGCAACTTTTGTTGTTAGTGCAGCTGTTTGATCCATACACAGTCTATATTTGATCTGATATATGTGCACTATCAGGCAGCTGCTGTGAAGTAGTGAGTGATAATGCGTGCTGGTAGTACTGTTACTGCTGTAGTGAAGGTGAGTATATGTGCTGTAGTACTGCTGTAGAAGGGATAATGTGCTGTAGTACTGCTGTCTGTCACTGGTGAATATCCGATGAATATCAGGAGGGAAAATCTGAAATCCGGCGGTCCATGGGCGGTACCAGTTCGGTGCGTGATGACGTCAGCAGTCAGCGTGAGTAGGATGCGTTTCGCTATTTGCTGACAACTTAAAGAGACGCACTGGGATTGGTTTGCGCCTTTTGTGCACGGATTTTAAAAGAGTGACTCACAACGGCGGACTATTCAGTTGATTTTCATGAAGAGGACAAGTCTTTAGCCTGGAGTGTCCACACTTTTGCTCGTTTGGAGGGAAAAGACATATTATTAAACACGCTGCGGTCCGAGGTAAGACCATAGACTGAAACACACATCTCCTTATAGCGTTTCTCGAAGATTATGTCCTATGTCTTCTTCAATAAGTTTGCGCCATTTTGCTAATGTGTCTTCTACTTTTAATGACCTATGGCTAATTGTTTGGGTATGTGTAAAATATATTTGTGCAGGTCTATGCTGTGTTTGGTATACATTTAACCGCGAATGCTATGTAGAGTCTGATGCTAACTCTACCGCCTAAACTCTTATGCATTATGTTTACACTCGGCTCACCATTTACCAAGCGTGATCCGGTTTATGATTTAAAGTGAAAGATGTATGCACCTTACTACTTACTCATTTGCATTTGCGCCAGTGTCGCGCCAAATGCTTAGGAAACGTAGCTGCGAAGGCGGTCTTAATGTATGCATTTTATTCATTGATTTATTTGAGAGGGAAATGTGTCACGATCAACATGTGAAACACTCCAACACTTATAGCCCTAGCTAACTTGCAATTTCTGTCCCTAGAAGGGCTTATAACACAAAGACCTGTTTAGGTTTTTTTCACCGTATACTAAACTTTGTCTTTCATCTTTCTAGGAGTAAATTCATCATTTAACTAAAGGTTAAATGACTTTCCACAAGACTGCCAACATGAAGGTTCCCAGCTACGAGTCCTCATGGCCTGTGGATGAAATGTCTGCTGCACACCACAAAGTAGTGACCCCTCATGGCTCCCCAGTGAAGGAGGCTCATGTCCTTAAAGCACAAATGAACTCCATAGATGTGGCCACACTGTACCTCCAACACGACTATACCCAAGATACTTTAAACAAGAAGGCTGCAGCGGGCAGGGACTACGAGGGAACCATTCCCCAAGTGCTTCAAGACAGTGGATATCTCTCTCAGCACAACAGTCACTTAGAAGATGATACTGAAAACCATGCACAGACTGTTCTGCCTGTTGTGGAACAAGAAGAGCGCGTTACACCCAAAGCCTCACCAAGGAAATCTCCAGAGAAAAGATCACCAATGACTGTGTTCACTCCTTTGATTCCTCACAAGAGAAATGACTTCTATTCCATGTCGTCCACTCCTGCAGACAAAAATGCCTCCAAACTGCCCATACAAATGTTTACAAAGGCAGTGTGTGAAGAACTTTCAAGAGCATTTCAAAAGAATAAAAGGTATTTTACATTTAAGCAAATGCCTGTCTAGATATAGATATGATAGGACAAAATATCCAATAGTAAAACATTGAAAGTACAATTGAGACTGGCCCTAGTCTATCTTAAAGGTCATTGCATTTTGCATGATCACAGCAATCTACATTTTTTGACGTGCCAAAATGATAGTCCTGAGATTATTATTGAGAAATTCTATCTTTTCAATGTTATTCTGCGTTTTATAGGCAACGTAATTATAATGTTTTTTTGTTTTTGTTTTTTCAGATATGACTTTAGCATTGTCTCAAGGATTGCAGAGAATTACAATTTGGACCGTGTGATTGGAGGCCATATGGGCTTGGACTACGTGGATGTTTTCGCTTCTCTGCTGTCCAGAAACATGAAATGCATTCTAGCTCAAGTTCTGTCTTTGCTTGGAGACCTGGACCTGATAAGGTAATTAGAGCAGCAACTGTGATCAGAAAATAAATAATACTTTTCATATTATTAACGAATATTCTATTGTCCCCAGTTGCACGAAAGTGAGCAAAACATGGAGACAAATCATCAATGATGACCAGGCAGCTCTGAAGAGATGTCAACAAGCTGAGAAGACATTGCGAGTAAGTTGGGTTTGATGCATTTATTTGGATGATTCAATAAAATGAGACACTTCAATTCATCTTACAAACCTTTTAGTTCTGTCAATTGCTTACCTAGTTTTATGTTGTGGTTTTGTAAATAATTAATCCTATTGTGTTATCCATTTCACTGATTGTGGCATCTAAATAAATCATTATAAATGTATTGCTTCAGTCCTGACTTATGACAATGTTTTTTCTAAGGAGTCTGAACTAGCCCAGAGGTTGACCAGTGGCCTAACAAGAGATGCAAGTTTATCCAGAGTGGTTCTGTCGGGTATGCAGCACATGGCCTCTGCATTGCAGCCAAACATGTCAACGCCTAACCGTACTCGCTTCGATGAATTTTCACAGGTAATTATATTGTAAAAAACTTCTCTGCAACAGCTGTGTACAGATATAGATCTAAATCTCTAATTGGCAGATATGTTTGCAGTAATGTTTCCTAAATTATTTGTCATTCACTACTAGTTTGTCCTGACTCCTTTTTGTACTGCAGAATGTTTTTAAACTTACATTATAGTTTGTTTTTAATTGACTAACATATCAGAAAATCGAAGCCTTATCTGCTACAATCAGTGAAAAAGTACTGTCTCAAAGGTTACAGACCATACACCATAATTGCATGTAACAGATGTTTTACGAACATGTTTTTGTTTTAGGTTGCTGGCACACTGAAGCAGGGACAGTCCTTGCGGCCCTGTAAACGCTGTGGTTCCCCTGCAACGTTCTCTCGAGAGGCGCACAGGGCGACTTGTACCAGAAGCAGTTGTGAGTTTGTATCTTGCACTCACTGTAACGAGTCCTTCCACGGATCCACGCCCTGCAGACTGAGGCCACTGCGGTCAACCTCCTCAGTGTCCAAAACTTCCAGCCTCCTCCCGGGGAGCGCCCGCAGCAAGAGGAACGTCCGTCGCCTATGAACTGATGGGACTTTTAATCAAATCTTACTTGGAATACCAATGGCTTGTTTTTAACATTGAACTGTTACCAAAGCACAGTTGAAAAGGAACCTGTCCTTAAAAGACTAAATTCACGGTGCCAAGCTGAATAGACTCAAAAGCACTTTCCAAGACAATCAAACTAAATGTGAATATGTGTTTACTGGCTTATTGAACTGATGTCGTTTTTAAATATTTTATTACTCAATGTAAATAATTTTATAGTTTTATACCTTTTTCAAATAAACCTGTTTGTAATGAATTTGAAGTTTGTCTAAATACAGATTTCTCATATGCTATCACTCATTTGGTTTGTCTGTGTAAAGTATATTTCCTGGAGTACTCTCCTACACATCTCATTCCATGCAGATTATTTTTTTAATATTGTGCAGAATAGATATATAAAACATACAATACAACAAACAAGTGAATATTCACATAGTTGATCAGTTTCAGTAATATTTAAAATGTAAGTGGAGAATCTATATAAAGAGGGGAGCAAAAGCAATCGTTGCACGTGAATGTGGCTCATGACATTTGTAGTTAGGCAGAAACCTTTTATGTACAGATGAGGGGGGGGAAAGGAAAGTATACATATTTACACACATGTATACATGGATGTACATATATACTTATAAATATAATAGTTAATATAATTTAAATAATGTATACAATAATTATAATTACCCAATGCGGTGTGTATCTTTTCTTAAACCTCGTCAGGCACATACTGGTGGTTGGTTGATATCAAAGTTGCAACATATTTGATATGTCACAAGAGGGCAGTATTTATGCAACCTTTAAAGGTCTTTCAGTATGTTTATTGTAAAATTTTGAGGGCGTCGTAATTAAGAGATTGTATGAACTGTAACTGGCCCAGATGGGAAAGTGATCCCCGGTGTTCATCTGTGAGCAACAAAGCTCAACAAATCGTTTTCAATTTAGAATAAAGGAATGAAACTGCGGGTCTGCTCTGAGTGCTTCATTTATCAAAATGTGTGGTCATCTGTCCCTTTATGGACCAACACCAATGTGTTTTCTATTTCATTTCTTGTTTGAACATGTTTCATTCTCTGGTTTGTGTTAGCGAATTCAACGGTTTTGTAAAGTCCTCCGAGATAACTATTCTTGTGATTTAAGAATACATTTAATTGAATTCTAGTTCATAAATCTGAAATCAATGGATGTAACTTATATTCCAGTGTTTATTTTCATCAACTATTTTTTACCATGGATTATTTTCTGATTTCATGTCTTTGCCCCCTCTTATGCTCTTTCTGACCTGTAATTCCCAAGAAACTATACAAAATGGACTCCTAATTGGGTCTCACTGTTGATTAATTTGCACTGCAGCCTTTCCCTTGATTATTTAATTTATCTGGGAGATTTATTGACCGGCTTGTGTTGCTGGCACAGTCTGACCTCCTAATTGTATTTAGACCTCACCCGCCTACTACCTTCTGGCACTTCCAAGAGCATTTTTTATTTTTATTTTTGTGGTCCTCTCAATGGGTTGCACCTCTGATCCATACATGCTGTACCGTTTGAATCACCTACAGAGACTGATAGGACAAACATCTGATGTGAGTCATGTGTTATTAGAGTATTAGGATACATCCTAATTTGGAGTGACTGTCACTGTACGGCTGATTTAACTTCAGAAAAGGTCTGATAAAGCAACTCAGCATTAGATAAAACAAAGCTGTGGATAGTATGCGAGTTTAATTTATGGACCACAATCCCTGCCACCAACATCCAAAGTACAGTATATATCAAGTAGGTTTTATTATCATACCATAATTAACAAAAATGCATACCATACTGAACAAAACAAAAACAGCACTTTTGTTTCTACAATTTTCATAGCTTCAACCAAACACGCCACTGGATAAGAGTCTGATGAATACTGATCAGGTGCATTTGCTTTTTGGTGGCTCAGAAAACCAGTCAGCGTGACCATTTGGATCATTTGGCCATTTCACAGATTGCAATACACCTCAGGTGGCACGGTGGCTGAGTGGATCGCACTCTTGCGTCTCAGCCAGAAGATCCTGGGTTCAAATCCCGGTCGGACGAGGGCCTTTCTGAGTGGAGTTTGCATGTTCTCCCTGTGTCTGTGTAGGTTTCCTCTGGGTACTCCAGTTTCCCTTACCATTAAAAATATTTACAATAGGTCTGGCATGCGCCTCCTGTACTGGCAACCCCGCTCCCATCTCTGTTTACAAAACCAATTGTAAACCGCTTTGTGACTCTGGTCTGTGAATGTCGGTATATAAATAAACATTACTTACTTACTTACTCTTCAGGTTGTTGATTGTGACCTGTGGAATGTTCTCCAAGGACTATGTGACATTGCTGTATATTGACAGGATTTAGACACTTTGAGCATTCCAAACATGCTCAAAGTGTGATATGTTGCTGGCCAAGTGGCCATAGAAGAACACCTAATATAGACAGCTTTGTGAACACTATAGAGAGGGCTTACATGGATCTAGTGAGTGTACAATTTTTCAAATTATTAGCTTGAACCCATTAAAAATGGGAGCAAAAACAAAAGATTCCTACCTACAGTATTTACTGTTGTTTTTTAACATTCTTGTTTTTCATAATAATTCTGCAAGTGTAAAACATACACTTTGGTTATCTCCAAGTCCTTAAGTGAAGATTGCAATACCATTAAATCACTAATGAATGTGGTCAAAGCCATTTCTGTCTCATTTACAATCATTCATCATCTTTGACATCCCACATGTATGGTAACTCCTTCAGAGATCAACATAAGTCAAGGACTATTTTCAAAGTCAACAAAACCATATTTCTTGTTAATTATACTTAACATCATATTCAAATTGGTATAGTTTCCCCCTCATCAACATAGAAGACATATTGCATTAAAAGGTTACCGTTCTCTCCTGGTCTAGTTTTACTCTGTTTTGTCCATTAAGATCATCATTGATAAGCGAATGACCTCTCCAACTCCGGTCGCAATCACAATGGTCCAGGGACTGCTCTTATGACATGAAGAAAATGTCAATCATCTCAAATTGATGAACGGTCCAAATGATGGTTGATGTGATATTTAATGTTGACAGTATCACCAGGCTCTCGGGTATGCTTTACAACATAGTACATCTCTGTCATGTTCCCTAAACATCTGAGAAATCACTTTATAAATAGGGTGAGCCTTGAAAAACATGGCTGTGTTGAGTAAAATCCAAACTAAGTATCAAACAAAATTTGTATTGCCATTCTCATGTTTAGTGCAGCAAGTTTTAAATCATTCCAATCAGACCTGTGTCTATGTCAATAAATATATGAGATTTTCCCATTTATAAAATCCCCGTTTGTGGCCCATAGGAGACTTCCTCATGGCATTATACGTATGAGTCACATCTCAGGTTTTCTGACAAATGTAAACAAAATGACTCACATAGGAGCCGCATGCCCGTCCTCCTGTCCTATTTCAAAGGGATCCATTATGTTTCTTGTTCTTTTTACCCCCACACCAATTTACAAAGAATTGTAGAAGCTCTCTTGATGATATTATTGTTGGAATCTTTTATTCAGTTATTAAAGAGAAACCCCAAAAGACTATCTTGACCATTTTTCACACTTCCCCAGTAAAGATCACCTCTTTGGAACCATTATAGAGCATTGCTGGTTGTGGAGACTTTTATACCGGTGAGAGGTCTGCTAATAGCGCTGAACAAAAGTGAAAAGCACGACCGGGGTGCACCACCGCACATCCAACTGTTGTACATTAGCTGCAGAAAGCACTTTCCACCAAAGCCTGAATTCACCAAAATCAAAAAAAATTACAATTTCTTTAACATATGTAAACCTAATTCAAGATTAATATAACGGAAAAAGATGTCAGAAACCTTGCGTGCAGAGTCCATGCATGAGTCTTCTTTTAGTTAGAAGAAAAACAAAAACATAATGACATATTTTCCTGCTAATGTTTCTGCGTCAAAGTCATCTAGCTTCATGTCAATCAGTTGAGTGCCACAGGGAGAGATGAAGGTCGGATGTGGCCTATCCTGTCTGCTTAAGTCATACAATATGTGTCTAGTCATATCTATCTTCATTCTTCTTTCAAACAGCAAATACCAAGTACATGATGCATTCTTTACCAATTTAGCAATGGGGAAAGCAATCAGCCAGACAAAACACTCTTTGAAAAATAGAGCAAGATCTTTTATTTCATATAGGCAGTGAACATTTGTATGCAGTCAGGTATGCACATATATAGATGACAGTATAAAGTGATTAAATGCATCTTGAAAATGTGCTCCCCTTATGCCATCTTTAATACACCAACATTTGAACTATGTAAGCATAATCCAGGAAACATAACTCAACCTGCTCAAGATTCTAGAAATGTCTTAGTTGTTCAAGGGCCAGTTACGTAAAGGACATTTATTGATTTTGTTTTCTGTGAAGTTTAATCCGGGTTATCCATGGGGTTAATGTAACTATTTAATAATGGATTATAATCAGATTCTTCAAAAGTTTCAACATAATGTAATATTTTCTGTATTTTACAAGGACAATACCATATAATCCACCCATCAAGAACCAAGCATCGTGGTCATTTAGCTGGTTCTCTGCGGAAATAATCCTGGAATGAATAGACAGGATCCTCGAAATAGAAATTAAGAAACAGAGTGACTGAATAAGATAATGGAAGCTACAAGGGATGACCATTAAAATACTGTTTTAGTGGAAGCATTGTACGAAATATTTCATTATGTCCATTTGTCCAAGTTTCTAAATATAAGGGGAAGACACAAATCAGAACTCTGTCTATATCAATCAAAAATGGGAATGATGAAAAAGTAATCTACTGTAGTGTGTAATCCTTGTCCATTTTCTAAACGCTCCATGCTGGTTGATCAGTCACCACCTGGTTGGTCATCAGGTATCAAGTATTTTTCATTAACACGTCTGCCTAAGCAGGTGAGTAAAATTGACACAGGAGGAAAAAAAAATCACGTTAGCACACATCATGGACGATTCAATTTCTCTACGTTGCTCAGGGTTTTGCTGATTTTGTTATGATAAAGATTCATGAGAATGACTTGAGCTATTAATGTGGACTCCTCAAAGTGGCTGCAAAAAGAAAAATCAACATTTAGTATCCACGCTACTACAACATATTGTTAAAGTCGTTGTTCGCATATACCAGCTGAAAGTTGTTGATGAAGTGGTCTACACTGAGGTCGTCATAGCTCTCCTGGAAGGCTGTCGGTTTGCCCCTGGACTCATCCGAGTCACTGGTGACTGGGTCTTCAAGGCTGTTGGTGCACAATTACATATTCATTTAACTTTTTCTTCCATTTTTTCTTCAAGATTCAAGAATTTTTATTTTCTCCTTCAGGAAAAGTTTAGTTTGGACCGATGGGTCTGCTACATTTCAATACAGAAAATACATACAAACAAAGACGCCAACACACATGCTATATAGTTCACACTAAAGGACACATCACCTCCTCATGTCCATAATTAACAGATTCACTGAAACAGGTATGAATGAGTTCTTAATGTCATATAGCTTTCTTGACCCATACAGGGCTGAACAACTTATAGTCATTATAACCCAAACCTTTGCAGCAACACATGCATGGTTGTTGTATTGGAAAAACTGTACATTATTGTGATTATTGAATTAACTATAAAAACAATACTATTAATCAAACTCAAGAAATGTCTATGGGAGTTGTACCATGATCACCCTTGCAACCGCTTGGTCTTGGTTAATTCTAAATTGATTTGTTGCGATACTAGTGGTCATCCTACCTCCTCTTTCCAGTTAAGACTGAGTTCAAGTATTTCTTAACAGCCATCTGCTTCCGAAAGCGGCTATAGTTGTCTGTGAAGATGGCATCTGTGTGGCGCTTCACTGGCTCCTCCAAAAGCTCATCACTGCACAGAGAACACACACAATGGAGTAAGTGCCCCTCCCCACTGTACAATAGAGTGTACATTGACCTTTACAAATACATAACCAACAATGGACCTACAATAATTTTGTAATTGAAGTGTACTCAGTGATTCAATTTGCTTTCAACTTTACATGGACCAAGAAAAGTATAAGTAAAGTAAAATTGTGTGGTCTATATGCAGTAAATATAAATTTAAGGTCTGCGTTTCGCTTATAACGCGCAGCAACGACTCCACGAGCACGTACCTGACCCTCTTCCCGATGAGCGACTCCAGATACCTCCGCGCTGACTGCTGCCCCAGAAGTTTACTGTATCCACTGGTGAACAAACCGTCTGCGTGTCTTGCTGGTCTAAATGAACACAAAACATAGGGGTTTTTTTTTTCACCCAAATTCACTTTTATTAAGTGTGCGCAACGACAGGAGACGCTCTTTCTTTAGCTGGATGATCAGAGTCCGTTTGAAATCTTTTTCTGCGCGCAGCGAGACGCTCGGTGGCGTTTGACTGCTCAATGTTGTCATCACTTCTAATGGTCACGCATTGAGGAACTGTCTTGGATACGATTGTGTTGCATCTAAATGATCTAAAATTATATTTTAATGCTCAAAACGATCCTTACTCGATTCTGGTGATAACAGAAGGAAACCAGTAAAATTACAAACTAACCTCTCAGTTTACGTGTTGTTGCACTTACCTCATTGAGGCGTATGGTAGACTCAAGGTGCGGGAATATAACACACTGCACAGGGCTATTAGAAGCAGCAGCTGGGGTCCGGTCCGCTGTGACATCGCTGTGCTTCTAAAAGTGAAAAAAAGTTAACTTTTACTTTCAATTTTACGTTCACTTTGTTTTCAATTCAAAACAATTAAACCTAGTACTGCATATGTCCAGTTGGAACTTCCAAACTTAAATCTATATATAGGCCAAGTCTATCAGACTGTGACTAAAAATAAATGCAGTTATTATACGCTCTAAATACGCGCGCTAAATTAAAGTACGTTAATTACTGTAAAGCAAATGTAAACAAACTTAACCTTCCCAATAATGGAGTGTTTCTATTGAACACATTGAAAATATTTAGCAATGATAACAAATTGGGACTTACATGTAGTTGCGGCTGTTCTTTGTTGGGATTCTAGCTGGTGCTGTCCAAGGTGCTGAAGCTACTGCGTAAACTCTCCACTCAGATGGTTTGACGCTGATGCTGTCTCTCTCTGTCCGCCTATAACACACCTTGCATTTATACAGCCCACTGTTTTCTCATGGCGCGTAAGAAGACCACAGATTCGATCAAGGGCCGAAGACGTCAGTAGCACGCGGTTTCCGTCACTGCTATTGCTCATTCAACCATCGACCCTTGGTGATTACGGTAAAGTTGTATTTTGCATTAGAGCTAAATTCTCTACAAAATATGTATGTAAAAGGGTGTTGGTCCATTCTTGGAACCATATTGAATTCCCAGTTACCAATTTACATGGACAAAGCTTGGAAACCAGAATACATTGCATGAAGCCTATAGTGAGGATTTTTTTTGTAACACCTTCTTCAATTTGATTCTCCAATGGTTTGTTGTTTCCTCTCCCTGTTTTTTTTTTACCTGGCCATTTCCAGTCAGAAGAGTTTAGATTAATGGCCTCTGCATGCCACCCCCGTCAAATACCACACATTTCCACAGCAAAACAAGATGAGATTATAATTTCTAAAAGCATAGACATATCGAATGGAAAGAATGGAAAGAATGGAACGGGACACTTGGACACTTTTTCTTGCAATAAATGTTTCACTGGTGATACTTGAGTTTCTTCAGGTGAACATGGATTAAGCAATTGTGTGTGTATTGTGTGTCTGTGTGTGTGGTGTTCTTGTTTTTATATTTGCTTCAAAAGTAGAGTGAAAATAGTGTGTCCTTTCAGACTTCAGATATGATTGTACTGACAATATCTGTACAAATAGGATGCAACGTATTTTCTCTGATAATTTGTGTGAAAATTGTCAGAATTGTCAAGAATTGTTCTGTTTTTCCTCCTAAGCCACAGTCATATTTGTTAGTCTTTATATAGGCTAACTTCTCTGTCTAATTTTACATTGACTCTGTGCATCCCCGGAAATGTAGGTCTATATGTTATGAGCAAAGCTCTAATCTTCTGCATTGTCTTGTCATGACATCAATCCCCATGTCCTGTGCTTCAGCTGTATCTATCTTCAGATGCAGATTACAACTTCTCACCAGTACAATATGAATCCTGGTGGGTATTTGCCCAACACTGACTTCTATTTTCAGATTGCATTGACTTAAACACAAAAGGCACTGCCAAATACGTAAGAGTGTGGTACTTCTGATCCACATGGTTCCAAATGAGTGGAGAGGCTGTTTGAGCACCATTTAAATACAATTAAATAATCAGGGGAAAAAAGGCATTTAAAAAAAATATATATATTTTAAATAAATAATACCAGTAAAAGTGACATCTCGAAAGGCCAAAGATTATTGTTGGTACATAGTGCAGTGATGAGTTCGGGAACAGGCTGTTATAGCCATTGAGAGACAAGTGGAGGTGGTGTTATACAATGTCTGTATGTTTCCTTGAAAGCAATTTATGGATTATTACGGTATTCTCAAGGAGTAATTAAGTTTACTTAGAGAGATGCGAGTGACGACATCAGGGGTCCAAAACAGTGTTTACAAAACACTACTAAAGAGATACAGTGCTCTTCCAGGATTAGGCCAACTTGACTGAAAGACTGAAAAGAAACAGTCTCAAATAGATTAGAGGTCCTTGTTTCCTTGTGAAATCCTTTATTAATGTAGACAGGAGCAAATTTAGTTGACAAGACTAATAAAAGAAAGGTAAGTATCTAGCCAAAGCCTGAGGTACAAAGAAATAGAGTAGTATTTTGGACAGCGCTTTATACAACATTTTAAAAGCATGAAGAATGTTTTGGTTTTATTTTGCAGGAGCGTAGTGGACAGGAGGCAATGTTGAAATGTGTCACCAGAGGACATGCTCAAGGGACTTTGATAAAAATGGGAAAAAGCAAAGGATCAAGAAAATATTCTTGTGGAATACTTTTAATAATAAGCTAGATTGGATGCCTCCAAAAGAAACAAGCTAGCAACGGAAACAGAAGTTGAATCATAGGACAGGTCTGGAGAGGCTTATATCATGGAGAAGTATGAATCAACCAAGTGAAAAGCTTTAATTAGGTCAGTACATTCAGGTTCAAAAGTTTACCTCTGTGTTTAAATTTAAATGTGAAACTAATATATGAAAGACACATTACATGCAAAGTAATTTATATCAAGCCTTTATTTGTTATGACATGTTGATGAAATATAACTGTTGATGTAAAGAGTCTATGTAATGTATTGGCTTCACATTTTAGATTAAATTACAGAAATACATAACTCATACAATACTCGCCAATGCAGACACTTTTGTCAAAACTTATATACATCTTTCACAAGAGCAGTAGTTCTAGAGAAAAGTTTTCTGATTCCAGATTGACATTGGGATAGTTGCTCATAACTTGAAAGTTGATTGATCATTTATTTCTCAAAGACTTTGACTTTAAGATTCTGGATTGAGTTGAGCATTCTCACAAAGCTGGAAGTTTGGTGCGATGGAATATGCCCTCTTCTCCATCTCTCTGTTTGTACAGGTTAATAAGATCCCTATCCACCCAAGACACATGATAACTTTTTCTTTATTTGTGGTCCACAGAGCATTGTTGGGAATCAGACTCAGACATACTTTGTCATCGTCAACAGCATGCTTGTAACTCTAGGGAGAACATAAAAACGTTTTAGTTTATCAATTAAATCAATTCTTAATTGCTGTATCTTAATGATTTTTCTTTGATAAATCTTTTTTATTTTTATTGTTATACGACAACATCTTGTGTGGCGTTGCTGGGTCATTCATTTCTCATGTCTGTCAGTGGTCGACTCGCCTTCTCATGGCCCTTAAACCATGATGGCACCATCCAAACTTTAATGTGATCAGTCCAGGGAGAAAGTGGATTATGCTGAAGTCCATGGGAGAAGGAGCTAGGTTAATTGACAGTGGTGATGGGAGACAGATCCCCGCAGGAACAGGAAGCTGATGGAGGAAACATCAGCAGCGTTATTATTATGATGATGTTGATGGAATGCGCCGAGGACAGAGACGTTCCTTTAGAGCAGAAACAGACCAGGTCACCATGGACGCAGCCATGTGAGCTGACTCAACCCATCTGACCAACTGGACCTTTGTTCTGACTGCTAAAGAGATATTTTTTGAGAGAGTCTAATTTCCTTTATTGTTTATTGAACATGGACAATATACAAAGCTATTAGTCTTCAAAAAAGAAGAAAGTATTTGTACTATATTTAGCTTCTGTTACTTTCCATTTTTAGTCCCTGGGCTTATTGTAATATATATACTTATAAAATACACATTACAATTATATGTAATTATAAATACTCAAAAAGTATGACTATACAAATACATTCCATATTTCTAAAATTGTAAACAGAAAACAAATGATATCCGTCAATTACTTCAATGATACTGTACAAATTCATTAACACAGACACAATTAATGAAGCACATTTTTTTCATGAAGCGCTAGGTTTAGTTATTTATGTCAAATCATAAGATCATGTCACATTCTCATAATTACTATAATCACTGTTCAAAAACCATTTCAAAGATAACCAACTTAAATGAATGTTCCTTTATGTAAATTGACAAAAAGAATATAATATATCTTTAAGTTGCACATTTAGAGTCAAGTGTGATCTCTAAGTTCACTATTGTTTAGTCTGGAAAAGAATTGTGAATTGTGGAGATGGTTTGCATGCGTCTTCTATTTTTACACCTAGACTGAATCACAAAATCTAGGTCTTTATTTCACAACTCAATGTACGGTTGGGAATCCCCTGGCCCAATGCTGAGTGCCTCTTCTGCCCCACATTATCCAATTATGGAAGCGCACAGTGACGCCCATGATGGCAGATTACTCATGGCAGCCTGACGGGACCAGCCAAGGCCTTTCTGTCTCCGTCATGTTTGTGTGTGAGTGTGGACTAAAACATGGGTAACCTTATGGAAGACTGTGTAGACTCCTACATTAGACACAATAACATTTTCAAAGCAGAAAGGTTACCGCATCAATCTACTATACATTTGTACTGGAGCTAAAGGTTAAATAAACATAATACAAATAAATAGGAATTACCAGACATCATTCAGACATATAAGGCTTAAATATGTAGCTTCTGCAGCTTCTGTTACATATATTTGGGTTAGCTTTTTTTCTAATTTAACCTTTACTATTTAGACCCGTATTCTCTTTCTGTCTCAGTTAAGAATGTATATCGAATGAAGAATATGATTCTCCCTCAGAAATATCATTGTTGTTTAAAGAACGTACAGATTCTGATCATTGTTACCATGTCTCTCCTCTCCTTCCTCTTGCAGCGCACACATTTCCTGCCACTACATCTTAACATCTGATAAAAACTTGAGGCTAAAGATGTGCACATATTATAAGCTGAGCTTCCAGGTTCCAGAATAAAAAGTGCCCATACAATATCCTCATGGGCGTTTCAAACGATTCAAATATTTGAGTTTGAAGACAAAATATTGTGAAACATGACCACTACTTGTTTCTTGTTTGAAAAACACAATGTAATAGTTAAAGACAGGAACTGGTTGTCGTCAGTTGATGATGGCCACAAGAAGAAAAGATTAATTTCTCAATTACTCATCTTCTACATTGTTTAAGATTAAACAAACATAAATTTGACTGAAAAACAAGACAAAAACAAAAGCAGCATATATAATCAATATAATTTATTTTTGCCTTATGCAATACAATGTATTTTTTTAAAGAGTTTCTTTTCTTTTTTTGATCCACTGACTTGTTAGAGAAGGAGCCCTAATTGAAGTCTTGTTTTTGGCATTCATTTGAATTAGTCCACCAGATCTCTTCATTGCATCCTAAATGAAGTAAAGACATAAATACATTTGGCTTGCCTCCTGGCCCTCAGCAGACATTACAAACAACAATGCCATCTTGAGACTTTAATTAGTACAACAGACACACACAGGACCATCATTAGCCCGTATTAACCAGCAAATTCTTTCCCGTGATGCACTTGGGCCTTGCGCCCATGAGGATCAATCAGATTACAATGTTCGGGAAGAATATGTAATCACATCTTTTTAAAAAGTCTGCAACCCAACTTTTCTGTACATGAATTGTCGTTCCACTGCAGACATTATTATTTCAAATAAAGGGTGAAGCCACAAATGTTCTTTTTCCATTATAGTTGCATTTCAAAGCTCTTTGTATTGTATCCTGTGGCTCACATGGAGCTGACGTGTTACCATCAATCCAACTGTACTTCTCAGCTGTAGCCTTTGACATTTCAAAATGTGTGGGAAACAGGACATACCTGATATATTTAACCCACGACCTTCAGGCTCAAAGGCCAATGCTCTACCAACTGACCCACTGTCAAAACATTCAGTTATTGATGATATATGATTCAATTTGGGTTTTCTAATACTGGGAAAAAGAGGGATGATGAAGAACTTTCATTTGTGGATGTAAAATTTGCCAAACAGTATAATTTGCCATTCTTTTGTCTGAACTTTTTATTTCTTCCCATGAAATCCCATGAAAAAAGTGGGGCAAATTTTGTGTCTTATTAATTGTAAGTACTCCTTCCATAATTGTTTTTACATGTGTGCAATCCCAAAATATGTGACAAAACGTTTTCTTTCTTTTCTTTACAAAAAGTACAGTTAGGGTCTATTGTCTGAATATATTTCCCCAATAAATTGATAGTGGGGTACATCATATGTATACGTTTGAATGAAACATCTTTCATTTTGTTAGTGATTAACATTTTTTGGTTCAGGGACCATCCTCGTTTCCACACAACATCAGGGATAAAGTTTTTTCCAGTAAAAAACAGCAGATGGAACAGAAGCAACATCTTCTGGAAATAGATGTGTTGTTTTTCCGTACTGGCATATTCCTAACATGGCATATTCTTCAGGAGTCACAGCAAGTATATCTGAAAGTATGGATGGAAGGAAGGATTGATATCTAAGCAACCAACGCTCTTGGCGCTGATTGGTTGATCTGAGCAGGAACAGGATGTGACGACACCAAGATGTCCGCGCTCGTTTGAAAATGTACTGTCTGCAAATTATAATTTGACATTTGAACTGTGTACTTCATTTGTGTTTAAAGCGTTTGGAAGAGTAGAGCCTAAGCTACATACTTCATAACACAAGGACGTGACGACAAAGACCAGCAAATTCCTTATTATCTGGTTAGTCCCGTGTTATTCTCGCGTCACACAGTTAGCTTGCGATGCTAGCACTGGCTAAACCTGCGATTTATTCGGTTCAAAGTAGCAACTAGTTTAATCACTGTTCTACCATTCATGTTTTTCACGTAACAGTGCATAGACTATAATCTTTTTAGTCAGCTCTTTGTTAAGGATATTTTTTGTGTTAACGTGGTGGTCCATGTCCTTTAGCATGTCAACAAAGCCAAATTACAGTTCAGCATGGGCATTAATGTGAAGGGATTTGTTCATAGTTTGAGGAATTTAAGATAATCACAGCACACTGTGTGGTCTGTTGGTAACTTAAGATATCTTCACAACTCATCCTGCGTATTGTTGGAGTAGCTTTTATAACTAGCTATGCATAACGCCATCGATCACTGACTCATGTACACTGGTGTAACGACAAGCTCAGTTTTAATACAATTCAAAAATATATATATATTATACTGGTCTGGAAAAAAGCTCCAGAACCTTTATATAATGTTTCATTAGAGTTATCTGACATGATATTTTAGCTACTGATATGGTTCTGTAAATCCCAAAATGATGTGATTGCTGGACTCAGTGAAATTTCAATGTAACTCAATATGAATTTCAGTCCATATCTCACTCAAGAAGTGCCTCTATAAACCTGGCCTTATATTGCCAAGTTCAGTGATAATAAATCTGGTCTGAAATAGTGTTTGTTTGTATTTTGCTAATCCATGCGTTTTACTCAGAAATAATGCTGAAATCTGGAACTCATGTCGGAAGTCGTGTTTGAAGAGACAGCCACGATGATTGCCGCAGGGGAATTGCAGTCATTTGTCCCGTTTGGCCGTGAGCACTGCAGGAACCATCCCAACGCCTTTAATCTACAGCTTAGAGAGCTCCAGCCTGCCTCAGAGCTCTGGTCATCTGATGCTGCTGGCCTGGTGGGTTCTCTTCAAGAAGTCAGTCTCCATGAGAGAGAAAGGGTGAGAGCTTATATTATATACTTGATCTGACTTAAAGTTATATAAACACCAGGGTGTGTTTGCCTTGCAGCAATAATATTTTATACATTCAATTTGTTGTTGACAGGAATATTGGCAGCTAAGAAAAGGCGGGGCTGGTATCGAACAGGAGGATGTAGATTTTGAAGAGGAACTATACACAGCAGGAAATGTGGTTGTTTGGAGTCACGGCAGCGGTATACAAGCCTCCAGTGTATACAAGGCCTTCACTGTAGACAGCCTAGTGCAGAAGGTTGGTATTTCCAGCTTTTAATTCAATACAGTGTTATTCATGAATGAAGCATGCATCTGCTTTTAATGGAATTTGAATTTCTATAACTGGCCCGTCAAACTCAGACCACCACTTTGGTCCACTTTTTCGCGGCCCCTGCAATAATTTTCAATTATTATTATCATTATTATTAAACTGAAGCATTGATGGAAAATTCAATTTTGACACTTGTTCAAAATTGAATTTTCAAGAAATACCACGTTTATACTTCCTTCCCCCGATCAGTAAAAAAATAAAATAAAAATTGCCCTGAACTTTTTTCCCCGACCAATAATGAGTTTGACACCCATGTTCAAGAAAGATGCAATATATATGGGCTTATAGAATGTTAATTATTTACAGGCCATGTGGTGTGACTTTGCTCTTCCAAAGATTGAGAAAGATGGTATGATCTGAATATACAATTTCACTGACTCATTTGATTACACATAGCTTTGTTTTAATTTTGTTTTTTCAAATAGCAACAGAAGAAGAGGTGGAGCACACTGTATGCATCATGCAGAGCAACTGTATCAATGTTCACACTGTAACTGGCAAAGATTTCATTTCCCCACTGCCCTTCCAGGTAAGACGAAACCTGTTAGAATTTATTTTAAAAACAACAAACTATTTGCTGTATTAAAGAATATTCTTAATTATTAAAAAATATCAAAAGGTTTCAGATGTTTGGCCATCAAAGTTTGGACTTGTGTTGGAAAGGAAAAACACAGTGTCCGATTCACAGCTCAGCCTTCCATGGTATTTATCTAAGTGTGCTATTGTAAATAATATTGTAAGAGTTTGGTTTTTATACATAGGTGACATGTGCTATATTATTTTACAGTGAACCGCTACCCACAGTGTTTAGTATGATGCACCCTCTTGATGAGATTGCTCCAGTTGTGTGCAAACCAACAGGTAAAAGAAGTCAGTTGTGACTATTGTTCTGTACATTTCATGTTTGTCAAATCTCATTAAAGGGAGTGGTGTGCAGTATGTGTCTGATACAACCATGAAGATTGTATTTAGCTGTTCGGAGCCCTCAATGATGGTCACATATGACACATTACAAGGAACTCACTCTGTGTGGGCCCTGCGCCAAGTCACACATGATGTAAGTCCTTACAAACCCCAGAATGAAAACATAAATATTGCTGCTTTTTAACATTTTAAATGTTGAAAAAGGAGAAGAACACAGTCCTTCGGTGTCCCTCTGAGCCTGTTGGTACCCCAATGGGTGTGGTGGCTTCTAGTTTTTTGACTTCTCATTTGCGAAATATTTCCCGATTGGACTCTCCTGGAGGTCCAGGCGTAACTGGACATGGTGTTGCAACTGTTCCAAGGTGATGGCTTAGAGACTGCTGCAATTTATAGAATTCTTATAGTATTCTTATACAATTTAAGTTTTATACTCTAGTAATTGAATGTCTTCTTTTAGCTGTGCTGTTGGTACCAGCTCCCCTCTTCATTTTAGTGGTCTACATGGCCACCAGAGCAGGATTATGATGTCCTCTCCAGGATTTCACTCTCGTGTTGGTTCACCAAGTATTTCCAATATGGCTGCTTTGAGGTAGAGTACATTTTTTTCAATATTTAATGTTTAATATATAATATATGTCATTTTTTGTCATTGTAGTCGAGCCCATTCCCCAGGAATGGCAGCTCCTTCTTTTTCAGGAGCAGCCCGTTTCAACACGTCTTTCCACAGCCCCAACCCAAGAGCGCATGTCTTGGGATCATCTCTCAACAGTACTGTAAATGACACTTTGCTGGTCCCTGAGATGGAGCCCATTATTCCAGACTTGTGTTTGGAACAGCTTTGGAGTGAACCCGTCTCTGCTGGAAGTCAGAGGTGCGGTTGTAATAGACTTCTATAATAATGGCATGCTTGACGCTTTAATGCTTATAATACAATAGCTGTTAATTTTTCCAAATGATTACTATTATGATTGAATTCAATCTCATGTCACTTTGTTGTAGAGAATTGAGCAGCCAGGCTTCTAAGGTCTTCCTCACATCTGACTTTTGTGGGGTCCAATACCTCTGTTTATTGGTTGAGTCCCATCAACAGCTCAGGTGAATATTCCTTGATAATCTCCAATTAAGTTGCATTTTCAAATTGTCTCAAAGTATGTGTTCTTCTGAATACAAAGGTAGGGTAGAGATCAACCGATATATCAGATCAATCTACTAACCCTAACTTGAAATAAAGACCTTAACATCTTACCACCCTACATGTATTGGTCAATGGGGGATTTTATTTAAACGAAAATTGACCTCTAGGAATTAATCACCTTGGTATGTTGCAGGTGTGTCAAGTATATTGAGAGCAATGAGCCCTGTCAGTGTATTTTTGCCTCAGTCACTGCCATTCCTGCAAAGGACGCAGCACCTCTTGAGGTATTCCACTCGCCTTAAATATCATGAGCTTGAATTGTATGTTTATCACCTGACCTAACTCCTGTCTCCAGTCCTTCCCCATAGCTGTTTATGGTGCACATTCGTTTTACTGTGGGGTCAGTAAAAAGTGCATACTGATAGCCTTTTTACAAACTATGTTGGGATTTGAGGAGACACCGCTTTAGGACAGAGCAATGCAATTCAACTTTATTTATAGAGCACTATAAAAACAACACTGTTTACCAGAGTGCAGAACACAAGTCTAAAAACACAAACATATACAACAACACAAATTGCACAGAAAGTCAACCCACTGAATTAAAAGCCAAAGTAAAAAGATGAGTCTTAAGAAGTGACTTAAAAACAGGAAGTGAGTCCGCCAGTCTAATATGCAGAGGCAGACTGTTCCACAGTCTGGGAGCTGCTGCTGGAAAAGCACGATCCCCTCTTGACTTCTTTCTGGTCTTTGGGACCACCAAAAGAGCCTGGTCTGCTGATCTTTGAGCCCGTTAAGGGGTATGGGGCACAAGCAGATCAGTCAGATACTGAGGGGCCAATCCATGCATACATTTAAACACAAATAACAGAATCACAGAATCTTAAAATCAATACAAAGGTGCACAGGGAGCCAGTGACGAGAACAAAGAATAGGGGTGATGTGGTCAAATTTGCGCATGCCATTTAAGAGTCTGGCAGCAGCATTTTGGATTAATTGAAGGAGTGAAAGTGAGATTTTACTGAGTCCGGTATAGCGGGAATTGCAATCATCTAAACGAGAGGTAATAAAAGCACGGATTTAAATTTATGACGAGATAAAAACAATTTGACTCTGGCAAGTCGCCTCAGTCGAAAAAAGCTGGTCTTCACAACAAAGCTGATTTGGGCATGCAGTTTTAAAGAGGAGTCCATTTTCACTAGATTTGTTCCTACTGGGCTCACAGCCTGGGCCATGGGGCCAAGCTCAGTAGGAACAGAGCACACAAAGTCCTTTGGATATCCCTTGGAGATGACAGCCCCACAAAGACCCTGATTGCCAGAGTCCATCATTGTTTACTGTGGAAGGTCTCTCAGCTTAAGCTTGAGAATAAGACGTTCTGATCTTCTGAGACCTGCAGCAAGTCTGCATTTACTCCAGCTCAGACTGCTAGTTTTGGACTTCGGACAATTTCAGATCAATATCGAACTGAACTTTTTCAAAGGTTGAAAAACCTTTGAAAAAGGCTTTTGGGCAACACGGTGGCTGAGTGGATAGCACTCTCGCTTCTCAGCAAGAAGGTCCTGGATTCGATTCCCGGTCGGAACAGGGCCTTTCTGAGTGAAGTTTGCATGTCCTCCCCATGTCTGCGTAGGGTTTCTCTGGGTGCTCTGGTTTCACCTACCACTAAAATCATGTACAATAGGGCTGGCATGTGCCTCCTGTACTGGCGACTCTGCTCCCTGTGTGGATTGGGAGACAAATGCCGACAATTGTAAACCGCTTTCAATCAATCAATCAAATTTTATTTATAAAGCGCTTTTCATACAAAAGATGCAACACAAAGTGCTTTATAGTTTGGTTAAAAACAATCCCGCCGGCCCATGACCCCTCCACCCGACAGACCCACCACAGACAAACATACACAGATGAACTCACGCCTTCTCGCGCACACAGACACACACACACACACACACACTTTGTGACTCTGGTCTGCAAAAGGCGGTATATAAATAAAGTAATAATAATTATTATAAAGGACTTAGTTAACTGCCGTTTTGCTATGAAGTGTAAACCTGCCATGGTGGCTCCGAAAATTCTTATCGGGGCAGCAGTGGCTCAGTTGGTAGAGCATTGGCCTTCGAGCCCGACGGTCGTGGGTTCGAACCCCCTTCGAGACATACACCACCTGCTCCACTGATGTCTGCTGTTGTTGTGTCCCTGGGCTAGACACAACCCCAATTGGATGGCAGCTCTGATTGCCACCCCCTGCGCCAGAATTAGATTATTGGCCTTCAAATGTGTTTCATCTAAACTAGATTTTGTTTTGAATGTGCTTAAAAAAATAGATAAAAGATGGTATCCTGCTTTTCAATTTAGAACATTGATGCCATGCTGGTCCTGGAGGCCTGTGGTAGTCTGGTGCTTTACACTGGGACAACCAGGGTATACCGTTTAAAGATTTAGCATAATTGTTATGTGAATGCACCAGGTACATCACCAGGTTCATGTCATTTCTATCCTCAGATCAGTAAAGTTTTTGTCTCCGGACTCCTGGGTCCTACATTCATCTTTTCAAACCATGCTTCTCATCTGACATTAGGTAGAGTTGACCATGTCAGCACACCTGCTAATGCGGGGAGCAGACACCTCCAAATACTGGATGAGGTAAGATTGTGGGTTAAATGCTTTGTATGCAATAGATAAATATAGTCTCAGTTGAACTTAATAGATATTTAATCATATTCACCTTTCTTGTCTTTGTTTAAGGCTGCAATGCCTTCTCCTGTGTCAGGACTGAGAAGGCCTCATATAAAGCATGATGATGCTTCATTTATGGATGATTGCTCCTTCCAGCATGTGACCCCTCACATAAGCGCTCTGCGAGACCCCGTATGCAACCGTGTGTCTCTCGTAAGTTTATTTCTCCTGCAATATTACACTTGTATAGCTATAATATAAATGATATAACAAAATCAACAAAGCTCAATGTGGAGCTGTAACACTTTTGTTTTTTATTCAGGAATTGGGCAATGGCACAATGCTAAGGATATCCATCCCAGAGATTGCTACATCTGAACTTGGTGAGATTATACTTATACACTTTCACAATTCAAAACTGTTTTGAAAGAGGAAAATGTAACTGTTATTGGAGAATAATATGGAGGTGTGTGAAATTTATGAAATGTATTCTCTCATAAAGATTCTGTGGGAAGTAATAGTTGGAAGATCAATGCTTTCAAGGTTCAATTCTCCATGTCTCAATTACCAGTTCCTGAGTGAATATATCTCGGTTCCTTGAAGATAACCAATGCCTTTATGTGTCTTTTAATTCATTTTAATTTATTTAGTCATTTACTCTACATTATGGTTTAAAATACAGTGTAAATCAAGTTGTGGGCAATTATTATTACCTGGACCACCAGACCCAAATGGATACCATTTATTTAGATTAGGCAAAACATATTTTCTTTCCGAGTATTTAGTGAGTATATCCGAGTATTTAGTGAGTATTCATAATTACATGGCCTATAACAGGTTTGATTTTATTTTTTGTTTTTTTTACTTGATTTGGCCAGAGTTTGACATACCTGTCCTATAATATAGTTTCAAATATTTATGTATATTCTTCCACAGTCTTCTTATAAAAAGATACACACAATTTCAGTTATTCCTGTTTATGGGACTTTTGACTTATTCCTGCTGCTGGTTAGAAGAACCCAGATTCATTAAAACAGCAGTTCCCATCATTGCTCCCGGTGACTGACCTTGACAGAAGGCCAATGAGGAGGAGCAGGGTAAAGAAGGGCTAGCAAGTGGATATGAAGGGCTTTTTATGTGGTCATACGGAGGTATTTTTCGTCCCTACAAACAAGAATGTATCTATCTTACATGTTTTAAAAAATTTATTTCTTTATTTGGATGGCACAGTGTATCTTAATGAGCAGATTGCTGTCCTGGGCCTAATTTTTCCAAGAAATGTATTTGATTTTTATTTTTAGTAAGAAAATGCCTTGGTGCCATTCGCTTCATCCTTCCAAAAGAAACTGCCATGAAGGTTAGTATTTTTACCTATCAACGTATCATGCAGTGTAACAAAAATGATTGATTTTAGGTTTTGGTGAAATGGTACAACATCTACAACGCTCCAGGTGGACCTAGTACCCACGCAGAGTGGAGCATGTTTGTCACTTGTTTCATGACACTTCTGGGCTACAATACAGAACGACTGGGATGGACTCGCAATGTGAGCCATAAAGCAAAAACAAAAATGTCATTGTTTATCTTGACCTTGTTCACCATCCACTTTTCTTAACAGCTTCAATTTGAAGTGCCTCTCTCTCCTGTGATTGCAGCCAAAAAGGCTCGCCCTTCTGATGGAGGCTCTGATGAGGTTTGTGTAATGATTGTATCTACACACGGTGGGGTGCAAAAGTTTAGACTCCCTGCATCAAACCGTCCTAGAATGTAAAGGATAAAACTATCTCCAAAAGTCATGGAGTTTCAGATGAGACATTCCCATAACAGGAGAGTGCAGGAGTGTCTAAGACAGTGGTGACAATCTAGGATGTTTTAGGACATTTATTAACATTTAGGGACATTGTTCATCTGCCCCTTATGGACCAAAGGCTCTACGTGTTTTTCTTATTGCTTTTCCTGTGTTTGAACCGTTTGATTCTCTGATCTGTGTTGACAAATCAACAACTTTGTAAAGTCCTCGTAGAGAACTGTGATTTAAGGCTATACAAAAATATATTGAATTTAACAGCAAATCTCAACTGTAGTTTTAAAAAAACAAATTATCCCATTATTCCTTTGCTTGTTTTAATCTTTTCCATACTTATGCAATAACATACAATATTTCAGGGTGAATATGTGTGTGTTTCTGAGGGTGACTGTGGGACTATGGATGGAAATGAGCCCATAGCTACAATCTGGTGTATTTACAGCACTTATGTTGATGAGTTTCAACCAAAAGAAAACCACCGGTTTCCAAATATTTGCACTCTGTCCTGTGTAATTATTCGAAACATTACTTCCACCACTACTACTACTAAACTACTATTAACTCTTTTGCAAACTTACATGATACCTGTTTAAACATGTTGCAGGATTGGGAATATTTGCTGGGTTCTCACTATCACCGCCAGATAAATTCTCAGCCCGCTTTTACCCGTGCAGAGCCGGTATGTAGAGTCATTGAAGGTGACATGTATGAGGATGTGTTGACCTGTTATGATGTCTCTCTTGAAGCAGGTGTCTTCTCCCTCCAGTCCATCACCAAAGTTGGACAGTTCTGCTCTGCTTTTTCCTCACATTCCTGCTCTGTTCTATGTACTGCATTTAATCTACCAGGAGTTACTGCTGGATGAGCTGCAGAGAGCTAGTGCGTCCTCGCTGCTCTGTCTGCTGCAGCAACTCGCCAGGTCAATGTTTGTCAATGTTCTTACAAACTATTATTTATTATGTAAAGATTCATCTCAAAACTCTTGGTGGGTTCCTTTGGCCTCATATAAACCAAATGCAAAAAAATAGTTTGGATGATTGTTTTAATTCAGTCAGATGAGCCATTTGACCCAAAGCTTGAAATAGTGACTCTATGGGCTCCTTATGGGCTCCTAAAAGCATTTTAGTCTTTCTGTTTAGCTAAAAAAAGATGTGTCATTATAAGTCTATTCAACTTTTTTGCTTCATTAATAAGACTGATAATAATACATTGAGTTAAAGTTGAAATAAGGATGGAATAATAATAATAATTAATATTATTAGAATATGCCCATCAGACAAACAGTAATTGTTGTTTTTAAATAAACCAAAGTAAATGTGTGGGAGATTCTAATCTCCTCTTCAGGATTAAAAAATATAGATTTTTTTGAGATGAAACGTAATTGAACTGCATCTGCTAATTGTTGAAACATGTCCTTAATCAACATGATTGATTACTTTAGAGTACATTACACATTTACAAGGCAATGGCACTGCTGATAATCACCATTTTATGAATAACTCTTTCAAATTATATCATCTCATGTGTCTTGCAGGGACCTACAGTTGGACTCATATGTGGATCTTTATTGGAGAGACTACCCCTCTTTGATTAGATGCTTCAGTGAAAGTTGTCTCATAGACCTGGGTAAGAAATCACTTAATGATCGTTACAAGCCAGGAAACGGGCAAGACTATTCAAAGGTCAGGATTGTCTCATGCTCTTCTCTCTCTACTGTTGCGATTTACTTTCTTCCCTGAAAGGCAGTTTAATTGAATCGCTCAGCAATGTTATAAATATGTATATTTTTTTTATGATTTCCTTTTATTTTTTATTTGTCCTCAGGTCAAAATTATAAGATGAATTGCCCTGTCTTTTTGAGGGAGGACCCACCATGTGTGTTCCGCTGGCTCAGCAGCTGTTTAAGAGGAGAGGAAGTGCCTCCTTTTCCATATCTGCCCAACATTTGTCAGAGGACTAAGTTACTTATTTTGGTATGGATAGTCTTTCTTTTGCTATACTTTTTTACTATAAGCTACATTTTGGCACTAACTGTTTTTATTTGTCACACAAATTATTTAAACTATTTTGATCTGTATCAGAATGGGTGTACAAGTCTCTCCATGGCCTTGCACTGGGGTACATCCGAGACACGTTAGTGCCATATGAACCGGTTCAGGCTCTTAGAAGCACAGGGACTGGCCTCCTGCTGGCCAGTTTGTGAGACAGGCCTCTCCCCTGACCAAATTCAAAACTAGGCTGAAAACATATCTTTACAGCTGCGCACAAAACTGATTCTATTTTGTTCTACTTATTACTTTCATCTCCCTTTTTAAACCCACTTTTTAATGACTTTCAAGCCCCATACTTTTATGCTGCTATCCTACTACTACTATCCTATTTATCTGATTGCTTTATTTATATTTCCTCAAATTAGTATCCAGTTGCGATACTGATCACTGATTTCAGATTCTTTGAATTGATTTTCAATCCCTTTTGTCCCCTTTGAATACCCTATTTTGGAATAAATGTTGGCGCCAGTAAAGATGCATTGGCTTATACATGGGTTTCAGCCTCTTGTTTTGTGCAACATATTGAGAACCATTATTCCATTGGAAACATAGGGGAATGTGACATCCTCCTCCTAATGCCTGGCAGTTACATTCTTTAATAATTATTTCTTCTGAACTTGTTATGAGTTGGTCTGCTTGCACTCTGTTGTCATTACCACAGAAAGCGTTATTTAGCTGAACATTAGCAATTATTCTCACAATAATAAACTGTTCAGGCATGTGGTGCTGCTTGTTCTTTCCCGCCTATTTATCCTAAAAATAACATGGTTGACTTTAATTGGAAAATGATGCCGGTATACTGGTATTTCTTTAAGCTTTGCTCTCTGGTGTTGACCATACAATGTCACCAGAATAATTAGCTCAAATGCTATTATTTTGCCGTTTTGTTATGAATAATCATGTATCAGAAATTCCAATTATAAACTTAATACTTGTCCCTTTATAACATGCATAATTTATTTTTTTGTCTGATTTTACCTCCAGAGTTATGCCCTATACATTAGTGGAGACAAACAAGCAACTTCCACCCATATGTCCAAATATCTTGTCAAACTCTCTGCTGGTGAGTATAAAACACACAAATTACTAGTTCTGCAACAACGAATCGATAAAATCGATAAAAATCTATAATTTAAAGTGTTGGCAACAAATTTCATCATCAATTTGTTGTGTCGCGCGATTAATGCGTCACCCACTACGTTGTGGAGCCATGGATCTGCGCGGAGCTACCATGATTTGGGCACATTCTTGTACAGCTGTGTTCAGACTTTTTTTATATAATGCACAAAGATGGTCACTTCTGATTCATTCTAATTCACTGTGGCATCAGCAGCGCACACACACACACACGTCTGCTCCTCCGCTTGCTCACACACACACACACACACACACACACACACACACGTCTGCTCCTCCGCTCGCTCGCACACACACACGTCTGCTCCTCCGCTTGCTCACACACACACACACACGTCTGCTCCTCCGCTCGCTCACACACACACGTCTGCTCCTCCGCTCGCTCACACACACACACGTCTGCTCCTCCGCTTGCTCACACACACACACACACGTCTGCTCCTCCGCTTGCTCCACACACACACACACCTGCTCCTCCGCTCGCTCACACACACACACACACACACACACACACGTTTTTGTTACCTGGTGGGTCCCTTTGACAGGGCCGTTCAGAATGGGACCCATAGACATAATCTTTTTTTACTGGGACTACTTTAAGTAATACAAAACAGTCAATAGAAACCAAACAACTATTTTAAAGGAATTTTATTTTAGATTTTTTTTTCGAATTGCAGTGATTCTATTTTTGACATAGAATTTAATGTCACTCCATGTCCGATGTCTAAGGTCATCTGGTGAGGCATTAATGCAGGCCAGGCAGTGAGACTTCCCAGGGACCTTTCCAGTCTGTATGAAAGGTGTCATGGTCTTCTCCACAGCCTTCACCTCAGATGCAGACCATGGCTTTCTTACACGTTCTAGGGAGAGAAATAAAAATATATTAGCAATATACACTCCCAGGGTTAGGACCAAGCAGCCTGGCTGTAATCCCCCACCTGGTACACTTACCAGAAGGGGCACTGCCACTACCATGGGGTGCATCTGGATGAATGGTTGAAGGTTCTCCGCTTGAAGTTTCTTTTAGCCCGTCCGTTTGTGAGAGGATCTCTACTGCTCTCCCTGTCGCACAGAAAATAAAAATACAAGTGGCCTTTAGGGGAAAAAAATCATACATATTTTAATAATATCAAGAATTACCTTCAGGCTCAATTTGTATCTGGTCGAGGCTCTTTCCTTCGAATTCCGTCACTCTTCCCTGCTCCATGGCCATCAACACTTTGCTGATTTTGGCCAGCTCCAGTGTCCCCTCTGGTAGTCTGTAATATTGCCTGTGGATGCGAATGTCATGGCCGAGGAAGTTGGCAAGTATGTCCATCTCATTCTCTTTCATATTGAGAACTGTAGACATAGTAGCTATGTGCTTTCTAAGTTTGGTTGAGGATAGCATCTCTGGATGCACCGCACCACATTCTTTGGCTACCTGGCGTAGGGAGTCTGATCCCCTGATGTGGGTGTCTGCGCCCGGGCGGGAAAAGAAGTATGGGTTATGGTCAGAGATGGAACAGGCCCTTCTGTTCTCCACCAGCACCTCCATCCAAGCAATCATTTCAGGAGTCAAAAGAACCGGCACTTTCAGACTTCTTTTCCCTTTAATTTCAATGCGTTGAAAATGCTGACACAGCTTTTTCTCAAGTTGGGACAGTCCCAGAGCAATGTCAGAATGGATCCCAGTCTTACTTCTTAAGGTAAAGGCTGTCAGTGGCATCTTTGAAACCTCACCTTCCCTTCTTCGATTGAAAATAATGACCTCACAAAGAGTCAAAACTGCCAGTTTAGACCAATGCTTAGACGTTGGCTCACTTATTAGGGTTTGCACATATTCAGGTCGACATACCTCAATATGTGCATGCATGGCTCTAACGTCCTCAGTCAGAGGGAGCAGGTCCGGAGTGTTCCACTTGGCTTGCCGGAGGGTCTGTAGGGCAGCAGAAGAAACACAGACGTCCCACCTCTTCTCAAAAAGCAGCCGGCTTCGTTGGAGGTTTTTAATAAATAGTTCATCAACACAATGCTCCATTTTTGAGTCACATTCAAGAATATCTGCTAGCTTTCTGAGGCTATGGCCGAGTTTGAGGTCCAAGGATGGAGTCTTGTATTGATTTGTTTCCTCATCATATCCAGCCACAGACCTGACTGCATCAATCACATGGTTAAAGTTGGAAGGAATAAAGAAATCCTTAATTGTTTTCAGTTTCCCTGCGGTTTTTGCTTCGTTAATTAACCTACCGACTTCTCTCATTTTCTGCCTAATGTAATCATGCTTAGTCTTATCATGCCCGTGTTTTAAGTACAGGTGCTCTCCGAGTCTCAGAATCCCCTTTTCTGCTTTGACAACACCCGTGACCTCATCCTGATGCATTGCCGAAATTAAAGACCACAGCTTTTTGCTGATGCCCTCCGGTACAGGCTGGGCTAGGGAGCAGAGGGACTGGACCCTACTTCTACCTGGTTTAGCCTGGGCATCTTTCTGTGAAAGCCGGCACCTGGCCACATGCCTCCACAGCGACTTTCGCTTAAGCAATGCCCCGCAGTCTATACAGTGCAAAAACTCACTGGATTTAACTGGGCAATTTGGCTGTTTAGCTGGGACTAAAGTTCCAATGCCGGCCTTTAAAACCTCAAAATTGTGCTCACGGTTTCCACTATTCCTGATCAAATCAAACTGAAGTTTACGTGCTTTAGATTTCACAGGTAGAGCCAATGCTCTGGCTACGTCACTTTCATTTCCATGTTTTCTAGTCAAATGACGGGACATTTTGTGGCAGGACATTGAACAGTAGAGGCAGAAGTGTCTCTTGCTGTAAACTCGCCCCCCATTTTTCTTCTTTTGCAGCTGCATGATAACAATCTTATTTGCCTTTGGTTCGTCACTTTCCGAGTCTTGAAGAAAAGTGTTTTTGATTTTTCTTTTTCCATACTTTTTTACAGGTTTCTTCTTGACAGTTAAATCGTCAGAATCTGAGTCGACTTCATCAATTAGGGACTCTTGACTAAGCTGCACAAACAACAAATAATTTGTAATCATTCTATATAACAATTTGAAGTCATGACTTGTAGTCAGCACTTACCAGTGGTTTGTAAGCGTGCGCTTCAGTGTGCTCCTCCATGATTTCTTGCAGCCTAATGAACCACACACTTGCACCTTTTTCTAGCCTGACACCTGATTTCCTCTGTTGTGCTGCTCCATGATTGGCTCCAGCCTGCTGGACTGAAATTGCCCCAGTGTGCCCCTCCTTGATATCCCGCAACCCACCACCAGGGTTCCGACACATAACACACTTTTTTCAGGAAAGTAAACCTCCAGGGGTCCTTTCCATATTTTTACAGAGACTGCATAAGGACCGTTAGAAAAGCATTACCCATTGATTATTAAGCTTGGACCAGTGGGGTCCGGTGTTCGGGCCCCACCACGTAAAACCAGTCCCCATGACGTGAGCGGAATCTCAGGTTATGGAACCCACCAGGAGTTGAAAACAAGTGCACGTCTGCTCCTCCGCTTGCTCACACACACACACGTCTGCTCCTCCGCTCGCTCACACACACACACACACACACACACACACGTCTGCTCCTCCGCTTGCTCACACACACACGTCTGCTCCTCCGCTCGCTCACACACACACACACACACGTCTGCTCCTCCGCTTGCTCACACACACACACACACACACGTCTGCTCCTCCGCTTGCTCACACACACACACACACACACACACGTCTGCTCCCCGCTCGCTCACACACACACACACACGTCTGCTCTGCCGCTCGCTCACACACACACACACGTCTGCTCCTCCGCTTGCTCACACACACACACACGTCTGCTCCTCCGCTCGCTCACACACACACGTCTGCTCCTCCGCTCGCTCACACACACACACACACACACACGTCTGCTCCTCCGCTTGCTCACACACACACACACACGTCTGCTCCTCCGCTCGCTCACACACACACGTCTGCTCCTCCGCTCGCTCACACACACACGTCTGCTCCTCCGCTCGCTCACTTGTTGGTGAAAACTGGTGTAAAACATGTTTTGTGACCAGCATGCTGGACTGACTCCAGGAAGAATAGATGTTCTTGTTACGACTAATGGAGATCAAATAAAATAAATAAATAAATACACACACACACTCACATACACACTATGCGCTCTCATCTCGCTAGGTGTAGCAATGCTTAGTCTCTTTCCTCCTATCTGAATCACTTGGGATTTAGATCCATGATTTAGACAGTAGACACCGCTAAAGTTTTTTGACAGCTCCGTAAAGTCTCCAAATGTTCCATGAAAGGACCTCGCAGCACATAGCCGCCCTCCCGCCCGCCTGTTTACAAATCGTTGAAAATTTGACATGTACTAGTCATAATGTACTTTTGAACAAAAAGTCACAGAGGTCCGCCAATTGTCTGAAAATTCTCATCCCTGAATATATATATATATATATAATATATATATATAAAAAATATACCTATTTTTGTGCACTTTACTTTTCAAAAAGCCAATATTTGCATAGCTTACATTTGCTTGTTTTTTTGTTTAGGTCCATGGCCATGTCTGTGGACAAAGGGATGGAAAATATTTTTTTATCCGATTAATCGATAAATCAAAGAAATAATCGTTAGTTGCAGCCCTACAAATTACAGATGTAATTCATATTTAAATGGTTTGTAATATTATTTACAAATGGAGCAGCATGCTGTATCACTAACTTAAAACAAATATCACCAGAATTCTGTTTTTAAAGGGGTTGTATGTATGTACTATTAGTGGTTTAACAAAATCATCAATCAATCAAAATCACACTTTTGTTTTGCCAGAATCTTCCTGCTTGTGACACAGGAAATAAGTACTGGTTACTGATGCAATCCACTGGGGTTTAGCTAGAAGAGCTATTCTGAGTTTGCACAAAAATAATGACTATTTACTGCAGCTCTGTCTATGAAAGCTGTTTCAGATACTGCATGACAATCTGGTTCGGTGCGCTCTCTGTGAAGGACAAACAACAATGAGGGAATCCCACAGCACATTTCTCCCTAGGACAATAAAGTTTATCTTATCTAATTGGTACAAACTCTGTGTTACGTATGATACTTTTTGTTGTATCTGCTAGCTTTCATTTAAACAAATGTGCGGTGCTATTTTTTTTTTTGAGCTTTGTTATTGAAAAAAATACATGCAGCCAATAACAATGGTTTTAAGCCCAACACACGCTGGGAGACTTGAGGTCTCCTTGTTTTTCAACACACACAATGCTGTTCTTTGCTTTTGCAGAAATTAGAGAATAAAGAAATATCTGCTCTGACACAAACACAGCCATACAGTGAGCAGAGGAAGCCCCTCCTCTTCTGCAGTCGTCCCTTGGATTAACATTGTGACAAAATTCTTGTTGATCGCTAAACTATATTTCTCTTGCTGTCAGTCTTATATGGAGAAACCTTTGTTTAGAACACTGCAAGAGTAGTTCTACATATATTTTAGAAATAAGTCATACTAATCTGTAATTCCTTTTTTGTATTTACTTAAAGGTCATAAGTTTGTCAATGAGCCACACTATAGAAGGTAAACCTTTTGATTCAACATTATGTTTATTTATTTATTCTTTAATTGTAACTTTATTTTTCAGACAAAGTAGTGTTCATGTTAAGTTTCCTTCAGAGAGTCTGGCTGAGCAGTTGGTGGTCTGGTTGGCTTCAGAAGGTATATTTTTGGTCAAAAGCAAAGGTTGATGAGGAGGTTTAGACTTCATAATATAATATACTTTTCCCATTTTAGATTTTACTATAAAAGATCTCGAATCTGTTCCGTTTGGTGTCGCACTTCCGATCAGGGAAGCAATTTACAGCTGTCGTGAGCAACCATGTTCTGATTGGTCCGAAGAAGTCTGCCTATTGATCGGACGTCAGGACCTCACAAAACAAGCCCATAAGATGACCTTGATCAAAAGCAAAAATGTAAAAACATATCTCCTGTTTGCCATTATGTAAATGGATCTAATGTTAAGATGCATATCTTTTTCCTGACCCTTCTCTCTGAAATGTCTCTCTTAGTCTGTGGGCTCTGGTCTGTCTTTGGACCCTCCAGCCTCTACTGAAGCAGATGGGGAGGAGGATGGAATGTCCGATATAATTCATGAGGTAATAATCGTCATGCCTTTGTGGTTTGCACTTGATACTTGATTTAATTCTCTTCTCTCTTTAGGTCACTGGACTGATTTGGAGTCAAGACCTCAGAGTCCAAGAAGTGAGAAGACTTCTTCAGAGCTCCAGACCGGTACGGGTCAGTGTTATCCAGCTGCCTGAAGTCTCAGATCACGAATACATAGAAGAAAAGGAAAATAAGTATGCCACTGCTTGATCTAAGCTTTAAACTTTTGCTTTACAAAAGTATTATTTGATAGAAAATATAATAATAACTAAGACTTTTTTTTTTAGACTTTTGCAGTTGTGCCAGCGGACCATGGCTCTTTCAGTTGGACGAGGCCTGTTTACTCTCTTTTCTTACCATCCTGTGCCGACTGAGCCGTTACCTGTGCCAAAACTCAACCTCACTGGTTGGTAACCTTGTGAATGTTCTCATATACTGTTTGTAAACCTGTGAATTATCACATACTCAACACAGGGGTTCAGCGAGGTTCGATTCTAACTCCTGGCCTTTTTGTGCGGAGTTTGCACACAGATTATATTTTCATTGTACTATAAATATGTTCAATAGTCCCCCATAACACCCTCCCTGCCCCCTCTCCCACCCCCCCCTCTTATGGGCTAATCTCTGCTGAAAAAGAGATTCTGCAATCTCAGTGGGACATTCCTGGTTAAATAAAGGTCAATAAAGAAAAATATGCATTTATATATTGCTCTAAAAAACATTGTTTTTCCTCCTCCAGGACGAGCACCCCCCAGAAATGCCATGGTTGATTTGAATAGTGGAAACATAGATGTCCCTCCCAATATGACGAGCTGGCCAAGTTTTCATAACGGAGTTGCTGCTGGCCTCAAGATAGCTCCAGCATCACAGGTCAGCTTCAAACACTGCATACTTGTTAAACTGCTTCTTTAAAACTTTGTTTTACTTTTCAAACATAAAGTACTGTACATTCACAGGTAGACTCTGCCTGGATAGCTTACAACAAACCAAAAAGTCCAGAGCTAGCCAATGAGTATGCAGGTTTTCTAATGGCTCTCGGGCTCAATGGACATCTGACAAAGTTGGCCACTCTCAACATACATGACTACCTGACAAAGGTAGGCATCTTTGTACATGAATGTATAAAGACCATTCCCTCATCCCAGGTCTCAACTACTGCTCTAGTCGTAGTGTTTTATTCTTACAATTTTTAAATCTTGTCTCATGGCCCTTCACTAACTCTTGTTTTGTTAAGGGCCATGAGATGACCAGCATTGGGCTCTTGCTGGGGGTTTCTGCAGCCAAGCTAGGAACTATGGACATGTCCGTCACACGACTGCTGAGTATCCACATCCCTGCTCTTCTTCCACCAACATCCACAGAACTGGACGTCCCTCACAATGTGCAGGCGAGTTGTTCAACCTATATGTCAACTTGTACTGTGTTTACTGGAAATAATCTAATTAACATTCTCATTTGTTATTTATTTGTTGCAGGTTGCTGCTGTTATTGGAATTGGTCTTGTGTATCAGGGAACAGGCCATAGGCACAATGCTGAAGTCTTGTTGTCTGAGATAGGTAAATCCATAACCTTAACTTGTGACAGTAGTATTATAGCAAAGAGTGAATAGTAGAGTAGTTTTTGAAAAATTGCTGGTCCTTGCAGGACGACCTCCGGGTCCTGAGATGGAATACTGTACTGACAGAGAGTCCTATTCACTGGCGGCTGGTCTGGCCCTGGGAATGGTCTGCCTAGGGGTTTGTCTTAATGCAATCTACACACGGCTCCACCATATGTCATATTTCTGTCTAGTTATAGGGTCCCCTTTGCTTGCAGCATGGCAGTAACCTGATCGGCATGACCGACCTGAATGTTCCTGAACAGTTGTATCAGTACATGGTGGGGGGCCACCGCAGAGCGCAGGTTGGAGCCAATCGGGAGAGACACAAATCGCCCAGCTATCAGATAAAGGTAGATGACCCTATCACTCGTCTCTGAGCTGTCAACGTCTTCGGCCCCTTTTACCAAAACCTTAAACTGCACCTGTTGTAGGAGGGTGACACCATCAATGTCGATGTCACTTGTCCAGGAGCTACACTGGCACTCGCTATGATTTATCTCAAGACCAACAATAGGTAAGAATCCATTTTCACAAATATTCGTATTAATTTATTCTGTACAAGAATGCAGATTTACTATAATGAAAAACGCAGTTAGCATTCTAACCCGAAAATCCCTAATTTATTTAAAGCTGCCTGATTTTGGTCAAGGTGCTCCTGTTTCCTTCTTAAAATTGGGGATGCTGAGCTTTTTATTAACACCTTCTTATGGCTTCTTGCATTTTGTGTATTTTTCCTTCAGGTCGATAGCTGATTGGCTGAAGCCTCCAGACACTTGGTTTCTTTTGGACTTCATCAAACCAGAGTTCCTGCTGCTGCGGGTGAGTCCTCCATGACTTATGTCTTTTTCTCACCTCTCCTTAATATCATTTGTCTGTTCTTTCCTGTCTTTGGTCTCAGACTCTCGCCAGGTGTATTATCATGTGGGATGAGATCCTCCCAAATACAGACTGGGTGAAAAGTAACATACCTCAGGTGAGAAAGATAGATGAACAAATAGATTCATCTGGAAACATGCACACTCACATTCACGAACTAACATGCACATGCACTCACACGTACTCGCACACGCACTCACAATTATAACAAAAGGATTTGTTCATGTCTTTTTTTGTTAAGATTATGAAGGGGACATTGCCCTCAGAAGACATCAACATGGAGACAATGAGGTGAGTTATTTATTTATTGACACCATCAGCAGTTATTAAATATATGAATTTGAATGTCATATTTATCTTTAGCCATAGTATCCACATTTAGACATCTTTGTAATGAACATAAATCATTCTATCGCATTAAGCTTTGGGGTACGTACTATTGTTGTATTTCTAATTGTTGTACTGTAATTGTGTCTCAGTCAAGCCCAGGACTACATCACAGCTGGGGCTTGCATGGCCTTGGGTCTTCGTTTCGCTGGTTCTGCAAACTCTGATGCTTTTGATTGTCTTTATGAATACGCCAGAACATTCATGAAACACATCATGACTTTTTCTGCAACAAATGCTGTGGTAAGTTGCCCCATATTTGTATTATATGTGGATTCACTAGTAGATTTAAAAAAAATATAAATTAAGATGATAAATCCATATGAATATGAATAGTAGATAGATATATTCATGAAGGAAGCTAGGAAGCTATCCCTGTCTATCCCTAACACATTTGAAAATAGCAATTTAGTGTTGTTGATGGTGCTAGGTCCTTACAGGTGTTGGAATAATTCAATTCAATTCCTTCTTTATTAAGAACACAGAGAAAACTGGTTCATAGATTAAAAACAAAAACATACATATAATGTTCCTCTCTGTTATGTTTACTTATTTTCTCCCCAATGAAGCAGACAGGCTTCTACAATCTTCAGACTGGACTGTCGATGGTTCTACTCGCGATGTCCATGGTGATGGCTGGAACTGGAAATCTGAAAGTGTTGCAGCTATGCCGTTTCTTCCACAAACGAACAGGTGGAGAGATGAACTATGGATTTCACATGGCTCACCACATGGCTCTGGGTCTCCTCTTCCTCGGAGGTGGGAGGTAAACAGCTGGAAATGTATTTTAATAAATTCAAGCTGATTCCATGTATTGTTGCCAGGTCCCTACTCTTTTTGTACTCTTTATCTCTATGTGAAGCTGAGGCCACGCAGGTTAAAGTTAAGGTCGAGCACCGCGGCCATTGAAATCCATTTGTTATTTTTCTCGACTTTTTATGTGTCAAACCTTTCACCTGATTTATTCAGTTTCTCCATTGAAATTTAACCTGGAGCTTTATTATATTCACCTCATTTGTTAATCATATTTGCATTCCCTTTTCCGACATCTCACATATTCAAATGTATGATTACATTGGCAAATGTGTTCTACTCCAGTGCATTCACTACATACAGTATTATGCATTGGAACCCTGTTGCACATGCACACTTAAGTGTTTCGTTCATACTTAGATAATAAATATGCTTTTGCAGGGGTCAATAAAGTATTTAAAAAGTATGCAATTTTGACTAAATCCGTGTCTTTTGCAGGTACAGCTTGAGTACATCCAATTCGGCTATAGCTGCTCTGTTGTGTGCCTTATACCCTCACTTTCCTGCCCATAGTACAGATAACCGGTAAGATATGGTTGTACAGAGAGTTGGGGTGGCTACATAATGAGCAATATAGTATGTTTTATTGTTATAGACAGCACAAACACACCTTTGTATCTATTGTAATGCATGTATTTAGTTGAATGGTCTTGGTTACAGTTACCACCTGCAGGCTTTACGGCACTTGGCAGTCCTGGCCGCTGAGCCTCGCCTGCTCGTTCCTGTTGATGTTGACTCCCTGAAACCCTGCTACGCACTCCTGGAAGTCACCTACAAAGCAAGTGTCTTTCCAACATACGAGACGCATGAGGTCCCCAAGATTAGTTAAATTTTGTTTAGTTTATTTGTTGTCACATATACATTACATGCAGTGTAATTCTAATGTAAAATTTAGAGTAGAGTATTTCAGTCAAAATGATTTACATCCAATTCATGCACAATGCAATTTGAAAAGTAAAAAAACCCCTGAATAATTAAATTAACTGACTTAGTGAGTGTTTATTTTCATTTCCATTTTACATAGCAATACTTGAAGCTAAAACCTCTTTGTTTTTAAGACTGCATTATCATGTCCATCTGTCTCAACATATCACAGAGCAGTTAAAACATGTATTTTTCCTGTCTCAGGAATCAAAATGGTATGATGAAACAACAGTGGAGCTGATGGCTCCCACGATGCTCCCTGAGCTACACCTCCTAAAGCGGGTAAAACATTTGTCAACATTTATCAGTAGTTCTTTCAAATTCTCTCTCTGTAAAAGTGAACATGATGATCTTGCCTTCATTCCAAAGGTGAAGGTGAAAGGCCCTCGCTATTGGGAACTTTCTGTGGATCTCAGTAAAGAAACTCAACATCTAAAGTAGGTGATTTCCTTTAGACATTGGACTTTGTTGCCTAAGGTGGGCTTTTCTAATTATAACATACTCTTTCCCATAGATCTATCCTGTCCAGAGACGGTGTGTTGTATGTCAAACTCCGAGCTGGGCAGTTGCCTTACAAAGACGACCCACAGGGATGGAAGAGTTTACTTGCATCAACAGTCAATCATCGGCACTCTGGTGCTGGGGCCTTTAAGGTGAACTTAGCTTTATGCTAGTGGCATGTTGAATAGGCCACAAGTTAAGAAGTGGCATTACACTATTGTTAATGTGCTGTGACACAGGTGGACTCGTCAGAGGTGAGTTTTCCTCAACGACAGCTTATAACTGGAGGTTGTCTCCAGTGGCCTCAGTTGGCAGGTTGTCACTACAGGTTCAGTGGGCAGTTGTGCTCTTGACAGACTATTACTGCTTTTCTGTGCTCTAGTGTAAGCTGCCAATACACCTGAAGGGAGTCCATAGGGAGGAGACAAAAATCATATATTCTTACCCCCTCAGCCCACCACCTGGTGCCTACTATTTGGCACTCATCTGTGTGCTTTCATATTATGAGCTTTACTCTTTTCTATTTTTGTCCGCAGCCTGAAGCCATCTCTACACTGACGTCTGACCCTGTTCTTGTGTCCTTTGCCCAATTGTTTTGTAATAACTCAGAAGAAATGAAAAATGTGAGTTAAGAGAAACGTTAATTTGCTTACATGATGTAGTCTACGGAAACACAAGTGACAATACACATGGTCATGAACCCTATGAAGCTATCCCATGGTCTATATTGTATTGTGTATATTATATATTGTATAGCTCCACTCCTATTTTCTGTATAGTCTGCGATGGATTGAGTGAGGCAGGTTAATTGCTTGGAAGGCACACTGTCTGACACAGAAATGGAAGAAAATTGGTCTGTGGCGTAACATTTTATAATTGAATTTACAGTGAACACTAATACATGGCTTTGTTTATCTCCTGCATCAGTTTAGTCTCCTATCACTCCTGTTTATTATTAGTGTGCATCTTATACCAGTTCTCCAAAATAATTGCCAAATCGTCTGGGAGATAATTCACTGTGAAATGTGTTGTGTTGGAATGCAAATGCAGCCACACTATTCTGAATGCTCCTTTGTGTACTTACCTATACATATTTTCATGCCATAAATTCCTTTCCTGATGCACTTAATGTGTATCCGAGCAGAGAGAAGAAACTCTGGTACTATTTTCGGCAATGCTGTACGAATGTGTGACGCAGGAATGTCCAGAGATGCTGCCCACATATATTGCCATAGAGCAGGTAAAGTAATGTTATTTGTGTCTGTGAAGAAATCCAATCCATACCAACCGAGTTATAGCTGTTACACTTGATATGAATACTGTTTGAGATGTGTTGCTCTGAGTTTTCGAGTTTTAAACCTTGTATTGGTCTCAGGCGGTGGGGGCTCTGCGACAGGGGGATTTGCCGCAGACTTTCTCCTTGTGGCAGCTGCGGCTGGTGGTGGAGCTCTGGGACAGTCGGGTGATGAAGGGCTTTGAGAGTCGGCACGCGGCCCTGCTCACCTCAGAGTTTCTCCCAGTCATGAAGAATATGGTGGATGTGATTCTGGACAAGTGGCTGAAAGGTAAAGGGATCAAAGCACACATAAGTTGCACAATAGACTTTGGATGTGTTTTGGCTTGTTCTTAATGGTGTTTGCCGTTTTATTTAATAATTTGAAGTTGCTGCCCACACACCAACTCATATCATCAAACATTATCTCAACAATTATAGAAATTATATATACCTAATTTTAAATCGCTTTTTTTGTTTTGTTACTTAATTGTGTTATCTTCACTGGTTCACACTTTCATGTTACATACAGTATACCATTGCAATACACAATTTATTTTCTTTTATCCTTCTATCCTCCCCTCGTGCCAAAACATGAAAAATCATAGTAATACAGTTTTAAACAATAGTTACAACAAAGCAAAAATAAATAATTAAGGTTAGACACAAACAAAACAAAAAATAATCTGCAACTATTATTGATGAATGGTTAAAGTCGACCAAAGATTATGCAATCACAAAAGCACAAAGTCATGCGGCTCTGCTAATATACACATGCCATATGTCTCACATGTAAATCAATGTTCCAATCTAGGTTGTATTTGAGATTGTTTGTGCCCATAGACAACGGTTCAGTGCTGAAGTGCTACATGAACGGGGAGAGCTTTCCTAAAGATATCCAGTGTGTGGCGTTGGCCTGTTTTCTCATCTACAGGTCCATCCCCTATCTCAAAAACACTCGCTCTCAACTGGAAGGTACTATACTTGTACTCCACAAATAGTCAATGCGAAAAATAAATATTCTAATGATTTCCTTGTCACTGTAGGCTGCAGTTCAATGGGAGAGTTGATTTCATGTGGCAGAGAGTTGGGGATCCCTTTTCGAGACCTGCTGAGGCTGGCCCCTCTGCTGCTGAACTCCACAGCAGCAGGATCAGCCCTATTTGCCGTCTGATGCCCCTGATGCCCCTGAGGCCCTCCACAAACTCCACAGTTTGTAGTCAGAATTTGATGAAGGTCTGACAAACTTTGCCTCTAAGAGGATTCAGCCTGAACTGAAGCAATATTTGTTTTATTGTATACGTATATTTGTGTGCATGACACAATGGTTTTTATCGTAAGTATGAAACGTGTGTTGAATATTGAATTATGCCTATACAACTTGGTGTTGTAAAGTAAATAAAAACACAGTCTTATTAATCATTACTATATTCATTTATTTTGCCATAGTGTATGTGCCACATAAATAAACCTGCAGACATCCTGCATCATCACTGAATGAGCTTCAGTGGTCACAGAGTTGGTCTCCGCCTACAGTGTAGGATAATAATGCATCGGTTTATTTAGCGCTTTTTTTGGACACTCAAAGACGCTTTACATGTCATTATTCATTCACTCCATACACGGTGGTGATAAACTACTACTGTAGCCACAGCTGCCCTGGGGCACACTGACAGAACAGGATACACTTTCAAAATGCATTCTGATTTTCGATTCTTCATCTTGAGAAGCAAATTTTCTAATCTTAACTTCAATCTTATCTTAGTAATGGCAACACCATCAGAAATCACTGATTAAAAACACCACTGGCTCAGAGACCGCACAGTCGAAAAGAATGACTGTTGTGTGGACGGTTCACATGTGAGGAAAGAGCTGAAAAACCCTTTGTTTGTTTCCACAATAATGTTCAGACGACACACCCTGTTTCTCACGGCCAGAGAGAACGTGTCTGCGGCTGCTATTACATAGGAGGGGAAGGGACGGTGTGATCATGACCAAATTACTACGACAGTATATTGCAGCGTCGGGCAATTTTATCATAAATTATAAGTACTTACTGATCCTTGGCAGCTACCGAGATGATGCCGAGCAGCTTATAAGAAATGAGTTTCCAACAAAAGTAGATGCATAGAGGCTAATACAGACTCTCTTCTTATTGATATACACCTCTTTTGAATGATGTCTGCGTTTTTTATTACAATGAAGTTTCCAATGAATTAATAAGTTATTTTCTTTATTATTCAATGAAAGAGAGGTACTGTTAAAAGCTGTGTGCTGGTGGAGACTAAAACTTGGGTGGGCTATAGAAATTACACAACATTAATTTTCTATCCACGTTGATTTTGGTCTCATGAGTCAGGAAGTTCTCAGTTCCTCAAACACAGCTGGATCCACTGGCAGAAACGAAAGTGTGGACTAGGAAACCAATATTCAAAATAAAACACACCATAAGATGCACATAACTTTTAACAAACAAGCGGTGGCCCCTCACACTCATATTACTTT